GAGTTACCTGTACTCTTAAAGATGTGCCAGGTATTGTAGAGCCTACGTAAGAATCATATCTGGATGTGGGTGTACATTTCATTATTTGCTAGGGCTAGTGTTTAAATAAGAGTGGGACGGAGTTTTAATATTTATTTTAAGAAAATTTATACAATTTAAATGTTTGCTTATATGTTTTTATCATAGCGTTACTTTCCCTGACCATAAGCTAGAAAGACTAAATTAGTTGTGTTTATCATGAACAGCAGTGACACTGTCAGGGCAGGATTCTGGGGCAGACGTCCAAGGTCCTACTCAGTAGAATGATCAGGAGAGCCCCCAAACTCAAAAGGACTGGCTAGCTACATATTGAAATAATCAGATATTCTAAAGACATCTCTCACACATAAGACCATTAGTCAGAATCTAAAATTACCCAAGTGCTCCACTGCTGAGGTAAACGTATCTACTACAGCAGTCCTGGTCATACATTCAGGAATTTGTTACATTGCAAAATCAAATTCGCCAATACTGTGAGAGCAGTCGCACATACACACAAAATGGGGTACATGTATTATAAGCATTGTATGGCCTCTACAATACCACCTCCATGGATCTGGAAAGCTATAATCTGTACACAATTTGCCAGCTCAGCCATGACATGAGGCATCCAGGAGTGCATAATCAGAATCACAACTTGCAACTTTCACTGCAAGCCTAAACCTCTCTGCTCAGAAATAAGCTGAATTCAATGGGACTTGCTCCCAGATAAGCATGTATAAGATAACACAAACTTTGTTGCCCACTAATAGCCATCCTGCTGTCGTAATAACAAGGGCTAGTAAAGACTTGGGCTCTGATTCATGTTTGTAAATCTGGAACCAGAATGTGGTAGTTGAAGTCTGTACTAATAATGTTATCAAGGTATAATTGGTTGTAGTTGACAATAGGAAGTATTAGGGAGACACTCCCAGTTCCGCTAACACCTTCCCAGGGAGGCTGAGTTCATATTACATACACAAAGCACAATATGCATGACAAAAACAACATAAAACAAAACCCAATATTCGATACCCAAGTCTAAGATCTATTGGATACCTAAGTAGAAGGTTGCAGCCTCCCACAGGTTGCTGCCCAATATTCACTAGACCAGACTTCCCTAACCTGGTCCCCTCTAGGAGTTTAGAAAACATCTCCCATCAGCCTCAGAACTCAGTAGCTAAGGCTGATGGGAGCAGTAATCCAAAATAGGTGGATGGAAGCAGGTGAGGGAAGGCTGCATTGGACTTTTTTGGAACCTATTTTTGGAACCCCTTTTCACTAGAGCCTGACATGAACCCCCTGCCCTCTTCCTTCTCCCTTGCACCTTTCCCTTACAAACTTTCCCTTCCTATTCTCTCCCCTTTGCAGCTGCCGAGATATCATGGATGGAACCACCTCAGTATCAGCCGGGGATTTCCTGTAGTGTTTTTGTAATAAAAGAAAGAAAGAAAGAAAAAATAGACACAAAAAACAATAACCCCAAACAATAAACCAGCCAAAGTGTTCCCTTCTCCCTCCCCCAACTCCCTTTCCTCGTTTTCTCTTCACCTGCCACCTTCATCTCATCACTGCTGCTTTCTGCTTTCTCATGGGGACTTGGGTCATCACATGCAGGTATAGGATGCAGCCTGCCTTCCCAGGAACCCTTGCCACCTCACCAAACAAAGAAAGAATGAAAAAGATAGGAAGACCCTCATCTATTTTAGCATAGCCCAGTAAGGTCCAGATTTTCTATAGTGGCTGCTTCTTTAGGATCAACGAAGAGAGAGATGCCTGCTAAACCAGCACCATCAGTTTTAGAATGCTGTTTCTATCTGACCGTGTAAAGGGCATTTTAGAAAGCTGAGAGTGAGGCTCACCAGGCATTTGTGCCTCTTAATGAAGGAGAAAGCAGATCTGAAATCCAGAGGCCCCACATGGTTGATCTAGTTGGAAAAATCCCCAATCAGAAGTTAGAATAAAGTAAATGCTAAAATCCAGAACAGTGTTGAGAGGAAGAAGACCCACTGGATTCACCTATCCATGTGGTATTCCTGAATACATGCCTTTACTTCCACCCATGTATGTGAGTGGTGTCATTCATTCTTGGAGGGAGGAGCTTCTACTTCTCCAGCCCCCATTAATATAAGAAGGCTCTCTTGCAAGGGGTGCCTACAGTAGCTCAATCAGAAGCGGGTTTAGGGCAACACAACCATTTCCACTGCACCAGGCATTCAGCCTAGGGGAGCAGCACAGGGCACCACAACTATGAAGTAGTGAATTGAGCAGAAAGGAAGGCAAGGGTCAGGTGCCAAATTTTTGCCTTGCATAGGGTGCTGCTGAAATTTGAAGGACCGAAGTCCTCCCCTGGCTGAATGAGTTCGCTAAGGTTGGAGACACAAGAGGGCTGGAGTTTAGATCTGGCATCTAAATTTCATCTTATAAAAGCCAGTGGTTCTGTCACACAGGCTGGGGGAACCTCTAGCCCTCCAAATGTTGCAATTCCCATCATCCTTGACCACTGGGTATGCTGGGTTGGGACTGATGGGAGCTGGAGCTCAACAACATTTGGAGACTACCAGGTTCTCCACCCCTGCTCTAACATGACCACAATATGGAACCTAGAGGCAGGCTCTGCTGAGGAAGAAGTGCCGAGACGAAGGGATGGCAGGCAATTTCAGGAATCAGTGGTTTCATCTGAGTTCTAGAATACAAAGTAACATCTGTAAAATCTGGAACACTTGAAGCTTCAGCCTGTTAGTGGGGCAGGCCCAGGTCAGTTTCCGCTTGGGAAACCTGGGAACTGTAGTTTGGTAAGGGTGGTGAGAATTCTCCATTACAGAAGCATAGCTCCTGTCAGAGAACTGCAGTTTCCCAGAAGCAGAACTGCTACTTGATCAGTTTATGGCTGGAATTCAGACATGTCGGGGGGGGGAGTGTTAGCAGTGGGTTTTGTAACCTTTCCTGAACTGCTAGTGCAGAGCCAATGCTGAATCATATGTGTTTCCACTATATGCCCAGTGTCTTGAGCCCTTATGTTCCAAGAGGGTCCTATCCTGCCCCCCTCACCTGCTGCTTTCCCTCAACCTGCTGGCTCATCTTTCTTTTCTGTGTCTTACCATCCGCTTTGGGGCAGGGGCAAGAGGGTAGCCTGTGGGGCATGGACGGAGGCACCAGTGGCACAGCATGAACTCATAATCCTCCCTTCCCTTGTCTCCTCCCCAAAACAGCAAGGATGGGCCTCAATACTCGAAAGTTTACCGTACTGTTGCAGCAATGCATGGGTCTTTCTTCACTTCGTGTCCTGAGGCTGTGATTGGAGGCATCTTTCACTGTCTGTCTGTCTGTCTGAGCTGTTTTGCTTCTCTGAAGTCACAGTTTGGGGTTTTCTGCCCTGGTTTTCTTGCAGCATGAAAGCAACCCCTCCTTCCTCATCTCCACTTCCTCCATCCAAAACTTGCACTCTCCCAGTGGTGCATTGGGGGGGGGGGCGTTGCTATATGTACCAGCAGCTGCAAACCATCCACCAACTTGCATTCCCATCTGCACAGCACAACACTGCGACCTTTTCCTAAGAGGGCAGCACTCCAAGTGGGTCCATGGCTTGGTTAGGAATGTAGTCTGATGGCATCACCAGCTTCCTTTAAACAAAACCCCCCGACCAATATCCCTATTTCAAATCTCAAATTGTTTTAGTTGATTCCCTTCCTGCCCCAGTAATAATCCTGTGTTTCCATCCCTTCTTAAGAGGGAAAAAGCACTATGGGGCCATTTCATTCAGCTCTGCGCAGCCTTTGGCCCTGCAAATTGAATGTAGCCCACCAGCTGTGTAGATACCACCAGTTGGTAGATACTTGACACAAACAGGCAGATACCAAAAACAGGAAGCTCGTGGGCTGGCTTGGTGAATTACAAATTATGTAGGTCTCATTGAATCCATCCTCTCAACTCTCCTGTGAGCTACATACAGTCTGGTTACAATACCCATTTATGACAATTTGAACCGGACAGAGAAAAGGTGATGCATCCCCGCTCCACCTTCAGGTTTTAGAGACAAACTGCACATGAAGACATGCTGCATGTAGGGCTGTTTTATTTTTGCTTTTTACCCTTTGCCCCTTAGGTCTTTATCTACTAAAAAGAAACCACCCCCACCAGCCCCCCAAAAGCTTTTTGCTTCTCGTGGGATACTGCCTAAGGAACTCTGAGAAATGTAGTTCTGAGAGTGATTTAGGTCTTTCCAGTATGATGATTGGCAATCTACCTTCTTTGACAGGCGGAACCCTAACAATCACCAGTTAAAAATAAATAAATAAATAAATAAATAAATAAATAATAATAATAATAATAATAATAATAATAATTTATTATTTATACCCCGCCCATCTGGCTGGGTTTTCCCCAGCCACTCTGGGCAGCTTCCAACAGAACACTAAAATACAATAACCTATTAAACATTAAAAGCTTCCCTAAACAGGGCTGCCTTCAGATGTCTTCTAAAAGTCTGGTAGTTGTTGTTCTCTTTGACATCTGGTGGGAGGGCGTTCCACAGGGCGGGCGCCACTACCGAGAAGGCCCTCTGCCTGGTTCCCTGTAACTTGGCTTCTCATAGCGAGGGAAGCGCCAGAAGGCCCTTGGAGCTGGACCTCAGTGTCCGGGCAGAACAATGGAGGTGGAGACACTCCTTCAGGTATACTGGACCGAGGCCGTTTAGGGCTTTAAAGGTCAGCACCAACACTTTGAATTGTGCTCGGAAACGTTTAAAACTTGCCCTGTAGATGGCGATATGCTGAGAGGTCACTGGTCCAAGATAGTCAACTGCCAACAGTTCAGGGAGCAAGAAAGAGCCAGGAAACCAAAAAGGAGAGCAATGTTTAAGGTAGACAAGGCTGACCAAAGACATATTGAGATGGAAAAACAACATGGCCTCCCTCCTGCTGACTAACCTTGAAAATGTCTCATATTCACACCCTTTTGAAATGAACCATTGTGTCATTATGAAGCAGTTGTTCATTTTAGTGGGACTTGTGCATGAAAACATGCTGGTGGGTTGAGCTTCATGCGTTGGATTGGTCTCCAACTCTGCTGCCCTTAATGGTGCACAAAATCTGCCTGAGGTAACAAGCTCACTTTACCTCATGGCAGGGGCACAGTGTTACCCTGAGGGGGGAAAGGCTCAACAGATAATGTCAAGTTAAACACATAATGCAGCAACCAAGATACCTGGGACTGAAACATGATATAACCCAGGGTGATATAATTACCTTCTTTGACTAATCAGAGGCCAGGGTTGAAGAGCAAAGTAATGACATTGCCAGCATGGAACAGAGTAAACTGAACATATTCCTAGTCTTTTAGACTTATTATATGATGCTAAGACAAATCTTTCCACTCCCAGTCCCAGAGGGGCCTAAGTAGAATGTAGCACCTGCTACATTCATGACTACACAATTGCATAGGAACTTGCCCCCTTTCCCTTCATGTAGCTGACCATTTACTAGCTGGTAATTTACCAGTGTACATGTAACCACTTGTTAAGCCAGCATGGTTTTATCATGTGCTAACACAAATTTTACCTCTCCCCTTATTTCCTGGGTTTCTGATAAGTATGAAGATTTTCCTCACAACCTGGCAGAACAATAGAAACAATGGGCTTACCAAATGGTTGTGTGCACCATCTAGTATCTTACCACCCAGCAACAAAATTGTGTGTATTCACTAAAAGTTTACTCCAAGCAGCCACATTAAAATGTTGGGTTCTAGTTTTGTTTTTCACTTTCTGCGCAAAGCTGAAAGTCGGTTGTAGGACTCCTTGCTTTACCATGAACAGCAACAGAACCATATTTTTCTCATTGCTGACTGTAGAACCTAAAATGGTTCTCTTCTCACATAATAGCCGCACACCGTTCCCAATGGAGGAAAGAGCATTTAGGAGCCTCAGACCTTCAAATACCATATTCTCTCTAAGCTCCATTCTTACTTGCTTAGCTACCTTTCAGTATATGACCCAGTATTTCTGCCTTTCCTGCATGCTTCCAAATTGTGCTGGGGTTCTGGGTTTTGCTTTGTTGCTTTTTGTCTTTCTCTTTTAGGCCTTCTCCTCAGCTTGATCCTTCCCACCCCATCTCCTGGGTACAGGAACTGGATTCTGGGCCCCTAAAGCATGATGTGGCATGATGTGGCACCCAACTGCATGTGCTGCCCTAGAATGTTGCGCTTCTGTCCTACTTCTTTTGCTCACTGGGCATGCAGACGAGTTCACATTATGCGTCTCTTGTCCACCACCAGCTTCCTAAGCACTAATTGAGATCAGCCACTCCTCTCTCATGGGAGAAAAAGTGTTCCCCCTTCTCCCACACCAAAGTGCACCAGAAATTTTGAGCTAGGAGCAGAATGGTTTAGGATTTTTACCCACAAAGCACTGCAGGGCTGATTAAGATGGACATGGCAGTAAGCACACTGCTTGTTTATTTTTGGGCCATTTCCCCCCAGCCCTGCCTTGAAAGAGGCAGCAGGTTCATTCCGTTCGTGAAACCAGACAGGCTGAGAATATTTTAAGCTTTTTCTGAAGCTGGGAAATCAAATGCTACTCCCCTGTCACCTTTGGTAAATTAGCTGCTATGTTCTCAACTCTGAGGAAATTAAGGGGAGCCCAACTGAATTTTAAACGCCTGTGTCAATTGCCAGACTGAGGGGCGAGAAGATGGGGGGAAACAAGCAGCAAAGAAACAGAGCAGGTATGAAATGCTGTACCCCAAAACAAAAAGTTCAGGATTTTTCCTGAGTGTAGAGGATTTTACACACACACACACACACACACACACACACACACACACACACAATTTCTTTTCCGTTCTCTCACTTTTTTTAGATTAAATTCATTTCCACCCTCCACTGTCTGTCCCTTACAAAGCCACTAGATTGTTTCACCCAATGAAAAAATGTTGGCCACATAACACCCTCCCCCATTCCTGTTCTAACCATCCGCACTTGCCATTTTTTCTATTGATTCTTCTTCTCATCCCTTTTAGTTTTTTGAGTTCTTCACTGCTGATGAGGGCTCCTTTAGTCCCCCTCACCTTTCTCCCCAATCACCCCTTCCATCAATGTCCACCAGGAATCATAAATAATATCCCCGGTATGGCGAGGAAATGGAAAATAAAGAACAACAAAACATACGAAAACTGGGCTATAGTTAAGAAAGCAGAGGGGCTGGTTGTCCGCATGGGCGGCCGCTCTTTCCACCAGCTTTGAGTCGGGCCTTGGGACTTAGATGCCAAAGAAAATGAAGTAGGGCGGTGGGAGGTGATATCAAGAACAGTTCATCGCCCAACTGTATAAAGCTGCCCAAGCCTGTCTTTGGCCTCTTTGCTTCTGCTTATAGCCTATGAAAGGTGGGTCAGAGCAGAGCTTATGCAGCACACAAAATTTGTATGGCTTACGTCCAAGTTACCATCACCTTAAAATGTACAACATCGCAGACTTATCCTGGCTTAACAGTCATTCCCATGAAATCGTAACTCTTTAATTGGAATTAGGGACATACAGAATTCTTAGCCCCCTCACTGTGCTACAATTTGCTGAGGGAAGCCATGACAGTTAAACTGGTATACAGCTGATATATGCTGTTTTGTAGCATAGAAGTGCCCTCAATTAGCTAGCAGGGCTGAAAACAAATTCACCTGAGATATTTATGAAACCCTGGAGAACCACTGACAATGCTTGGCCTGCACTGACATGGGCTGAAATGAGGAGGAAAATTAAGAGTTAGGACTGCAAGGTCCTATCCCTTCTCCTCAGCCTTCTCCTTGACCAAGCCAGCTTGGCAAAGGACAAAGTTAGCAAGTCCCACCAATGTGGCCTGGCATCAGTTCCGGCTCTCAAGAGTCAAGCTCTCATTCTCCTCTCTTTCCTCTTGGCCTTCTCTGCAGATCCGCGTAGTGAAAGCGTTCCGTAGTTCCCTCTACGAAGGGCTGGAGAAGCCAGATACGAAGACCTCCATCCATAACTTCATGACAACGCCCGAGTTCTTGATCAACGACTACATCCACAACATCCCCCTCATTGATGATACAGACGTGGAGGAGAGCGAGGGTCCCCCGAGACGGCGCTTCCGGGCCAGTCCCCCACCATCCCCCAACAAGAACAACAACGCCATTGACAGCGGCATCTACCTAAGCACGGATGCCAGCAAGACACCTACCTCCTCGTCCAGCCCTGTTAGCCCGCTCCACAGCATGGAAACTTCCCTCTAACACAACCCCACCATGCAACCAGTCAAAATGACTTTCTGCACAGCAGGGGTGTTCAGTTCCTCCTGGGAGACAAGGACTAGCTGAGTGAGTCAGGAAAGAAAGCGGGCAGGAGATGGCGTTTCTCCTCTTGACACTGGAGGTTTTTTCTCTTAACGGGGTGGAAATGGACACGGTTTCTGCCACTGGTTGGCTCAGGCAAATGAAGACGAGAAACTGAATGGATGCAATGAAAAGCGATAGACAAACTGTGAAGGGGGAGAAAAGTTTTCTTCAGAATCACCCGTGAGGGGTTTGTGGCTGAGTCCCGGAGGGTGTACAGGAAAAAAAACAACCACCCATTTCTCTAGTCTGTTCTTCGTTTCTCTTTGGACACAAAACACACTCACCGAACCCACGATAATCCCCCGTTTGGGGGTTGCTTTGATTTATTTCTGGGACCTCTTTTCAGGTTTCCCCTCCCCCCCAAAAAAAGTTTAAAAAAGGAACTATATTTGCACCAGAAAAAGAACAAAAAAAAGGAAAAAGGAAAAAAGAGGAATAATCTAGACATCTATTATCCTAAATATATATATATGATACCAACCAACAGATGTATTAACGGACCTTCTGACCATAAACGCATGCCTGTTATCAAACCCTCTTTTCTCCTTTCCCCTCTCCCCCAAGGGAATTTCAGCCTGGGGCAAATCTGTTTTTGTTTTGTTTTTTTAAAAAAAAGATCATTGCTTGCTGTAGCTTGTATTTTATATCAGGGTTTGCCAGGGAAAGAACACTGATTATTTCCTCTTGGGAGCGGGAATTGACTGTGGGGCAGTTGCTGAGTACAGTAACAGAAGCCCTGGTGGGCTGGGTCTTGCACAGATGCAGAGTGGCGGAAATTAAGGGTCTGGTTGCACTGGCACAAATTTGGGCCTTTTCAGGCAGTTATCCAGAACCTGACCCAAAGCAGGCCTCCCTGAAATGGTGTGCTGCCCACCAAGCCCCCTCCCTGGAAGTACCCTCAATCCAAATGCTTCCTAAAGCTTCCAATAAATATCTGAGCAAAAGAGACTGCTTAGAAGAGGGGGAAAGATAAAGATTGAACTACTTTTTTTTTAATCTACTAAGAAAGAAAGCAACAACTTTCTTGATATTTGAAATTTCTCATTCAAAGCATTAATCAGACTGGCAAAGAAGTTGTATTTCTGATAATCTTATATTTTGTGCCCAAAATGAAGGAATAGGTTTCTAGCCCTCATGGTTGTGGAAAGACATTTGAAAGCATGCAGGCTTAGTGGCCAGCAGTTAATGACTACTCATCAAGTAGTTCTGGCTTCCACTCATTTTTACTTAATAATGCTGATTTATATTCAGTTTTATTCCAGAGTTTAGTCATGTTATAATGCTTTTCCTTTTACACTGGTTTCAAGGACTGCATATCTCCACACCCGATGACAGTACCTGCAAATGCTGGGCTGGGAGAAACAAGGTTATTAAGAAAATTCCAATTTTCCTTAAGGAGACTTCATGCATATCCATTCTACTTCACTATTTTTTCCTTCACACAATTGTGTACCATGGGAGCCACAAATTCAGCCTCTGCAATCCCCACAATCAGAAAAGATCCCAAAGGTACCATGGCAGTGAGGACCGGGGTGCCCTTAGGAGCGACAAGGTGGGAGACAGGTCCATGAGGCCCAACGCACTGGGAAGCTGGTCTGCCACACAGAGAAAAGAGAGCACTGCTGCCTCTTCTTGCAGCTCCCATGCATTACTGTTCAGCCTGTTTGGGTGAATGGCCTGGTGGGCTGTGCCTCATACTAGTTAGCGGTAGAGAATGCGTACCATTTGTACACATTTCTGCCTCGTACGCCAAAATCACAAGGCAACCGTTTGAAGGTGGCAGAGATTCCTGCTGCTGAACAGTGTGTATTCCTGGCTCACATACTACCTTGATCCTATGCACAGATAAGTGCTGTGAGGTGGTGGTGAGGAGGTAATGTTTTCTTTGCTCGTTTATATCCCACTCTTCCTCTCGGTTCAGGGTAGCCTATAGCACATTATTCTATGTTAGTCCTGCAACAATCCTGTCAGGACAGAGAGTTAGAGAATGAGTTCATAGAATCCTAGGGTTGAAAGGTACCATCTAGTCCAAAATTGCAGCAGTCTTTTGCCCAAGGTGGGGCTCAGACCCACAACCCTGAGATCAAGAATCTCATGCCGTATCAGAGGCCACCAAGCAGCTTCCATGGCTGGGTGTGATTTCCCTTGTTTAACTCTGATGCGCTATTGGATGGATGCGCTGCATTGGCTTAGAGAACCTTTGGTCTAGCAGGCGAGGGCAGAGAAAGAAAAGTTGAGGTTCACGGCACAGCAGCACATGGTGTCATAAGGTTAGAAAAATGCCTTTATTGCCCAGAGAGAATACTGGCTTCCACCAGGTTAAGCTTGCCTTCATCTTCTTCCAAACCAGCTTATCTTAACCTCAGTTATACAACATTCCTGCCAGAAAGAACCTGCGAAAAGCTCCAAACTGCCACTGGCTTTCCATGGCAGCAAGCACGGATCTGGGCAGAGTGCAATCACTGAACTTAAATGAAGGGCCAGCACCCTTTTGCTGATGCTTTCTTACAAGTATCTGGTGCCGTGGTCTGCACTGATACAGTTCCGCAATGTGGGGCTACATAGAGGCCACCAAAGAACCATTCATAGTTCTGTCACACACGGTGACAAAGGAGCTGCGCCTACAGCAGCCAGGGGGAGATGGGGAAGGAGTCAGGAGTCATGGGTGCTGTCCCTGACCAGACTGTTTTGTCTTTCGCTGCGAAAATGAGTCGCCCTCAACCCCTTGCAGCCCCAGCTTTCTCCGCGTATAAAAAACACGTAACTAAAAGTATGTAATATTTAGAAACTGTGGAACATACTCTGCATTTTCCCAGGGCAAACCTGCTTGAAAATACCAGCTGCAGCACTGTCAGAAAAGCCATCCCTTCCACGGAAGGGCAAATGCCAAACCCATCTGTAAATCTTTTTGTCGTCATCTTTTCTTTCCAAGAAAAACAACGAAAACAAAAAAAAAGTTTCTTTTTCCTCATCTGAGTGTTTAAAGGGGAAAAAAATAAAAATGGAAATCTTAAGTGTTTAATTTTCAAGTAAACGGAATGGGCCACCAAAGGAAAGCTTTAGTCCCAGTCTGGGCTTATATATGCACACACACACCCCATCTGAACAAAAAAGAGATCACTTTGCTGCTGTACAAATTTGCCAGGTGTTTATCAGTGAGTTTCTGCTATTTCACAAGTGCGGGAGGGTAAGGGCATTCCTTCTAAGGGGGGGGGGATTGTGTTTCATTGGGGATATTTTTTTTCCTAAATCATAGTAAAAAGGGGGAGAGGGTGAAAGGTTTTTTAAAAATAATAATAATAATAATAAATAAGTAAAAAAAAAAGGCGCTTGTACATTTGTCCAAATGGAAGAGGCCATCCAAAAATCACAACGCCATCAGGCTAAAAGCCCCCAAGATTGCTAAATTGCTTTAATGACTTGATTATTAAAACAAGACCAGGCTGCTACCCAAAGCGAAAGCAGAAAACCAGCCATAGTCCCAGGATAGCAACACTTTCAAGCAAAAATGGGGGAGAAATAAACTAGAAGTGCTACAAAATATTGTTTGTAAGCCCAATTTGTTTTGGGGGGAAAAAATTATCAAGAGCATTATAAATGTACAAGTAATATATAAACCACCGAACTTGGGTATTGGATAAATTTTAACATGCATTTATGATAATCTATTGCATTTTGTACCAGTTATCCTTCTTGTTATTTGTACATTTACAGTGCCTTTGATAAAGGACTTTTTCTCAAAATGCAATGGGCTGTAATAAATAATATGTAGAGTTTATTTCCTTTCTTTGGCTGCTACCACCATCAGTGTCAAGTGGACCACACTGGGGTCCATCCATAAGGGACCTAGAGTTTGCGTAAGTTTGGTAAACCTTTTTCCCCACTCTCCTCCATCCTAAGGAGTATACACTAATAGTAAGCTCCATCCACTGTCCCAAAAAACTGTAGAAGAAAACCCTAAAAGCGGAAGGGGGTCCCAAAACAATGAAAACTAAGCATGCAGTGTGGGACACAAGATGCTGACTGACAGTGGTGGGGAGAGGGGGGGGGGCTGGCTTGCTAGAACGAAGAGCTGGAGCACGTCTCTCTGCAACACCGTGTGGCTAGTCCAACTTGTTCTAACCAGTAGCAGATGCTTCCTTTGTTACAACTCCACTTCCAGCATCCTCTCCACTTGATGCCTGACAATACTCTCTGTAGATTGTCTCTTAGAGTATGCTGGCTAAGGGTATTGCCAGGTTTGGAAGACACACCACAGGTGGGGGGGGAGCTAAAAGCACACACATCCTCAGTCCTTACGTTCACTTCCGTTTGAAAACTGAACTGGTTTTCCATACTGACTTCTAATACGAAGTATAAAGGGCATTCACCCTAGAGATGAAGAAATGCCATTTTTGCTTCCATGGGCCACCGAAAAGTCATTCCTACAAGTTCAGGATGTGTGTCACTAAAGTAGAAATATAAAGTATATAAAGTAAAAATATACTAAAGTAGAAATATGGCAGACATGCAGGAGCTGAGCTGCAAATGTACTGCAATGAGAGGTCAATCTGGAATAGATGTAGTTAGCAAGTGGTGAGCTGGCAGCCCTCAGTGGCACAGGCAGCAGGGGGCTGTGGCGCAAGAGCTATGCCCTAGAAAGGGCTCTCCTGGCATCTGCCTCCGCTCATTCACAGTGGGGTGGGGGCAAAACCACCCCAAACCACAAATGGGGGGGGCGGGGTGACTGTAGTGCACATGGCAGCAGCAGTGGCTCATCATTTCGACCTGACTTGCAGCATGTCCTTGAAAGTTGCCAAAGGCAGGCAGCCTCCCTGAGCTTTCTCTGCCACACTAGGACGGGCTAACAATTGCTATCTGGCCATTATGAAGCATGGAGAATTGACCCCCATCCCAAGTGGAACAGGCAGAGGTATAAGAATGAAACGGCACTCAGAAGGTATGCTGTCTGTGGACACGTTACTTATTATTTTTAATTTTATTTATGAATTACTCCCTGTAAGGCATCCAGTAGCTACCAAGGCTAATAGCAGTGACAGACCAAGGCTTTATGAATTTGCCTAATCCTTTTTAAGAGCCATCACATTCCATGGCAATAAATATCACATTAATTATTTTGTGCTATCAGCATACAGACTTTGGCATGTCCTGAAGATGCTGCCGTGTAACTGGACGAAACTCGAGTTCTAGAGTTTTGAAAGGGCTAAGGGAAGAACTCAAGGATTGAACTTCTGACTGTTCAATCAGTGCCAAAATTTCAGCTTGTCAGATGGAACTCGGGTCATCTAGTCCAACCCCCTGGTGAAGAGGCATTCTGTTGGGGCAACCGCAACCTGGATTCAAGGTGCCAGTTGGCTCCTAGTTTATATGTCTGAGTTTCTAACACTGGGAGGAAAGAACTGCAGGGGGGATGATGAGGCTTGAAATGAGTGGTGCCATTTTTTCTATCCATTGGCAGCCATAGTTCATCCATGATTTTTTCTTACTCTGGAATTAAGGCATTCACAGCAGTGGAGTCTTTGTCAGATGTCATGGAGTCACGGTACTTCATCCAAGATCTATGACTGGTACGTTGAAGCTTTGGGGAACCATTCCAGAAACAGGTGGGGGAAATATCCTGGCAACATGTTTCACCTGTAGTAGGGAGGCAACAGGTTCCTTCCCCATGGTCTTCTTTCCCCATGGGCTCTGAGCTGGCACCAAGTTGGGAGTAGAGGATGGAAGGCTTCAGACTAATTCCAGGCTGGAGGGTGATTCAGGGACCCCACAGAACACAGTCTATCCAGGCACAAACACCAATCCAGCCCGTTCTGTTCTACTGGGTCGCTCAAAAAAAAAACAGGATACAAATCTGGTGTGTTTTGAGGGGGCAACACTTTCACCTCAACCCCACTTAAAGTGACCAGTCGACTTGGGACGCTGAAGCTTTCTCCTTACTTAATGTACTTAAGAAATTTCTGTATCCAGAGTATAGATCTGGATCAAGCCCAAGACAATCTGGTCAATGACATTCTTGGAGAGATCTTCGCTGAACACCTAGAAGGAGAGAAAACCAGAAGAGAATTGTAGAGTTGGAAGGGACCCCAAGAATCACTTAGTCCAATGCCCTGCAATGAAGGAATCTCAGCTAAAGCATCCATGACAGATGACCATCTAACCTCTGCTTAAAAACCTGCAAGGAATTAGAGGTCACCACCTCCCAAGCGAGCGAGACTGCGCTGCTGTCAAACAGCTCTTGCTGTCAGAAAGGTCTTCCTGATACTTAGTCGGAATCTCCTTTCTTGTAACTCAAGTCCATTCTCCTACCTTAGAGCAGGAGAAAATAAGCTTGTTCCCTCTTCCAAGCAACAGCTCTTGAGATATTTGAAGGTGGTTATTATACCTCTCAGAGATGCGGGTGGCGCTGTGGGTTAAACCACTGAGCCTCTTGGGCTTGCCAAACAGAAGGTCGGCGGTTCGAATCCCCGCAATGGGGTGAGCTCCCATTGCTCGGTCCCAGCTCCTGCCAACCTAGCAGTTCGAAAGCACATCAAAGTGCAAGTAGATAAATAGGTATCGCTCCGGCAGGCAGGTAAACGGTGTTTCCGTGCGCTGCTCTGGTTCGCCAGAAGCGGCTTAGTCATGCTGGTCACATGACCCAGAAGCTGTACGCCGGCAAGATGAGCGCCGCAACCCCAGAGTCGGCCGCGACTGGACCTAATGGTCAGGGGTCCCTTTACCTTTATTATACCTCTCAAGTCTCCTCTTTTTCGGGCTAAACATACCCAGCTCCTTCAACTGTTCCTCATAAGGAACCAGGTAGGAAGGAAAAGGTTCTGCAGAGAAGGGAAGTCACTAAGGTGGAAACAGACAGTGGTGGTGGTTTTCCAGTTTACAGTGATTAGAAAGGTAGATTGCTGCTTGTGGTACATTTACTCTGCCTATTTTCAACTCTGCAACAGGCTTTGGATACCTGTTTCACTAGAGGGAACAGGAAGACAAAAGCAATGTGCATATGCACTATGGAAGTGAAGCTTCTCTCTAGTCACCTTCAGCTGCTTATTTATTTTTTAGCTATTTTCTGTCTCCAGCCTTAATTGTCAACCACGCTGGACCCTGCCTCTCTCGCCTATCCCCTTGAGTTCACAGAAACTCCCGTACCTGGACAGGAGTTCTACCTCCAAGAGGAGCGACTTAATGACATCACTCAAGTTAAAACACCAGGTCTTGATCCAACATCTCCTATCTCAGAGGCTCTGTAGGAGTTCCTCCAAAAGTCTGAGAGGTGGCAAACCATGTCTTTGAAAAGTGAGGTTGAGAGTACCCTTCTCATGCTCACAGTTACACCAGTGCTACGGCAAATCTCATCCTAAGCAGAGAAAACAGAAGGTCCTGACCCTGTTAGAGTGACGATTTGCCACAGCTAATGCTGCCCACACCCGCAAGGAAAACCGAGATACAGGATTTGTGACTTCAACACACTACTACACTCCGCAAGATGTTCTAGGGAGGAGTTGGGACAGTGCTTTTTTCTGCCAGTACACCATACCTGAACCTCTCCTCCCCCCCCCCAAAAAAATATTCCACTACATTGCACTAGTCTAATACCAGAACCACTTTTAATGTTTTTTCCTTCAATAATACCACCATTCCCAGAAGAAATAATCCCATAATAACCCTTCCTCTCCCTCACTCCCCACAATGCTTCTGCAGGCTCAAGATGGCAGATTTCTATAGTCCAAGAAAAAAGCACACCAAGAACTCAGGCCAATGTAAGTTTCAATAGTGGGAGTGGTCCCTACTCGCAAATCAATAGTCAATAGTAACAAAAACTAATGGGACGCGGATGGCGCTGTGGGTAAAACCTCAGTGCCTAGGACTTGCTGATCGCAAGGTCGGCGGTTCGAATCCCCGCGGCGGGGTGAGCTCCCGTCTTTCGGTCCCAGCTCCTGCCCACCTAGCAGTTCGAAAGCACCCCTAAGTGCAAGTAGATAAATAGGTACCGCTTTATAGCGGGAAGGTAAACGGCATTTCCGTGTGCTGCGCTGGTGCTGGCTCACCAGAGCAGCTTCGTCACGCTGGCCACGTGACCCGGAAGTGTCTCCGGACGGCGCCGGCTCATGGCCTCTAGAGCGAGATGAGCACGCAACCCTAGAGTCGGACACGACTGGCCCGTACGGGCAGGGGTACCTTTACCTTTACCAAAAACTAATTCATTCAAAAGTATGTATTCTGACAAGGATTACAAATTCAAACAGAGATTACGAACTCAAGCTCAAGATACACGTTGATCTACCCACACTTGTTATCCCTGAGAAATGTAGAAAATAACAGGATATATTTATCTGAAAGTCTTCAAACTTACACGACCCTTTAAAAATTAGCTGATGAAGGTGAATACATCGAAACAGGGCCCTGTCCTGGTTTCTAATCCATAACTGACTTCTGACTTCTGCTCAATGATTGAAACTAAGACTTCCACGACGAATCTGGACTAACATGAACTTATCTCTACTCATAAACTCTTATCTCTAATTCTGTAATGAATTATTGTGTTATACATATTTTTATAAATTTGAGTTTGTAATCTCTGTTAGAGTTCATAATTTCTATTTGAGTTTGTAATCCTTGTCAGAATACATACTTCTGAATGAATTAGTTTTTGTTACTATTGACTATTGATTTGCGAGTAGGGACCACTCCCACTACTGAAACTTACATTGGCCTGAGTTTTTGGTGTGCTTCTTTCTTGGTATATTTAATAACAAAATTTTTATAGTCTGCACCCTGGTGGCTGCTCTTGCCGCCATCTATAGTGACGAAGGGAAGTGTTTCATAGCCACAGAAAGCAGCTACTTCCCCACCTCCCCCATGGCAGAAAGGGGAAGGGGGCACTGTGACAACTGTGGTGTTGATGCAGCAGCAGGGAGTGAGTTGAGGAGCCAGTGGCAGTGTGTGCACGCTCTCCGGGCTGCTGCGGTGGTTGTGCTCTGCCTCGCTCCCTTTTTTCTGGGCCGCTCCTTCCTGTGCGCCAGGGGCGGTTGGGCCTAAGCAAAATGTTCTGTGTGGAAGAGGAATGAGTCCGAGAAGGATGACAAAGGGCAAGATGAGGAGTCGCCTAACAGCAGCTGCCGCCGCTGCCAAAATACAAAGGGCCTCCTGGAGAGGCCAACCTGCCGGGTCCAAAGCCGCCGCTCCCGGCAGGTTGCTGTGTCCTCCCAGTCTGCTCCAGTGGCAGCAGAAGCAGCGGCAGCTTTGGTTATGGCAGCACACTTCCGGGTTTGCCACGTTCATAAGCTGAAAGTCCGTAACAAGAGCGGAGCGCAACACAAGGTATGACTGTATAACAGGCAGGGAAGTGGCTGGTGTGAAGCATGGAGTCCATGGACTGCAGAGGCGCAGTAGCCAATGGCTAGCATTTCCTGTACAGTCATACCTCGGGTTAGATGTGCTTCGGGATGAGCGCATTTGAGTTGCACTCCGCGGCAACCCGGAAGTAATGGAGCGCGTTACTTCCGGGTTTCACCGCTTGCCCATGCGCAGACACTCAAAATGACGTCACGCGCATGCGCAGAAGCGCCAAAACGTGACCCGCGCACGCGCAGACATGGGTTACGTTTGCTTCTAGACACGAACGGGGCTCCGGAATGGATCCCGTTCACATCTAGAGGTACCACTGTACTTCTGATTCAGCATAAAAACGGACCATTAAGAAGGAAGGAGGCTGCTGCGTGGGCCAGCTCCAAGACAAGCGTCTAGGTCCAGGTCGGGCTGAAAGGGGATACCCCACTGCTTGCCCCCTGCCAGCGGCCTGCCCACCTCTCACTCCCGCGCCCTTACCTGCCACCAAGGCCTCTCTGCCTCAGCATCAGCAGGCACCTCCACCCCGTAACACTGCAGGGCCAGGTAAAGGACGGATGCAGCGAGATGCTGAGGGGGGTGTTGCAGGCACAGTGGTCCGTGGTAGCTGTCCCGCAGCAAGGCCCAGGCTGCCACGGCCACTGGGGTCCGATCCCAGCTGTGCCGGTTCATCCAGTGCTTCAGGGACAACAAGTAGTGGAGAAGGTACTGCAGAAAGAGAACAGCAAGTGTCAGCGATGGCTGAAAACCCAGGGGCTCAGCTTGTGAGCAGCATCTCTCACAAAAGCTCTTCCTTTCAAAAAGGGGTCAGAGCTTGTGGCAAATCCATGGCAAATTCTCTTCAAAGGCCATGTCCCTTGCTTCAGCCCCACTGGCTTCTGGTCCCATGATTCAGTCCCTTGGAGCTAACAACACAATCTCACAACTTTCCCCCACTATGTCCTCACATGCATGTGGCTCTCCAGCATGGAGGTCACCTTGGTTTAGGAAAAAACCTGGATGACTCCTGAACACCAGGGACACTGTGGCCCTCAGTGTTGCTGGACTCCCATCAGGCACAACCTGAGCCCAACTCATGATTGAGAACGGTGGAAGCCACAGCTTCCCCAGCCCCACTGAAGACCACCTGGCCACTTGGTAGTGGAAAAATCTCTACACAACTCTTCAAAGCAAAATAGGTGTTGTTTTTATTCTCACAATAACCCTGGAAAACAGATGAAGCTGGCAAGTTATTTGCCCAGTGAGCTTCATGACTTGAGGGATTTGAACTCAGGTCTCTCCCGCAAGCCCAGTACTTTTTTCATGCCGCCATACTGGTTTTCGCATTCCTACATCCTGCTGCCCCAGGGTGCAATCCTACTGCACCTGCTCTCAACCACAGAGAAGGGCTCCAAAGTCAGGAGTGCTGGCTCCCAGCCTGCCTGGGTTCATTCCCCCACCACTTGGGGAACGAGTGTTGCTGGGTACCATCTTTCCTCCCCTCTACTATGTCTGCTTTCCCTTCCCTTCTCTGGCCAGAACTGTGACTTCTGATCTGTTCCTCCTAGTCTAACCCTCTGCAGTCTGTTCCCATCTGGAAGGTGGAAGCAGAACCCAGAGGCTTGGGCTGCAAGGAACAGTTCCTCCAGGTGGGAGGAGAGTCGTGAAGGTGTAGCCCTTTGCCTCCCAAGCAAGTCACGCACCCCGTTTGCACCCTAAGCCCCCACCCTGAACAGCCCGCACCTTATGGGGGTGCTGGAAGGAGACACGGAAGCACAGCACCCGCAGCATGAGCAGCTCACACTGGACAATGCTGTCTCTCAGCTCCCAGAAATGCATGTCCAGTTCCAGGAGGTCACTTCGTGGGTGCAAGTACCTGTGGGGGAGAAGAGGAAAAATTCTGGGGGTTTATGGGGTTCCTTCTTGCAGGTGACAAATTAAACTGATTTTTCTCTTTCTCTGAACACCCAAAAAAAGCTACGTGCAAATGTCTTACAGAGGGAGGTGTTCCTTCTAAGCCTGAACAATCTTCTATGGAAATCTTGTGGAAAGCCAAATCCCTTGCCTAGAATTCTGAATGGGGCTACAGCCTTTGTTCCCCATAACTAGTAGATTTATCAGCTACAGCTGTTAGTTGATTAATTGGGGGGGGCACTTTTAATCAACCAGGAGAAAACCTAATGGATAAAGCATTTATTTCACTTTTTAAGTCAGTTTTCTCTTTAGTCTGGCTGACGGTTGCAGCAAGGGGTCCTTTTTTGTTTATGCCACATGGGCTGTTCACATTAGGGTTGACCTACAAATTTTACTATACAGGGCAAATGTCTGCACTGCCACTTGTGAATAAACTTTGACATAAGCCAGTCAAGAGGATAACTGGATTTAAGCAGTTCAGAAAAGCAAGTGGGGATATGTATGTCTTTAACCAAATTAAAAGAGGGATGGTTTTGTTATTCCTTGCTTTTGCAAGCACACCCACCCACTGTGGAAAGCGGAGGATACAATGGCAAGATGAGTGAGGAGGGGCACAACTGTATAATCCCTCATACCATACATCCTATTACCTGTGGCTGACATTGATGATGTCCCTTGTCCGCAGGTGCTGCTCTTCTACCTTCCCCGCCAGGTAAAGGGCAGCCATAGCTACCAAGTAGGGATCATACGGTTCCAGAGGCACCTCCATAAAGAACCGGTGGTAAATGGTGCATGCTGTGGCAATGGGGACAGAGCGCAAGCCCAGCTTCACACCTGTCAATCCAAAAGAGAATCAGCAAGGCGAGGACCGGGAGCTGAGGGGGGAAGCAAAGCGCAGGGCCCCTTGACTCACAGATGGCTTGGCCACAAAGCAGGGTGCAGAAGAGGGAGAGGGCAAACTAACAAGGTTGTGGTGAGGGAAAATCCACTGGGAAGTTCTCCTGCGCAAACCTCTCTAAAATGAATGGGAGCTGTGCAAAACCATGCGCAGATCCAATTCCTTTCAGTGATGCAGACTCAGACTTTTTCCCCAGTGGATTACATCCCATTTTAACCATTAGGAGGAAGGGGCTTTCAGATTTTCTGCCTGTAGGCACCTAAATGTCGCTTCCATCCTCAAGATTCCTATGGGCTCCCCCTTCCCTCAATCAGGGCAGATTTCCTCCTAAACAATATTTCTTGATTTTCCTTGACGTTTTAGCTTCCGTTCTAAAATGAGGCAATCAGCTTTTCCTTTTGTTGATATAAGACAAATTATTCAGACAATGTTTTTACCCCAAGCCTGCCTCCACCACCTTTCAGTATTCCTGTGAGTGCAAAAGTACCGACACTATGCAATTTATTTTTAAAAACAAAATGTCATTGAGCTTAACAATTTATTACAGTTAACTGAAAACAGCATTAATTTTAAAAGAGCATACTGCTTGAATTGTTTTCCTGTTTCTCATTGACCTACAATGACGCCCGCCAACTCCTCCATTTCGCAGCTCTGGGCTTGCCTCCAACCCAACCAGACCCTCTACCCCCCAAGCCACAAAGATTGCCACACCTGGTCCTGTGTCTCCTCAAATCACCTTTCCCCTTCCAACATAACCCTCCTTTCTCACAGGGATTGGGCCACTACTGATCAAGCGTTCCTCAGCTGCACCAAAATGCAGAGCCCAGCACCCCTCTCACCTGCCTCCATGATGAACCTGCAGACTCTGAAGTGTGTCCTGGCATCGGCAGATACCTGACCGGCCTCTGACAACCCAGCAGAATCCATGAATGTTGGTGTGTTCCAAAGAGTCTGCAGAAACAAAAAGAACCCAAAACCGCCTTAGGAAACACCCCTAGGAAACATCCTAGGCAAAGCGCCTTGCTCCCAGTAGGATGCTGCTCTTTGAGTCCCATTCCTTTGACTGACAGTCAGCTGCTACCACCTGCCCCACTCCCTAAGGTCATGGCAGTCTAGCAAGAGTTGCATGCTCATGCTGCACTGAATTAAGGGCAGATATGGAGGGAAGGGACGCAGGTGGCGCTGTGGTGTAAACCACTGAGACTTGGGCTTGCCGGTTGGAAGGTTGGCGGTTCAAATCCCTGCAACGGGGTGAGCTCCTGTTGTTCAGTCCCAGCTTCTACCAACCTAGCAGTTCAAAAGCACGTCAAAGTGCAAGTAGATAAGTAGGTACTGCTCTGGTGGGAAGGTAAACCGCATTTCCATGCGCTGCTCTAGTTTCGCCAAAAGCGGCTTAGTCATACTGGCCACATGACCCAGAACAACTGTCTGCGGACAAATGTCGGTTCCCTTGGCCAATAAAGCGAGATGAGCACAGCAACCCCCGAGTCGTTTGTGACTGGACATAACTGTCAGGGGTCCTTTACCTTTACCTTTTTATGGAGGGAAGTCCATCTCTGCCTAAAAGCAAAACATTATCTAAAACAGCTGGGGGGCACTATTTATAACTCCTGTCAAGAGGAGCACCTAATACTAGCGCCCATGCTCATAGCAAGTTGTAGTGCAAGGATTAAATGGAAACGGCATCCAGAAAATGTAATGTCCCGCTACTCCTTTGATGCCGCACTACAAGAACGTGCTTGTTCCTAACATATGGTAAGGCAACACTTTATATGCACACACTAAGAGAAGGGATGCAGCTCTGGCCTACTTCCACTGAATCAGCGGTGTGGGTGGGAGAGGGTGTTGGAGAACCCGCCAGAACAGCACATGGGAGGAGGAGGGAAGATGAATCTGCCATGCAAGCTGAACTGGAAGAGTGTGACACTGATATTCCTCCCACTGCAAACAAATCAGAGGAGTTCCCAGCAGGACATTGTGAAAGTATCTGTATAGGCCAGTGGGGAAGAACCACTAGGCTACAGGCTGGATCTGGCCCATGGCACCTCTGCCAAGGCCACACTCCCCCTCCTCCTCCTCAAACATCAGAAGAGCAGGGAAAACCTCACCCACAGTTCGGCAGAGGCAGCATTCATGGGTGATGTTCCTCAGGACTGCTGGGGTGGGGGAGTCTTAAGCCTTCACTTCCCCATCCAATAAAAATGAGTTGAGAAAAGCTAATAGCAGTGTGCGTGGGATTTGGGGGGGCGTTAAACCTGCCCTCCCTCCCCATCCTGATGATACATCTTCGTGTCTGGGGGGGGGAGGGTGATGTGTCTTTCTCTCTGTGTAAGTGGGGGAGCCCCTGCGAGAGAATATGGCTCTGGAAGGCAAGGGAGGGAGCATGTGCATATATGCACATATATAAGCACACATATATGTGGATATATATATATTGGCAGCCACTCTCCTCCTCCAGCTATCTTTTCTACTCTAGAGGAAGTATGCACACTCAGAATCAACTAACATCTGCCGGATCATGTCAATGGCCTTTCCAACCCAGCATCCTGTTCTCACCTCGACTGACCAGATGCCCCAATGGGAAACCCACAATTCATTAATGCCAGGACTGTTTAAAAACAGGGATGGAGGAACCTGTGGTACTGCTGGGACTCCCAAAAGCCCCAGCCGATTTGAGCAACAGTAAGAGATCAGGGCAGTTGCATCCAGCAACATTTCTTAAGGTATCTCCAAAAATGGGTTCTCCAGTCAGTGAAGGAAGTGGAGTGGAAGGAAGGAGGAACGCAAGAAAGGCACACCATGCCCAGCCCCTTAACCATGGTAGGAAAGTCCCTCTGGCATTACAGTGCTGAGGCCTACGCAGCAGCACCTAGAGTCTGCAAAATTCAGCCCAGCTGGTGCCAGTCTAGTTTGCACACTAGGAAGGCAAAGTATGTCCACCCAATTTTTTTGGTTGCTCACCTCCATTTGTCAAAAAATAACATGTCTTGTACAAATTATAACATCCTTCAAAATATAAAATACAAAAGTAAAATGTTATCAGAACTTTGTAAGATACAAGGAAGGTCTTTCTGCATAAGACTGCGCCCCTCGAGGTCTGCGCCCTGGGCGGCTGCCCGGCTGCCCTAAGGGTGGCGCCGGCCCTGCAGAGCCCGCCGCCCCCCCCCCCCCCCCGCCCGGGGCTCGTCCCGCTCCGGAGCCTCCCTGGTTTCCATCTGCACAAAGGAAAGGAGGGCGCAGCCCCGCCCTCGCCCGCCGCCCCCCTCCGGGGCCCCGACCCACCCCGGGCACTCGCTCGCCCCCGCGGACCTGCTACTGGCGGGAGCCGAGGCGCGCAGCTGCCGGCGCGGGAGGCCGCGGAGCAGGCGCCGCCGCGCGGGGGAGGAGGAGGAGCCCGGCCCGGCCGCGCGCGGACCAAAGGCAGCCGAGCCGGCGCGCAGCTCCCGGGCCCCGCCGCCCCCAAGCGGAGCCGGGCCGGAGGCGCGCGCCAGGAAACGTCCTCTCGGGCGCGGCGCCGTCTTCCTCCGCGCGCTCCCGCGCTCCGGTGCGCTCTTCCTGCTCTCCGCCCCTCGGCCGGCCTTCCCTTCCTCGCCGGGGCGGAGACTTCTTTCCCGCCGAGGCTTCCCACGCGCCGGGCCCCTTCCAGGCGCAGCGCTGCAGTGACAGGGCTCCGCGGGGAAACGCCTCCGGGGCTCGGGGAAGCAAGGGAAGCGGAGGCCTGAAGCTCCGGCCCGGGCAGGTTTTTCCGCGAACAGCAGGAAAACACAAACAGGGAAATACACCGCGGAAAGAGCTTTTGGAGCCTTCCAGGTTCCGGGAAGGACTCGCGTGGGCTCCGGGAGCAAGGCAGAGCTCTTTCCACGGACAGGTCCCCGTCCCCCGTCCCCCGCCAACTCTCCCTTTCTTTCTTTATTTCCCCGCCACCCGCATAAACCTGTGGTCGTGCAAGTGTAAGATGCGAGTTACCTGTAACTGAGAAGAGCCGTGGCGTGTGTTTTACGACGATTCCCCACGAGGGGGTGCCGGTTCAAAATTCATCTGAAAACAAATGGCCTGACGGATGGATGAGTCCGGAGTTACCCATCGCTAAGGAGGAAGCCTCCCATTGGGCACAGTGGGATTTACTTCTGAGTAAATAACTAAGCAGCAGCGTACACTAGACCTAAGCCTAAGCAATGCAACTGAAACAACATGTTTGCTCTGCCTCCATTCGCGTTTTCCTTTTTTTCCCCCCCAAAAAATTATTACATTTTCCACAATTTTAACACTTATGACCAAACAAAACACAAAGAAAAATAAAAACAAAAAAGACAGCATAAGAAAAAACAATATAGTGCATTACCATAAAGATATAACCAACACCACAACATATATAAAAAAAAGGGAAAAGAAGAAGACGTCCTCATGCTTTCCTGTTTATCTTATAATACAAATCACAGCCCAGTTGGTAGAGCGTGAGACTCTCAATCTCAGGGTTTGGGGTTTGAGCCCCACATTGGACAAAATATTCCTACACTGCAGGGGGTAGGACTAGATGACCCTCATGGTTCTTTCCAACTCGACATTTCTGTGATTCATAGAACTCTGCACTTGGAAGGGACACAAAGTGTCATCGAGTCCCAACCCCTGCAACGCAGGAATCAAAGCTGAATAAATATTAGACTGTAAAGTACCATGCACATTATAAGAATTCTAAGGGCTCAAATACAGAATCAATGTTCATAAATGTACAAGGCAAACATATATAAACCACATCTCTGAAATAGTACAGGAGAGCAATCCTGAAGCCAGTTTGACTCTCCCAAATTGACCTCAAGTATTTCTCTGCAAGAAAGAAGGAAATGGGTAAAGCTTTCCAATTGTTTTTGGACTGTAGGGGCTTACACCTCCCTGAAAAAACAGTCTGGCAAGTATCTGTTAAGCTGAGCAAACTATCAATATGTGTAAGAGATTAAGGAACTAAAGTATTTACCATCTCAAAAGAATGGCCAGGCTACCCAGAAAATGCAATCAAGTAAGGCATTATCTGGTATCCTGGCAGACAGGGGAGAAGTAACACACTCCAATTTCTGCTGGAGACCGCCTCTTTCTGTGACGTAGGTATGATGTTTTGGGGGTGGTCTTGGGTTACAGGGTGGGCAATTTCAAAAGTCTTTATAGGGGCTTGCGCACCATTGTTCTGGGTCTCTCCTACCTCCTTGCAAGGGGGGGAGGGAACTTTGTTGCAACAGAAAAATAAAGATCTGCCTTGCTTTCTCTGGATCTTGCCTCCATCCATTCATCTCTGATCATGGACTTAGGGGACTCAGTCCCTTGGGAGTTGGGCAGCAAAAGCTAAACCCCTTATTTTTTCTATACCATAATATACATCAGATCTTGGTTTTCTTGATGGCATCTGTCTGTCTCAGGAAGAGTGTGCCATTGGGGGCAAAGTCAACCCGTTGGAGAGTTAACAGCTGCTATGGCTGTTGAGACCAACGCAGGAGAGGCATGTTTTGTTGCAGCTGGGGCAGACGAGGGCATCTAGTTGTGCACAATGGTGTTTCTACAGGAAAACACATGGTGTTTACCCTATTGGAAGCCTCTGGTCAGTTTCAGCACAGTTGTCAGTTTGCAACCCTGAGTTTCCCCCTTTAAATTTGAGAATGGGGCTTTTCCTGCCTCTCTTCCATCTGGTGCTGCCATTCACACACTTCTTTGCCAAGCAGGTTGGTAGGGTGGGAGCTGGGAGTTGAGACAAATGATAGAAGCAGGTGGGAAAAAATGGATGGGAGAGCCCACGACTGCCTCACCAGCCCCAACCCCATCCAGCCTCCAGTGGAGTTTTCCAATGAAGCCTGGAAAAAAGGAAATGTCCTGGATTCATGCAGACTGCTCAACTCATGGCTGGTTGCACATTTTCAATGTATGCATTTGTACTGCAGTGACTGGGGGTCTGAAACAACATTTGGGAGGATATCCTTTTTGTTAGAAGGCTGTTGAGGAACATGCCTCCAAGGTTCAAGTCTCTGTCACAGTGAAAAAGTCCTGCGGCATCTGAAAAATCAAGCTGTTTATTGTGACGTGCACTTTCAAATCCATAGTCAAGAGTCAATTTCACACAGTGCAAATTATTAACATATAAATACAAATTTACTAAGCCTAACCTAACTTTCACCAGATACATAGAGTAAATTGGAAGAGCACACTGGGCACTGAGGTACACCAGAAGGAAAAACCCAGTGAACAAGATTTAAAGGTAACAGAAGTGCAAGGAACACGTTCAGATAGCAAGATAAAAGCCACAAACAAAACATGACCTACATTTTCTGGAACATCAGAGCTTGAATACTGTGTGCCACAGCAAATAATGCTGTGGCCTTGGCCTTGTGAAACTGGATATTATCTTGCAATATCTGTAGGTCATTGGGGGGGGAATGTACGTAAGTTATTATGATGGTGTAAATTAAGGAAAGGGTTTATTGGCTTGTTGATATTCTTTGTTTTGCTTTGTGATGTATTCTTGTGTATTTTTATGTTGTGAACTGTCCTGTGATCTGTGGTTGAAGGGCAGTATACTAGTAGTAGTAGTATTACAACAACAACGTTCAAAGGCTGAAGTTGTTTAGAACCTCAGAACAAAATTTTGAAACCAGAAGGAGCAGAAAGTAGCTTAGTTTAGTTTATAGTAAATGAAGCTTCCTTAAAGGTGAATTCTAACAAGACTAACATATTCTCAGGTTTTCCTCAATATCACACAGCCCTGATGGTTAACAATTTATATTCACCTGAGTTATTCCAATAAAGGATGTGAAAATCTTCCACTATATTAAAACCTGTGCTTTGTGTCTTAGATTGTGTGTTCTAAGTATCTAAGACTTGCAGTAGCTGAAAACCAGTGTTTGATATATGGAGGGGGGGCAGAGGGGATCAGTCCCCCTTGCCTTTTGTGACGGCTTCTTTGGTTGCTTTTAGAAGAGGGGAAATGGTAGTGAGTCAAGGGTGGGGCTCATGAACTTCTTTTAAATCCCCTTTACCTCCCCTCATCCCATTTGAACATCCTGCTTGAATCTCATTAACACGGATGAGGGGGAGAGAGCGGATTAAAACTTCTCTTTAGCACCCTTGCCAGAAGCCACATCATGCCAAGCTGCAGTGTTGTGCGAAGGAGCCATGAGTTGGCACCTGCCCAGTTCCATACTGTTGTACTCCCATCAGTAATTGATACTCGGCAGCTTGCACTGCTGGTGTGCAGAACACTACAACCTTGACAGAAATGTTTCATACACATCATCACCAGCTACTACCTGGGTCAGAAGAGCAGAGGGAGGCGTTGCTTGCAACCTGGCCATCTCCTAGGCTGAACTCCGTCTGAATTCAGTGAGAAAGAGCAGCATGAGCACTTAACACAGGGAAAACTCTGGGCATGAGACTGCTGCCACAAGCAACAGAGAGAATGAATCGACCCTTCAGAGAGATGCATCGTGAGGGTTTTGCTGAGTGCTGAGAAATCAGGATAAACATAGTGGGAGCTACTTTTGCATTTTAACAGAAATATATTTAATTCTAGGCCAGTGACAGACAATAGTTTTTTAAAACATGAGAGAACCGCACTCATGTGGTGTGCTACTCACATACTCCTTTTGTTCCACAGTAGTCTCTTGTATGCCTCCTTCCGGAAACTCTTGCAGCCAAGCTGGTGCCAAATGTATTGCTCTGCTTTCCTTTGGACCACATCAGTGAGGCCGGGAGAGGGGGTCTTGTTGTCTGGGCTGCCCAGGACCCCCATACACTCTGCCCAAGCGTGCGCCACAGGGAGGTTCCTTTGGTGCTGCTAACGCAGCAAAAACAATGCAGGAGGTAGCAGTTACAAGTTACTGGTCTCTGCAGCCACAGCAGGTGCTGTGATTCTCCAGTGGTATTACTTCACACACCCCCCCGAAGTGTAGTACTCCATTGTCTCTTAAGACAGGCGGATGCCAACAACAACAAGTCCCTGGTCAAACAAGTTTTGCATGCTTTTGAAACAAGATCAAATCTGCCAAATCTGTTTACCAGGGGGTAGCTAATGAACCTTCATTGCTTTGACAATGGAATGAGGTGGTAAAGAAGATTTCAAGTTTCTTGCAAATTACATAAAGGAAGTCGGAGAAGGATGGGGAATAAACAAGGCAAGGCTGGAGACGGCTTTCTTTTGTTGGGGTTCCTACTTCATGGCCACAACTTAAAATGATAACACCACTTTGCAGAGTTGTTTGCTTTTCTAAGCTACATGTTGTATATCAGTTGGCTGAAGGTGTTCCTGAAAGTTCAGTGTGATTTGCAAGTTGAACCTATGCAGTCAGAAGTAAACACTACTGAGTTCAATGCAGTTCACTGCCAGGAAATTATGCACAGAACCACAGTTGTGCCTCATGGATGATCAGGGATGTAAATTCATGTCTCCTGGATCAACACAGCTCCCTGGATTTTGGACTTTCCTTGAGGTTGTGGCAATGGGAGCTGCCATGGCATATGTGGTAATGAATTTCCTAAGTGCTGCCTTTGAACAGAGGTCCCACATTGTTCCAGATGCTCAGCCCTACTCTCTTGCCTCAGAGGGAGCTGTTGCCTGGCAACTGCCAGAAAGGGAAGATGCACCTCCATCATGAGCTGAGCAAGCTCCAGCTGTCCAGCACCCGTCCTGTGCCTGGAAGGAGGCTCTGCTACCTACTACGCAGAAGCCACATGGCAGCCAAAGGGAAGACCAAGGCAGGAAATGCTTGCTGACTAATCCTGGCACCACAGATACACTCTGGCATTAATGTCCCTGATACTAGACCTGGATGTGATTTTTATTGAGATTTTTTTGCAGTTTAAGAGACCCTCAGGATTATAAAGTGGCAACAAAACTATTTTAAATTAAATAAAGGCTGAAAATAGAAAGCTGGGGTTCAGCTTTTAACTCTACGACAGAGATGTATTTCCAGATCAAGGAATTTGTTTTACTAGATTATCTGTGTGACTCACTGAGGGGAACAGAGCCACATGCTACTGAAGAAGGCAACCCCCTTCCCTCTGATGGTGGGGGGGTGGGCTTTTAGCGTATCAATAATGTTATTAGAGAGAGAGAGTGCACACAAATTCATCATTTCAGTGCCAATGCTCATATAGTCAAAGGGGCACCATCCATGCAAAATCCACAGTTCCTGGAAATAGAAACAAAATATTTAGAAAATAATCCAAAAAACAAAGACTGAGCATTCTTAGTGGTCACAGAATGTTGAATGACTGCTGTGGGGGAAATGGAATGGAGTATTTCCCCAAAGGGATGCAGGTGGCGCTGTGGTCTAAACCACTAGGCATAGGGCTTGCCGATCAGAAGGTCGGCGGTTCGAATCCCCGCGACGGGGTGAGCTCCCGTTGCTTGGTCCCTGCTCCTGCCAACCTAGCAGTTCGAAAGCATATCAAAGTGCAAGTAGGTAAATACATACTGCTCCGGCGGGAAGATAAAAGGTGTTTCCGTGCGCTGCTCTGGTTCGCCAGAAGCGGCTTAGTCATGCTGGCCACATGACCTGGAAGAACTGTCTGCAGACAAAACGTTGGCTTCCCTCAGCCAGTAAAGCGAGGTGATCACCGCTACCCCAGAGTCATTCGCGACTGGACTTAACTGTCAGGGGTCCTTTACCTTTACCTTTTATTCCCCCCCAAAAGAGCATGGCTGACTGAAGAGGAACCTTTTTGGCCCAGTGGGCCAGATCTTCATCAATCCCTATCCTGTGAGCCAACTTTGACAGATAGGCAAAACCACCCCACCTCTCAGTCATCTGACATCATCTGAGTTCCCACAGGGAACTTGCTCATGCACCTGAACAAAGCAAGACTGAACTCCCTGCCCCTCAGCTGGTGCGCAGGAAGGTCAATCCTGCTTTCCACAGGGTGCAGCTGATCCAGATCCATGCCTGACATCACTTTGACATCAAGGGCGGGGCCTGCAGGGGAAACAACCTTACAGGTCAAATGGGGAGGCCTAGAGGGTCAAAACTGGCCTGTGGGCCAGACGTTCCCCACCTCTGGCCTCTGGAATAGATTAATAATGGCAAAACTTTGCAAAGAGCCCTGAGGAAAGTACCTTGTAAGGCTGGTTTCTAGTTCTAAGGTTTTCTTACTACGTTTGTATATCACCTTTCCTGCAGGGACATTGAGCCGTGTGCTACTGAAGAAAGCAGCCGGTGTCAGAACTGCGTCTTTACAGCAAGTGTGAGGAAACTTTTTCAGCCCAAAGGCCACATTTCCTCATGGAGAGCTTTCTGAGGTCCACACTGCCAATAGCAGCCAAGGCCAAAGAGAAGAGCAGCTGCAGCAATGGATGGGACTCTCACCTTCGTACTGCGGGTTCCATTTCAACCCCATGGAAGCCAGAGTGTTTGCTGCATGTGCCTCTTTCTGAGGCAAGCAAGAAGAATTATCCCAGTCCAAGTGTGGGGCAGATTCAGAGGGAGAAACCCATGTAAAGCCGAGTTTGGTGGGCTTGCAATCTAATGAACAAAAGGGGCATGTGGACAGAGGCTGGTGAGGCATCCCCTCGCCTGCCATGCTCCACAGCCCCTCTCATATGTGGCGTCACAGCTGCTTGGATGGTCAGCCATGTTGGGTTGATCAAAGAAAGAAAGCTTTTGAGGTGCATGGAGCTGTTTGGCACGAGGTAGAACACTGTGGCATCCCAAAGCTTGTTAGTGTTTGTTCTCTAGAAGGTCGCTTCCATGTTGTTGCAGAAGCTGCCTATAAATGCAAAAAGGCATCTAGAGCTGAAGCAGTAAGAGGAGATGTAGGCGGCAGCCGTTCTAGACGTATTAAGCCTGGTGAGACTCACTCTGCATTCATGATTCCCAACCTTCATTCCATCTGGCCGTTGCAGCTAAAGCTACCAAGCTCTTTTTTCTGATGTGCTACATTTGCCACAAAGTAATGCACTGTCTGAAGAACCACAGCGCTATGTGTGTATGCGCACACACAACAACCACCATAGGGAGGTAAGCTAAAACAGTCTCCCCCCCCCCCCCCACTTCCCGTTACCGTGGTTTCCATTCACATGTGAGCCATCAGTTTGTGACTAGAAACTTTTTTTCCCTGGGCTGGGGGAACATGGAGAGAACAACTTACTATTTGCTACTGTTTAGCTAGGATCTATGCTGATTTCCAGCAGCCTTCATGGGGGTGGGGTGGGCATGGAACAGCCTGAGAATCAATCAGACCCATTAGGAGTATGTCAAGCAGCGAGCCTTTTAAAAGTCTCAGGTATCACATCTCCTTGAAGTCACCGCTGATCATCAGGGAAGCGGGCAGAATGCTAACTGCAAATTGGGTTTGGGGGGGAGGGAGAGAGAAGACATTGCAGGTCATGGGGAAGAGAAGGTGAGGAAGCAGAGACGTTTTCCGACCACCACGTACTCCTCCTATCCATCTCAGGACCATTTGACCAAATTTAACAGGGTCAAACAGCAATCCAGGTGGCCATGGATGAGCCCTCCTTGCCTGACCCAGGCAGGGCCATCCCTACCATTAGGCACAGTGAGAAAAGCACCTTGGGCAGCACTTATAGTTGGATATATTTCCAAGTTGCCCACAGTCTGACACCAGTGGGTAGAGAGGGGAAGTAGGTGTCCATTTGACTTACAGTTTCAAATCAGATTGGACCTGGTTTGGTGGGAACTGCAAAATAGACATGTATTGCGGCTAACGCTGTGTGTCTGCAGCCTCACAAGGCAGCAGTGGGAGCGTGCTGGACACAGAGTAAACAGGAATGTGTACACAGCCGCCCTCACATACTCCTATCCATTTCTTTATCCAAATAAACAAGGATACATTCTGGTCAGACCAACATATTTGGGCTGTGAAGCAAGGCAAGTGGGAAGTGTGGCCTGGGGACACTTCCAAGGGCCAAACAGAGAGGCGTGGAGGGCCACAGTCTACCCTGTGACTTCTAAGCTAGCCTGCTGCCCTTGTGTGCTAGGGAGGACATCAGCCTAGTCACCAGTGTTGAAGCAAGATTCAACCACCAACGCAGTCAGCTTCTATATCTGGAATGGGGAGGAGCTATCACCTTGTCTTTCACCTCCGGCAGCACAATGTCTTGGGTGGACCTTGCAAGTAGCTGCCCATCCAAATATAAAAGTCCAAATGGTTTAGAATAGAGGTCAACTATTGGAGGTTCCTAGCTCTTAAAAGAGAAAGAGGTGTGAAGAAACTGGCTTCCTTTGCAATGGAGCTTTTCTGACAGGCCACTGAAGAGGACAGATGTGTGGGCCTGTGGCCCCCCTCCTTCTAAATGACCCTTCAGGAAAATTAGCTGCTGACCAGAGGTCTACAAAACCATCTTATGCACATCTGAGTTCAATGTGGCTTACTTCAGAGTGGGTAAATGGGTATAAGTGCAGCCTTTTAGAGACTGTACTATCTTTATTTCACAACAGAACTGAATAATGCAGTGGGCTCTGCAATGGGATGCTGATTCACATGTGCTTGACCTTTTTTTTTCTTTTCTTTTTTGCATGGCTTGGAGATCTGCTCAACCTGTATGTGAATGTATGCATACACAAACCATATAACACAGAATGTCAGTAATTGTCCAACCAATGGCAGACTTTGCCTCTCATGATCCACTGTGCAGCGCTGTAGTGGCGCCCCCTGCAGCACAGCACCCAGTGTGGCCAAACTGGTTGCACAATTCTCAAACCGCTTCTGGTCCAGTGACCTCTTTCCCAAGGAAACCAGACCTGGGTGAATGGACTGCAGGGCCAGGACATCTCAGCACTTTGAAAACTGGACAGGAGTCTACACAGCCATTATGATATGTAATATTTCCAGCCTCAAAGGCTTTCAACTATGAATTGACTTTCCCTTGCCAGGAAAAATAAATTTAATAATCTGTGATTCAGAAGTACTGAGACTTTTAAATGAAAATCCCTGCCTATCCCATGTTTGGAGGTTATTTGGGGACATGCTATGTGAGAATGAGAACAGAAAGAGAACTTTTCCAAATATGAAATTAGAAACTGTTGTGCACATAGAATTAAAGGGGGGGGAGGGAACTACGTTGAGCTGTTCTTAAGTACATTTCCTGTCACTGAAAATACTCTGTATTCAAGAAGAGCACCATCTTGGTTAAAATGTCAATTGGGAGCAGGGGGGGAGGAATATAAGCAAGGTAGCCAAGACACCGGGGGGGGGGGGAGCAAGCACTATGGGATGGGATACAGTGTGGTTTACAATTGCATTATGTCTGGCCTCTTAGTTATTGATTTTTCTCCTTTTTCTATTTATAGCAGCCTCACTCAGTGTCAAATCTCTTTCAGCGGTCACAGGCTCCAGCAGAAACAGGGCTGAGAAAGGAGGCAGCAAAGCCAGGCAGCTGGGAGGGGGCCGGGAAGAGACTTGGGCTGTGCAAGGATAGCATAGCTTGTAGTGCCAGCGGGAAAGAGCACCAGCCACAACGATGGCACCATCAGCACCATCATCTTAAATAAGATGGACAGTTCCACCTCCACATTCATACAGGTTCCCTCAAGAGCCAAGATGGCTGCACTCCAGCTAAGTGTATAAACTATAAAATCAAGTATATGAAGCTAAAATCATTGCATCCTGACAAAGCGTCTGTGACAATGACCCTTGGCTTGAGGGCAGGGAGACTCCTGGGAAGCATCGGTGGGAAGAAGTCAAAGCACTGGCAGCTCCCCACCAACTTGCCAGGGATGAAGGCCTGTTTGTGGCTAGCATGGCTCTGAGGCCCACCTTTCCTCCTCAACAGCTCCCTCCTCTTCCAGGTACCATCCCCACGGCACTGATTCTACCCCCGTCACCAGAGAGCAGGAGCAGCATGGCTGGGTGTGGGCCTGTGGCTATGTGCTTAAGGGCACTGCTCCTGTAATTCCGCTGCACCACCCGTTTGCCCTTTAGAAATTACAGAATGCAATGTAAGCAAAGTCATACTATGACTATGTGACTGAATCCCACCTGAAAATAGCAGCAGTCTGAAGCGCCCTCTAAGAAACAGATGAAAAGCTTTGTCACTTCCAGATGAACATTCATTCTGATTTGTTTGCAGGGAGGTTAGACAATGCCACATCAAGCAAATGTTATCCTACACTTATTCTGTCACTTCCCAGATTGCAAAAAGCCCACTTTGGGAGAGGGGTTATTGGGCAAGAGTTTGAAATCAATCATAACTCTGCAACCTGAATTTGCTGACATGTGATTGAATCCCACCTAAAAACAGAGACAGCCTGGGAATGCCCTGAATTGGATAAGATTCTCCTGGGCGTAGGTTTTCAGGTTGTATTGAGGGATGCTGAGACTGAAAAACACACAGCAGGTTGAATCCATATATGTATAGCTATAGCTCTATCATCTATATCTGTATTTATATCTATATCTATATCAGCTGTATCCAGCCTTAAGCAAAAGCTATAGATAAGGCCCTGTGATTGAACACTCCCCGATGAAGAGGCCTATACAACAAACCAATTGTTTCTCCACAGACCGTATTATGTCATGTTATCTTTCTTTTCTTCACCTTGGTATAGTCTCTTGAATGACTCATGCAACCCTGAATTTAAGATGATGTCATTGCTATTCTATGATGGGAGCTAAACCTTATTTAAAAATCAATGAATTATCTGTTCCTCCAGCCCCACTGAACTATCCGAGCCCAGGAAGAGTTGTCAAATTGTCCCCTTTCCCGCAACATTTTCGATCTTGGGATGGCCATTTCTGCATCATCCAAAAAAGAAAAGGAAATGCAGCAGGCATGCACACACACACACACACACACACACACACACACACACTTTGAAGGGCAACACATATTTATTAACCTATGCCAATTTATATGCCTAGGTGCCATTTTAGAAATTGGTACAACTCAAGTGAGGAAGTCTGTGACCAAGTGACCTGTCGGCCTGCTGAGTCAGCTATCCACACTAACTGTTGATGAGCAGCTCCTGTTCTCCTTCCTTGTGGTCCTGTATCATTAAACCAGACTTGAAGAGAGCTGTCCTCTGCCCATCCCAGTTCTTTGTGCACAGCCTCATGGTCCAGCAGCAACCAAGATTCCAAGTCGGAAACCATGGTGCCACAAGCTGAGGAGGGGGACCAGGTTCCTGGCTCTGGTCCAGATGGTGCTGATCAGGGACTCAGAGAACATGATGCTGGCAGGCTGGTGCAGACTAAACTGGCTCCCACAGGACCATGGCCCATAAAATCAGAGCCAGGACCTTCACAGGCACCTTCCTTTGGGCCCTAGGAATTCAGGGCCTCCCAGACTTCTTCACCAGCCCAAGAGTGCAGTGAACACATCAGGCAAGAGGCCATAGAGAGAAGCAGCAAAGCATCTTCAGGCCAGAAGGTTGCTGCCCTGACTCCCTAGGCATCTTCAGGAGCCTATGCAATCAGGGTCCCTTAAACAGGCTGTTGTGTGGACAGAGCCTTAGTCCACCCCTCCCTCTGTGCATGTGCAGAGAGAACCAGACCAGTGATAGACATGCATTGCAAAGTGCAGTAGAAGAAATGACTATCCCAGCCTTCATCAGCCTGGGGCTGATGGGAACTGTAGTCCAAAACATCTGGCTGGAGGGCACCAGTTTGGCAAAGGCTGGGTTAAACATTTGTGTCCTGAATACAGGGGCTTCATCAGAATGCAGCTGAGGTTTGTTTAAAGAAACAACCACCAGTTTCTGCATCCTGTTCCATAATGCCTGCCTGTCTTTCACCTGTTAAAAGTAATCCTTCCCAGGAGTATGTAAGAGGGAAATGCTACTCCAGTTTTAATTGAGGAAGAAAATAAAGGTGCTTTTTATATCAGAAGTCTGGGAAGCATTAGGCAACTGTTTCTGATCAGAAGAAAGAAAGAAAGAAAGAAAGAAAGAAAGAAAGAAAGAAAGAAAGAAAGAAAGAAAGATTTAATAAAGGACATGCGACTTCTCTGACATATACCATAAATTGTGCTTTCTTTTCTGCTCTGGCTCAGCTTTGCCGAGAGTACGGGAATCACACACTGGCATCTCTTGAGTGGGTAATGGAGAAACAGAATGAACCAGCCAAGGGATGAGATCATCTGTTTATACTCACTACTTCTTCCATTAAAGTGGGGAGGGGAGCGAGGCTTTTAAGGGCTGATCGCTGGCCTGTGAAACTAGGCCTTTGTTTGTCAGGATGATTCTTGCCGTCTCTCTGCTCCTTTGTGTGTAAGCCTGACTGATGATGTGCTCCTGGCATGTCTCTCCCTTTTAAAAGAGATGGTGCCATCTGAGAGATACACTCAAAGAGACCAGCAGCATTTCAGCTAAGTAAAAGCTGCGGGGAACAGGGGAGTCATGGCTGGCCCACTGACCATTCAGCAAGGTTTTTGCGTTGAGTTGCAGACATAATAAGAACTCTGAGGGATCAGATCAACTTCCTACCTCGTCCAGCATCCAGCTTCCTTGAGTGGTCAGCCAGATGCCTAAGGGACGTCTGCAGGCAGAACACGAGGGCAGCACCCTTCTTCTCCTTCTGTGGTTCCTTAGAGACTGGTGTTTAGAGATGCCACCTCTAATTCTGGGTGAAACAGCTGGCCATTGTGATGACGAGCCATTGACAGCCTTTTCTTCCATGAATCTGTATAATCCCCTTTTAAAACTGTCTTAAGTCCTTGGCCTTCACACTACATTTCATAAGTTATTGCTGCATCTTGGAAGTAAAAGAGAAACGGAAACAGGGCATTAATAAAGATGTTATGCGGGTTGTTCTCTTGTTCTGTAGGTTGTTCCTGTATTGCTGTGAGCACTGTGAGCTCAGTAAATAAGTCCATTTCTGTTTCTCTTGGTTTCCTATTTCTCTATTCTAAAGTTTGGTTCACGGGTCATTTTCACACCAGTTTGTGAGTTCTTTTGAAAAAAGTCCTCATGAGAATTCCTCAGAATTTTGGTGCACATTTCCACGTAATATACACATATTTGTACAAATTTTGTGATATACACATTTTTAAAAGCATATATTTCATAATTCTACTTACAGTTAGGTAGCCGTGTTGGTCTGCCGTAGTTGAAACAAACAAACAAAAAAAATCCTTCCAGTAGCACCTTAGAGACCAACTAAGTTTGTTATTGGTATGAGCTTTTGTGTGCATGCACACCACACGAAAGTTAATACCAATAACAAACTTAGTTGGTCTCTAAGGTGCTACTGGAAGGAATTTTTTTATTACATTTCATAATATTAGGCTTTAATTCAATGGGACTTACTCTGAGTAGACATGTTTAGGATTGTGCTGCCTATAAGGCACATACACACACACACACACACACACACACACACACACACACATTGAGCACACACCTGGTCAGCATTCCTGGTGTGAACACAAACAGAAACAAATCTAAAACCAATTATCTGAAATATTGGAATGTGTGAGAGGCCTTGCTTTGCCACACATGGCATCAATAATATGCCTCCTATCCTCAATTTACATCCTGGATGAGATGTATGTCTGGTTTTAATGTTTCACCTGAACAAAGCTTATGGCTTGTTTCTCTCGAAGCAAAACAAACCATGATCAGTAGTTTGGGCATAGCACTAAGCCAACTCCTGCATGGTTGATTCCTTACTGGAGGAAGAAAGGGACCAAGTGGGAGCCCTTAAGCTGCAGATGCTACCATGGTTAAGGCTTAGTACTGCATCCAAACAGTAGGGATTTATTTACACTTAAAGTGAATAGGGAGTGAGGATCTAGGCTGGTGCAGAGTGAGGTAAGGGTGCTTAACCCTTTCCCCTCTGCTATTCTCCTAATCTCAATTGCATTCAGTCCTCTACCTAGCTGATGCTTGTCCCACTAGTGGGGAAAAATGAGCACACATCACCATTTCCATTAGTTTGACTTATCCCCCCCCCAAAAAAGGTCTCTAAGTCACTTACAGAAAGGTGACAGACCAAAAAAGTACACCATATAAAACAACAAAACCATTCCAATAACCCGTAAACAAACCCTGCAGAAAAAGCAAGGACATTTCATTCAATAGACACATTGAACCTTTTTGAGTCCATGGCTCCCTTGACCAACTACACACTTTCTGCGGCACCCCTGTGGGGCTCAGGAGCCCAGTTATGTCACCCCTTGCCTGCAGAGATAGCAGCCCCTCACCCCTTTTCGAACACTCTCGCTTGTGGAGGGTTCCCTCAGCCTCTTCTCTTCCCTCTCCTTGGGAGTCCTCTGGGCAGCCACTGCTGCCGCCCCTGGTCTCTGAGTTGCCCCCCCACCCTATAGAGAGATGCCTCCTCACACTGCCCCACAGGGGCCTGGGAAGCTCCCCCTGGCCAGCCCCAGACACACCATTTGCCTGCAAAGCTTGTAGCCAGGGCTGCTGCAACGAACAGCTATGCAAGCCTTGGGGAGGCAGAGACATGAGAGGGCATCAGAGGAGGGAGGGAAGGAAAGAGGGACAGAGGCCAGTGTTTCCCACAGCACCCCTGACCATCATTCAAGGCACCCCAGGGTGCCACGGCACACTGGTTGAAAACCACTGCAATAGGTCATCAACCACCTTGTCATAATCCGCCAAAAGCCTAGGAAAACAGTTTAACCTGGCTGGCACCAAAGGATGATAATGATGTCAACCTACAAGAAAATCATGGCTTGGCTTAGCAATGTGTGCAAATCCGCTCTGGGTGTTGGTTTTAAACAGCCCCACGTCACCTGAAGTGCCTGGCAAAGAAGCCACTCATAAATTTTAGAAATGAAAACAAATACTGTACGAGGAATCCCATAGCCCTGCCTTGATGAGAGGGGAAGTAGAATCGGTCTCAGGCCAGAGTGTGCTAGCCAATCCAGCTCATTCAGAGACGGTGGGAGGGCCTAGATTCATTCCACATATTGGCCAAAGAAACGGCTCTCCAGTCCATGAGTGGTATGATTGGGCTTCACAAGTGGGATGAATGGATGCTTTTATTTGCATGAGAGAGAAAAGAGGATGTTTGTGTTCACGCTTGCAGTTGTGTTTTGAAGTGTGCGTGCGTGGGAGGGAGCAAGCAGCATTCCTTTTTGTGTGTGTCTGTCCCTCCACAGGGCGAGTGCTGCGGCTGTTTACATCTGTGGGGTAAATGTACTAGTGGGATGAAAATGAAAATGGCGGTGTGTGTATGGCTGCGAGGGTGTACTCGCCTTCAGTTCCACAGGGCTGGCTGCCAGGTAAGTGTATGTGAGGACTGCAGGCTTAGTCTGCATTGTGTGTGTGGCTATGGGAATGCTCCTTGTGTGCGAGGGAAGAGACAGTTGGGATGATGTGTAGGCAGACAGTGAGTAATTTGAGGAGGGAGAATTGCCATCAAGGGGAGTCAAGAGAGGTTGATGCTACAATGCCCTTTGGGAATGAACAAACTTCCTAAGGGAAAGTTCCCAACAGCCCTTCACTCTTTGCTTCAGGAATAATCAGATGGAAGCATTTGCCATACAACACAACTGCTTGCCTTTGCACCCTTTCTACAGTTTTAATCATAACAAGGGGAGGCAATCGCTAGGGCAGGGGACTCCTTCAAACCTGCTAAAATTATGATTGGGTTGCTGCCAGCCTTTGTATCAGCAGAGTCCTTAACTTCCTAGCCCTCAGGATTTCCAGGAGCAGCTTGAAAATGTATCCTAAAAAACAATATTATCTTTCTCCCACGACCGTGATTATTTTCTGCTGTTGTTGATCAGTTTCACCCAGACTCCACAAGCTTTCCATCACTCTTTTTGGAAGCAAGATGAATTATTTAGAAAGTGCATATGCGTGAAATATATAGTGATTTCCTTTATGTAATCTGTGCAGAGTTTGGCAATGGATACAAACCCACCAGTTGCTTAGCTATGGAACAATATGGACTAAGGCTACCTCTGCCCAGGACCCCTATTGCCACCTTCATTTTAGGGACTGCTTTCTTGCCATTCCCCTAACCAGAGTGTTCATTACAGCAGGGTTAAGTAGCACCACCCGATACAGGTGTGCCAACTCCTAAGAGACAAGGCAGTTTCTGCCCCTCCCCAGTATTTTTGAGGGAGCAGAGCCCCCCCCCCATATTCAGAGGGCATTCTGCCCCCAGGCTCCTTGAAGCACTGCAAGGGCACTTTTCCTGGGAGCTCCACAAGCCTGGGAGCACAGATGGGGAGGACTGGAGCAGAGCCCATTTGAACGGGGAGGTGAGTGAGGTGCAGTGGGGGCTTGGTGGGGCTGCACACCTGCAGCTCTACCTTCCAAGGAGCATCCAAGGCAGGGTCGGCTGGGAAGCTCTGGATCCCCTGTGGCCTTTTTGGGGCTGCTGCTGCTGCTGCCAGGCGGCCAGCCAGCCAGAACTCTGCACTCGCCCACCAAAGGCTGCTGAAAGGCAACTGGGCGCCAGTAAGGGTGAGCAGGTGAGGAGAGGCACCAGCACAGGAGCACCAAGGCCCAAGACAGTTTCTGCCCCCTGGCTCCTTGCATCGTGCACGGGGCCCCTCAATCCTGTTAAGAAGATGGCACCTCTGACCCAATATCAAATGAAGAAACAACCACCCAGTGGAACTTCACCACACTGCAGTGCCCACCAGTTTTGAATGGTGGGTGGTATATTCATGGCTCTTGGGTTGTCAAAGTGCTGGTAACAACTGCTATAAGGCTTTCTATAATGCAGTAAGAATTGTAATCAAGAACAGGGAGGGAGGCAAGGTGATGCAAAGTTGTTAAACGGACTGAAAGCTCTACTATATATGGCAGGGGCAGAGAAGTACCTTCTGCTTACTGTTTTTTGGTGAATATTCCAAAATCCAGGTATGGAATCTCTGATTTCTGTTTCTGAGGCTGGAGCCTACTAAGGTATGGATTTGGGGGCAGCCACCCTCTCTGCACCTCACAGCACCAGGTTCCTCTCTTGGACAGTGGCCAACAACCAGTTTTTCAAAGGATGTTGCACTCAAAGCAGGGTCACTGCTGGCTTCCCCACCCCTCCCCCCTCTCCCCCATCAACCATCTCTGCCATTTGCTTTTAAGCAAGCTTTAGGAATGCTTGGGTTAAATCAAGTGGTGTCCATGAGCCCTCTTGCCTAATGTAAGAACAGAAAAACCTTACCATGTACCAAGACTTACGGATCATTATTAATAGAGAAAATCACCCACTCATAGCATAGAAACTGGAAAATCCATTTTTGTTTTAGCTCCCCCCCATGCCCCCGCCGCCACAAGATGAAAATGGATAGGTTGCTAAGGAGATTAGAACTGGAGGAGGAGGGAAGAACACAGACATGTGTGTGTGTGTTTCATAAAACTATTCTTGGAAATTTACTTTGCCTAGATTCTTTCTTCACTGTGAATCACTGACAGAGCTTCTACCTTGGTCCGTGTTTAGCTAGTTCTCCATGACTGAAACAGGGCTGTAGGCATGTGTTTTCACCTGCACAGTAAGGGCAATAGGAACACTAGGAAAGATGGGATAGAAAAATGCAAAGCACGTCCATCTAGCATTGTTCTTTAAAATCTGCTTATTGCATCCATGTCACAATAGTTCCATGGGCCACCAAGCAAGGGTATTATGCCCATCACCTTGGTCAGTGCAAGGCTGTAAAGAGCCAGACTTGAAGGAGCAAGTCCCAGAAGAGTGGCAGTGCAGAAATGGGACAGATCCGCAAGAGAGCCAATCCAGAGACAGAATTGATTCTGAGTTAGAGTCTCTGATGAAATCTGTGTGCACACCATGCATTTAAAGTGCATGACTTTCCCCAAAGAATCCTGGGAACTGCAGCTTGTTAAGGGGGCTGGGAATTGTTGTTCTGTGAGAGGTCAATTACAGTTCCCAGGATTCTCTGGGGGAAGGCAAGTGCTTTAAGTGTATTGAAGCTGGACTGCTGTGCTGATCACCTTTTAGGGAGCTGGGTTAGGCCCTGTCCTTCCTACTGTGTTGTTGGATGAGTATTCTAGAAATTTTGTACAGTGGTACCTCGGGTTAAGTACTTAATTCTTTACGGAGGTCTGTTCTTAACCTGAAACTGTTCTTAACCTGAAGCACCACTTTAGCTAATGGGGCCTCCTCCTGCTGCCGCGCCACCGTAACACGATTTCTGTTTTCACCCTGAAGCAAAGTTCTTAACCCGAGGTACTATTTCTGGGTTAGCAGAGTCTGTAACCTGAAGCTTATGTAACCTGAAGCGTATGTAACCTGAAGCATATGTAACCCGAGATACCACTGTATTGTACACTTTTTAAAAAATTGCTTCTAACTGATTTTATCTGTTTTCTATTTTATCTTCTTAAGTTGCTTTGAGACTTAAAAAAAAACCTCACAAAATAAATAAAGTGACAAACAAACAAACAAACAAACAAACAAACAAACAGATAATAGGCCATGCAAGCAAGGCCAGCATCTGGCTTCTGCTAAGGTAAAAAACTAGAACTATTTATGGGTTAGCTATTTTGAAATGGCTGGGAAGGTGGCTGGGAGGTGAGGTGGATAACTTTGCAGGGACTGGTTTGAGAAGGGGGGCAGAATACTGCCACTTTCTTCCTCCAGCTCCAGCAGCTCCCTTCAAGAGGAGATTAGGAAGCTCTGAATCCTGGCTGACTCGGATACCCTTGTGGCACCTGCGCACTTGCTTGAGTCACCTACCAATGCCCGCTCACCCCCATCTGTTCTAAGCCCCAGCTGCTTGCTCACTGGCAATACCACAGTGGAAAGGTAGTCGTGGCAGCAGTCAAGGAGGGGGGCTTCTGTTGCTAGTGGGTTCCTCAGATTCTGTTGCTAGTGGGTTCCTCAGATTCTTAGCGCAGACAGATTTCATCCATTGTCATCACTTATCACACTTCTTGTGCTTTTTACTTTGTTTTGCTTTAAAGGCGGCCCTAATCCACAAATCATCTTTGTTGTCTCTGACCTAAAATTGAAAACTGGTTTTTCATTCTAACTTTAAGGCAAGCTATATAAATTTTCACCAAGGTGCAGAGTGATGTCTCTCTGCACCTGTCATGGCCAATGAAACTTTTGAGTTTTTCCTGCAGGGATAGGACTATGTCAACTGAATTGTTTTCTATTTCAATGCCATAACCTGCATTACATAACATTATACCTGTCCCAAGAAACTGCTCTCTCAGACAAATGTTTCTTTATTGTCAGTTTACTACATGATAATTTTCTACTTTTACAAAAATATTGTATAGCATCTTGAACTCAATTTTGATGAAAGGCGGTGTACAAATATGTTTTAAATAAAGACGAGCACTATCCTGGAGAGAATTCTCCTTTGCAGTCTCCATTGAAATATGACACAGTTGTATAAAGCACTTGTGCATGCTTTTACACCAGACATGGGGTACTGGCAGTCTTCCAGATGCTGTTGGACTCCAACTCCTATCAGCCCTGGCCAGCACAGTCATAGGTCAGGGATGCTGGGAGTCAGAGCACAGCAACACCCGGAAGGCCACAAGTTCCCCATTCCTGTTTGTAAGGAAACCCCTTCTTGCCAAAGCTGCCACCCCCATTATACAGAATCTCACAGAATATCCTAATCTGCCACAGCCACAGAACTATGGCTGTTAAAGCATATACGCCACAGTTAAAGGACCTCTCCCTCCCTCCCCACAAGAATCCTGGGAACTGTGGTTTGTTACAGGTGCTGGAAAATGTAGCTCAGAGTTGGGTAAGCTACAGTTCCCGGGATTTGGGGGTGGGGTGGGGGCTGTGTTTTAAATGCATTGTTACAAAAGCTGGACGCCACCCCCAATCTCTGCCAAGCTGTGTCAAGATTCCAGGGGGTTCCAGGTGCTCACCCACAGTCTATGCTCCAGTGAGAATAAGACACAGCAGAGACTGTCATCCTTTTAGAATTATGGTTAAATTTACACCATTAGTCTACATAGAGGAAGTCCAGTGTGGTCACCTCAAGAGGGGCTTGTTTCCCACAGCAGTGCAGCACTGGAGCCCATGGCATCTCTCTCCCAGCCTGCCTTCAGCCAGCCTGCCAAGATGGCTCTGCCCTTTGTTCTCAGCTACTCCAAGGCTCCTTCCAAAGGCCCCCCAACTCTTCCTGTGACAACTCACCCCGTTATCCTGGCAACCTTCCGAATCCCCTGTCTCTGTTCACATCTCAGGACAGGGGACAGTTCTCCTGCATTGCCAATGGCCCTCAATGGCTCTGTACTGGTTCTCAACGGCCAGAGCTTGCCAGGTCGTCTTCCTTAGGCTAGCCAAGGAATCCCTCTGCAGCTGGTATTTTCCCTTCATATCTCAGATAATCAAAACCCTACCATTTAATTTTTTTTTTTAAATAATTTTTATTAAAGTTTTAAACAAAGAAAAAAGAAAAAACAACACACACAAAAAAACAATACAAAATTTAACAATAAAAACACAAAACATAACAATTAAAAACAAACTCTCTTTTCCATTCCCAATTTTAAATTACTTATTTTCTGGACTTCCTCATACCTCCCTCTTTTGTATTCCAATCTACATTATTTGTCCAGCAGTTTCTTTTCCACTTTTTTAAACCCAATCTTTAATTTAATAAAATATTAAAATATATAGCTTCAACTTTTTTTAAACATAATCCTTGTTCTTAGTGTCATATACCTTTAAATTTTTCCCTTTTATTATCAAATTTCCATTTCTTTAAACATCTTTAATCTTGATCTTTAATCTTAATCTATCCTTAACTTTAACCTGTACAACTGGAAACCACTTATTTTCAATCCAACATCACTCTAACATTCCTTAATTTTGCAGTGTTTCTGAAGATAGTCTTTGAATTTCTTCCAGTCTTCCTCCATCGACTCTTCTCCCTGGTCACGGATTCTGCCAGTCATTTCCGCCAATTCCATATAGTCCATAAGTTTCATCTGCCATTCCTCCAGCGTGGGAAGTTCTTGTGTCTTCCAATACTTTGCGATGAGTATTCTTGCTGCTGTTGTTGCATACATAAAGAAAGTTCTATCCTTTTTTAACACCATTTGGCCCACTATGCCCAGGAGAAAGGCCTCTGGTTTCTTGGGGAAGGTATACTTAAATACCTTTTTTAATTCATTATATATCATTTCCCAGAAAGCCTTAATCTTTGGGCACGTCCACCAAAGGTGAAAAATGTACCTTCAGTTTCTTTACATTTCCAACATTTGTTATCGGGCAAGTGATAGATTTTCGCAAGCTTGACTGGGGTTATGTACCACCTGTATATCATTTTCATAATATTCTCTCTTAAGGCAAAAACCCTACCATTTATTACCTTCTACTATTCACTAATAGGCAGGACGCGGGTGGCGTTGTGGGTTAAACCACAGAGCCTAGGACTTGCCGATCAGAAGGTTGGCGGTTCGAATCCCCGCAACGGGGTGAGCTCCCATTGCCCGGTCCCTGCTCCTGCCAACCTAGCAGTTCGAAAGCACGTCAAAGTGCAAGTAGATAAATAGGTACCGCTCCGGTGGGAAGGTAAACGGCATTTCCGTGCGCTGCTCTGGTTCGCCAGAAGCGGCTTAGTCATGCTAGCCACATGACCCGGAAGCTGTACGCCGGCTCCCTCAGCCAGTAAAGCGAGATGAGCGCCGCAACCCCAGTGTTGTTCACGATTGGACCTAATGGTCAGGGGTCCCTTTACTTTTTCCTTACTATTCACTAATAGGCTCTGTTACCTCATATCCGTAACAGTATGATGCGGACGCAGCCAAAAGCCCACACAGTCGCCGTTCTGGCACAGGGAGAGGACCAAGCGTGTTAAAACCCCAATGACGCCAGGCTGCCATTATTATTATTTTTTTTAATAAGATATTTTTTGAAGTTTTCAAGATATTACAAAACACACACAAAAAAAAGAAAATACAAAGTAAAAATATTTAAAAACAATTCATTCCTTCCATTACTTAACCTTCATTTGCTTAGTTCCAGGACCTCCTCACACCTCCCTTTTTTGTATTCCAGTTCAATTATTTCGTTCAGCAAATCCCTCCCCTCTTTATGTATCCTAATCATTAATCATAAAGTATTGTAATTTTAGATTTTTACATATTAATAATCCATTTTTTCATATTCCTTGTAACCTTTCAGCTAAAGTTCACTTAGTTTCTATCCAACATCATTCTAGCATTCATTAATTTTACAATATTTCTGTAGATAGTCTTTAAACTTTTCCAATCTTCCTCCATCGACTCTTCTCCCTGGTCTCGGATTCTGCCAGTCATTTCTGCCAATTCCATATAGTCCATCACCTTCATCTGCCATTCTTCCAAGGTGGGTAGATCTTGTGTCTTCCAATACTTAGCAATGAGTATTCTTGCTGCTGTTGTGGCATACATAAAGAAAGTTCTGTCCCTCTTTGGCACCAATTGGCCGACTATGCCCAGGAGAAAGGCCTCTGGTTTCTTCAAGAAGGTATATTTAAATACCTTTTTCAATTCATTATATATCATCTCCCAGAAAGCCTTAATCTTTGGGCACGTCCACCAAAGGTGAAAGAAAGTACCTTCATTTTCTTTACATTTCCAACATTTATTATCGGGCGCATGCTAAATTTTTGCAAGCTTGACTGGTGTCATGTACCACCTGTATATCATTTTCATAATATTCTCTCTTAGGGCATTACATGCCGTAAATTTCATGCCTGTGGTCCACAACTGTTCCCAGTCAGCAAACATAATGTTATGTCCAACATCTTGTGCCCATTTAATCATAGCAGATTTCACGGTTTCATCCTGAGTATTCCATTTCAACAACAAGTTATACATTTTTGACAAAATCTTAGTATTGGGTTCAAACAATTCTGTTTCCAATTTTGATTTTTCCACCTGGAAGCCAATTTTCTTATCCAAATTATATGCCTCCATTATCTGATAAATGCCAGGCTGCCATTAAGAGCCCAAGGAAGCAGAGCCCCGGCCCAAGGCGCCCACCTGACCCCGTCCTTGTCCGGCTGGACGGATGGATGGATGCGCAAGTGCGCGCGGTGTGCGCGCCCGGCCGCCTTGCTGAGCGGCTCCGCCTTCCCGGGGCGGCGCCTCCGGCCAATGGCGGGGCGGCGGGCGGGCGGGGCGGGGCTCCGGGCTGTACACAGCCACCACGTGGAGCCGGGGTGGGGACGCGCCTGGCCGAGCGGGCAGAGAGAGGCGGAGAGAGAGGCTGGCCGGCCGCGCGGCGCTGGAGACGGTGCCTGGAGGCCGCCTCGCCCGGCCGGGCTTCCCCTCCCGCCGACCTGTTTCCCTCGGGCATCTTACCAAAGAAGTGTCTCCCCAGGGTCTCTCTCCGTCCCGCGCTGCCGCCCGCCCAGCCTCGCGCGGAACTTGCTCGCAGCCTCGCTCCCTGGGCGCGCGCCCCGCCGCCCTGCAGATGGAGGCGGCCGAGGACTCCGTCGCTCCTCCCGCTGCCGCAGCGGCGAGTCGCCTTTCTCGCGGCGACGGAAGCGCAGGAGCCGCATCAGGCGACTGAGCCGAAGCCCAGCCGAGCTGGCGGCGGAGCGCTTGGCCTCGAGAGCCGCCTTGGCGCAGGAGTCCTCCCCGCCCGCTTCGCTCTTCTCCCGAGGCCGAAGGAGACGCGCTGAGGGCGCCTCGGCGAAGGGCTCGCTCCCAAAACCGCGGCCGGCGGGATGGCCGCGCTCCGCCAGGCGTCCGCTAAGCGCGGCGAGCGCCGCAGGGTAAGAGGAACGCGCGCCTTGGGCTCCGCTTTTACGCAGCGTTGACGCGGCCAGGGCTCAGCCCCGGGACCTCTGCTTTTCCGTGCCTAGCTTGAAGCTGCGCAAAGTTCGTGGGAAGTCCTAATCCTAAAGACACCAGCCTGAAGCTCGATCCCGTTCGTTGAACTCAGGAGGGCGGGCTAGTTGACTCCAGCCCTGAGAAGATGGGAGGCGGATTCAAGAGAAATCGGGGCTTCTGGGCACGCGCGAAGTACTTTTGCTTTAGCTACAAGCCCTAAGTAAACTTGCATAGCGGTACAAGGTAAATGGTGCTTCTGAGCATGTGTAAAGTGCCATCACTAAGGCCAGCCTTCCCGTGCACATTAGAGGTTAAGAGAAGGGCCACTAGGCAAAGCAGAATATTATTATTATTTTGTTTTGAGGGGGAGGGTGTTATTCCACTGGACACTCCTAGGGATGGATATTAGCAGTCTTCAGAATGCCCTTTCTGTACACACCTTGCAATCCTTGCCTCCACTCTTTAAGAAAGGTCGTTATTAATATCTTCATTGCTAGCGTGAGATCAAGAGAGTGGAGGCTTGTCTGTGAAGTGGGATCATGGCAGAGGCAAGACTCAAACAATAGACTTTTTGATGAAAAGTTTAGTCTTGGTTGGCTTCAACTGCAGCAGGAAAGAGGTTGCCCTAGCACAGGGAGCTATAGTTGGTGGGAGTTATAGTTCAACATCTGAGAATCCAACGTTGAAGAGCACTGATGAAAGGGATAGATGGAGCAAGCCCAAGACAGGCCTGAGGCAGAACAGCCAAATGGCACCATCATCACTACTACCCTCCCAGTACTTGACCTGGTGCAATCTCCCCCCGCCCAGGACTTGCACAGGAGAACTCCAGTCATCCGCTCCATTACCTTTTATGCCTCCCAAAGCTCACTGTATCTAAAGCAGGTGTGGAGAACCTGTAGCCCTCCAGAGGTTGCTGAACTACAACTCCCATCACCCCTGGCCATTGGTCATGCTTGCTGGGGTAGATGGGAGTTGTAGTTTGGTTATGTTTGGAGGGCCCAAGGTTTCCCCACACCTGATCTAAGTCAACCTTGACTCGTTTCACCTCTTGCTATAGGCAAACTGCATGTGAACTTTGTCTGTTTCAGCGGTGTCCTACTTGGCAGCAGTGTTGTGAAGACAAAGCCTGCAAAATTATTACCGAATGAAACTTTCCAAATAAATTATAAATTGTAACTAGTCTGAGTTGTGGCTGGTGCAGGTGGGACTCCCTTGTTCTCCTGAGTTACTGGGAAGGAGGGTAGACAGGCACAGGGAACTAGGCGGGATGGCACATGGCAGTGCAGCTGATCCAGCGTTCTTGCCACTGCAAGCCACACCATACTCCCTGCACCTCAACCCTCTCTGAAAGCAGCAGCAACCTGCGGTGTTGAAGAGCCACTTGTACCACCTCACCAGCCGCTACTGACGTGGCTCCAGCAAGCTCAGCATGCTCTCCACATTGGGCGCCCCTCCAGACACCCTTTCGGGGGGGATTTTGGGATGATTTGTGCTCATGAGACTATTGGAGTGGTTATATGGGACCCTGCTTTCCATACTGTTTGTGCCTGCTAAAGATTTGAGGTGGGCATCCTGCTTTCTTTCCAGTTGATACATTCCCCATAACCTCCTGCTGGAGCACTGTAAGTTTTTACAGAATAAAATGTTTCAATTTGCTTTTTATTATTAGATTTATTTATTTATTTATAGCTCATCTTCCTCCCTGACGGGACTCGAGGCAGTTTACAGATAAAAACAAGTCATTAAAAACATGGGGGGGGAACCACAGTCTTTTAAATCCAGTTAAACATTAATGGAATTAAAACTGTATACTTATATAAAATTTGTTTAAAACATACAAATAATTACGATAAAAAGCACAGCACCAGCCTTTTCACTAAAAGCAGTCAATTCCCAAAAGCCTGTTGGAACAAGAGTCTTGTCCCACTTGTGTTGACTATAGCGCAGTGGTGCCCCTCTAGACGGCAGTAATGTGGCAACATGTGGAAAGCATCACAGAACAGCTCATAAAGCAGAATGATGTGTAAACGGTCCAGTATAAATCCACGACAAGTGCTCCGTTATTGCCTGAATGTCGTGTTGCAGAATAGACCTGCAGAAAAAAGCCTTGGGGGGGGGTCTAAACCATGCTCTGTAGGGCTGCAAATCTATGCATCCTAACTCAAAGGAAAGCCCCACCAAATTTATCTTAGATCTTAGAAGAGGAAGAGTTGTCTGTTATCACTATCTGAGGGTCTTTGTGTGTCCCCTCCAGGAGAGATCCTCAGGATGGCTACACGAGAAGGGGCCTTTTCTGCAGTGGCTCCCCACGTGGGAAATGTTCTTCCCAGGAAGGCTTGCCTGGAGCCTTCATTATATGTCTTTAGGTGCCAGATGAAAATGTTCCTCTACAACCAGGCCTTTGACTGTTTAAACAATCTGGGGCCTTTTCAGTGTGCTTGTGGGAGAGGGGTTATTGATTTGTTTGTTTTTGTTTGTTATGTATTTTGTGTTCTCATTTTGTATTTTTATGCTGTAAGCCTCCCTGTGATTTTTAGATGAAGGGCAGTACAGGCAACTCCCAATTTACGTGGGTGGTACATTCCAAGGCACCGCACGTTTAAGTGAAATATTGTATATTTGAAACACCATTGAAAAAGCCTGCAAACACCCCGTTCCAGCCCCATCCCTCCCTTTTTTCTGATATTTTCAGGTTACTTCCAAGTTCAGCATGGTCACGCACATATCGGATGTGCCTAAAACACTGCTGCCTGTATATAAATTTAATAAATGCCACTACTACTGCTGCTGCTAATAATAATAATAATACTAGGAACCTGTAAAATGCTGATTAATTTCTCCTGCATGTGTTCATTATATTGTAGAATAGATGTGTGCTTTTCTGTTTTGCTGAGTGGAAGCTTTAATCTTTCTCAGCTATAGGTTGGCCAACTTTTCAACCAGCTCTTGCACCTGCATGTTTAGCAGAAGCACTTGATCTGCAGACATTAGCCTGTGATGTTTATTTCCAGGCCTCAAAAAGCTTTTTTTCCCTGCTGATTTTCTGCAGATCAATCGCCTCTTAAAGGGAAAAGAGCAGGCCAGGTTATGGGGCAGGGTTTTTTAGGGGTGGGGTTAGGTGTTGACAACCCTAAATACGACTGAGCATTATGGAACCAAGGGTGGTGATTATTCCGGATTGATTAAATACAATAAATTAATTGTATGTGCCACTGATTCATAATCTGTAACTGGACATAGAGATTTGCACAATAGTTTTGAAAAGCATGAATAAGGAAATTGCCAACTTCCTCCTTTTGAAACGCAAGAAGCCGCTGTCCTGAGTCAGCCTGGGTCCCTTTGTCTCAGCACTGCCTGGCCGTGACTGTCCTGTGTCTCAGACAGAGCCCTTTCCCCATTAGGTGGACGAGCCAAGAGTTGAACCTGGGACCTTTGCTCAGGCGCAAAGCACGTGCTCTTACCACTGGAGCTGTGGCCCTTAGAGGGTGCTTATGAGCTCGTGTGGAGTGCCTTTTCCCCTCCTGCACCCACACCGACTGCCTTTAGTCACCCCACACACATCTGGGATTCAGAGCGAAAAGCTTCCTGGGTGTGCAAAATGTGGCTGGTTTGAAATTAAGGAATGAAAGCCCCGGGTGCCTGCAGTGTGTACACAGCCTATGTTGTCATCCGACTCTTGGCAGTTACTGCTGTCTTCCCTCTGGTTGCCAGGAAGTCTCTCGTCAGCATCTGGCCAGGATGGAGGGGACAGCAAGGTGCCAGGAAGGGAACACGCACTTCCCATGTTTCCCTTAGCCTGCTGCCTGTGTGCTCCCTCTCCCTCACTCCCCAGCCTCACTCTCCCATTTTGCTTTCCCACTGCAGGTTCCTCCAGGATCTGTGCTAGCATCCCCTTCTTCTCTGGAAGCCTGAGGTGCTGTTCTTGGTACCCAGAGCCTGCATCTCTCTCGCTCTCCCTCTCTCCCTCCTTCATTTTCTACCTCCTCCTCGCCCCCACTGGCTTACCTGGATGCCTGCTTACCACAGACCCACGCCTCCCTGGCCTCTGCTTCAGCACATCCTCTCCAGCGACATTGGATAGACTTCAGCTGGCAGGAGGATCGAGGGATTTTTCTTCAGGCTGGGACACAAGTTGTGGCTCTCCTCAACTGGCAGAGATCTACTCTCAGGGCAGCAACGGCAGAGGAACAATATTAGCTGGATTCACACGCAGAGACAGGGGAGGCTAATCTGGCACAACTTGCGATCCTAATTTTGGTTGGCTGCAGCTGACCCTGATTTGGAAGATCTCCCCTTGCGTGGCAGCACTAGGGAAACCACAGCGGTAAGGCAGGTCAGGATCCTGAGCGGAGTGTCCAAGAAGCCACTTCCCCCCCCTCTGCGAGAATCCTCTGTAGCCTCTTCTCCTCCAGCTGTCACAAAGCCCAGGGACCCATCTCTCCTTTTCTACTTTCACCTCTTGAGAGGCTGGGTACCGTACCATTCCTTTCCCTTCTCCCCCCTTCGAAAAAAGAGACTGAAGGATGATTTCCACGCATGGAGGCACCCCTCATTGTACCCTCCTCTTGCTTTGCTAGCCCAGGCTGTTTGGATTGCAATGGATGGGGTGAGACCTGTGCTGGCAACATGATGTAGCAATTCCTTCAGGGCAAAGGCACCTGGGACTTTGGATCCTGAGTTTGGAACAATCTGCCAATTGGACAAAACCTTTCCCTGCAGACTCCCTTTTTCAGGTCCTGGAAGTGGCAAGCTTCTGGGTGCAGCCATTGCATCATCGCGAGTGGGGGAAATCCAGGCGGCGCACTGAGATTTTGGCAGGGTTGGCTTGGGCAATCTTGACCGTGAAGATTCTCATCTTCCAGACTGTGGCTTGTAGCCACATGGAAGACCTGGGAAAGTCCACGTCGTGGCTGCGGGCTGAGCTGGCCTCCCCGTCTCCGTGCCTCCACATCCTGGACTGCCGCAGCCGGGAGCTGTACGACTCGTCCCACGTGGAGCGGGCCCTGAGCGTGGCCCTCCCGGGGCTGCTGCTACGTCGTCTCCGGAAGGGGAATCTTTCAGTCCGGTCCTTGCTGCCGGGGCCTCCGCAGGCCCTCAGGGATAGCACGGTGCTCCTATATGACGAGGGAACGCTCCAGCTGCCCCCATCAGGGAGCCAGGAGGAGGATGAAGGGTCAGTGCTGGTGACGCTTCTGCAGAAGCTGCGGGAGGAAGGTTGCCCCGCCTACTACCTGCAAGGTGGGTGTGCTGAGGAAAGCGGGATTTGTGAAGGTGGGAGATGGGGCCGGGCTACCGACATATGGAAACTTATCTATTTCCTAGGGGGCTGCCCTATGTTGAGTCCACCCCATCAGTCTCAGGACAAGCCACACTGACTGGCAAAGGTTCTCTGGGGTTTTGGGGGGCGGGCGTTCCCAGCCCTACCTGAAAATACTGGTGACTGGACCTGGGACCTTCTGCATGCAAAGCAGGTGCTCTACCTGTGAGCTGTGGCTCTTCCCCTAACCAATCCATTCTCCAGGCAGATTCAGGAATATTGTTGCCAGATTTCAAGCCAGAGATTTCCTCTGTTTTTAAATTTGCTGCTGAATCAGGAGAGCAGATAACCACAATTGCTTGCACCTATTGCACCCCTCCCTGTACTGCCATGTCCCCCCCCAGCTGTTCTAATCAGCAGTTTTTCAGCTGTGGCAACGGGGCAGAGCAGGTTTCCAGCATCTGGAACTCAGAAGAATCGCTGCCTCTGACAGCAGAGGTGAAACCTGGCCATCAGGGTTAGACCTGGGGTTTGACTTGGCATAAGGGTGTGTCCATATTAGCACCATAGAGTTCAATTTGTTTTTGTTTGTGCAACACACAGGGAACACTCATGGGTGGGGGTTGGGGGACAAGGCAGCGGATGATTTCACCCTGCAACACATTGGCTAGAGATGAATTACAGAATGGCCTCCATCAGTGTGAAGCTAGTTTGAGAAACAGTGCCTCAAACAGTAGCATCTGATAACAAAGTGCAGGATACGTATGTATTTTGGATAACGCTGTGGGAACATGGATTACAAACCCAGCCCTGGAAGTGCAGTGAGGACACAGTAAATTGGGGTGTGGACACAGCCTTGGTCTTGTTACACATCCCTTCCTTGTGACCTTAGCCAGGAATATTATCCTGTATCAGAGATGGAGGAACCTGTATCCCTCTGGTGGACTCCAACTCCCATCGGCTCCTGTCAACATGGCCAAGGCTTGGGGGATGGTGGGAGCTGGAGTCCAGGAACATCTGGAAGGTACCACTGGTTCCTCACACCTGCCTGAGATTTTAAGTCTCTTCCTAGGGAGGTTCACCCGGCGCCTTCATTACATATCTTTAGGCGCCTGGCAAAAGCATCTCCCAGGCCTTTTAAACTGATGGGGTACTGTGTTCGTTTGTTATTGTGACTTTTAAAAAAGGAAGTCCTGAAGTACAGAAACTCAGAAAGTGAAGTGTTTTCCCCTGGCTACATCTGCATGCTTTCAAGGTCTTCTTTATCACCCAGCTCTTAAATGTACAAGAGGGACTGCCAGGGTGGGGGGTGGGGGGTTGGATGGCAACGCAGCACAGGCCTGCCCTGGGAAACTTCCCTGGCCGCTGCCCAAGCCTGTTAAGTGTCACCCTAGGCCTGACCCATCAGAGCAACCGGGCCGGGAGCCAGAATAGAAGAACAGTAGTGAATAAGGCTGCCAGCTTTTCAACTGGCCATTGTAGCTGTGCTTTTAACAAAAGTTTGATTTGCAGACCCTTAGCAAATGGTGATTCTCTGCAATGCTGTGAAAAGCTTCACTTGCAGATTTCTGCACAACATGCTGCTGCTAAATGCAAAAAAGTTGCCAATCCCCCCCCCCCATCAGTTTGCGACTCTAAATCTCAGCAAGCCTTTTGGCAAGTGTGCCACCAGTGCAGTCCAAACTATGAGAATGCCACTTTAGCTCCTACAGCAGGGTATATGAAGCTCCCACTTTGTGCATGGAGCTTTGCTGTGATTCAAACCTTGGCTACCCCTTAGCTAGACCACGGGGCACCCTCCAGATTATGGACAACAAGGCCCATCAGTCCCTGTCAGCATGGTCAGGGATGATGGGAGTTGTAGTTCGACAACATTTTGAGGGCGCCAGGTTGGCTACCCTTAATCCAGGTCCACCTATTGATTGACTAATTGTAGGGTTGCCAAACTACAACTTGAACGTTCAAGACCAAACTGCACACTGTGCACAGTTCTGTGTAACTTTGATACTCTTTATTTATTTATTTTGACTGTAGCTTTTCAGCAAAGTTGGGTAGAGGGACTACTTAACCTTTCCACCAGCAGCAGTGGTTGTCTCTTCAAAATCACCCCTTCATCTGTTTTTCTCCACATCAGGGAAAATATTCTTGAACCTGTGTTTTTCCCTCCATGGAGAGAAATGTAGTTGTGGGTGATTTTCAGCATGAAAGCAACGTAGGTAAAGCTTCTCCTTCCCACCCACAGATCTTCCACTCACGATTGCACCTCTCTCTGCGGCTACCTTTTCATGTGAGATGGTCTTAAAAATATATTGAGGCAAAGCTACACCCAGCAGCATTTAACATGTAGTTCGCTGCTCACTTTGTCCTTTGGAAACAGTGATTAAGTGAAAGATGAAAACAGGTTTTTTCCCCACACAGTGCAAGCTGCTCTGAAATTCTCTCTTGTGCACAACTATTAAAAGTGCAGAAGCACTGCCCTTTTTCACCAGGTCTCCCTAATTCTCCTCACCCCTGCTCCCACAACACTGAAGACTGCCAGGATTGCAGGTTTCGGGACGGCTGCACATTCCTGCATTGCAAGGGGCTGGCGCTAGACGATCCTCAAGGTCCCTTTAACACTGCAGTTCAACGATTCTGTGTTCTTTTTAAAAATGTAAAAAGCCTGGAATGGTAGCAGTTAAAGCATTTTGTTATGTAATCTATGATGAACATGCCCTGTAGATTTCTGCAATCAAAAGGTAATATCACCAAGGCAACAGTCTGTAAACAAACAATCTCCCAGCACAACACTTGCAGCAGCATCTGTAAGCAAGGGGGGGCGTGTTAAAGTGGGGGCAAGAGGTCTGGGCTCCAATAGAAAAGATTCAGGACTTGGAGCTCCTGACTGCCTCTTAACTGTACAGAAAGTCATGCATATGGGTAGAGCAAAAGTACTGCTTCAGGGGGGCAGGTGTGGGGGACTCCTTGGTTCTGAATGGAGTAACTGCCCCTAAAGGACCAGGTGTGCAGGACTCACAGCGGCCCATGGAGGCACAGGTCTGTCCAGGGCGGCTGTCTATCAGTTCCATCTGGTACATTGGCTGAGACCCTGCCTCCCGCAGACTGTCTCGCCAGAGTGGTGCATGCTCTAGTTATCTCCCACTTGGACTACTACTACTACTACTACACGCTCTACATGGGGCTGCCTTTGACCTGGAAACTACAACTAATCCAGAATGCAGCAGATAGACTGGTGACTCGGAGTGGCTGCCGGGACCATATAACACTGGTCCTGAAAGACCTACACTGACTCCCAGTACATTTCTGAGCACAATTCCAGGTGTTGGTGCTGAAAGACCTAAACGTCCTCGGTCCTGTATACCCGAAGGAGCATCTCCACCCCCGTCGTCCAGCCCGGACACTGAGGTCCAGCACTGAGGGCCTTCTGGCAGTTCCCTTGCTGTAAGAAGTGAGGTTACAGGGAATCAGGCAGAGGGCCTTCTTGGTAGTGGCACCCACCCTGTGGAATGCCCTCCCATTAGATGTTAAGGAGATGAGTAATTATATAATCTTTAGGAGACATCTGAACTGATTTTTTTTAATGTTTAATGTCTTATGTTTTTAATATTCTGTTGGAAGCTGCCCGGAGTGGCTGGTGCAACTCAGGACAGGGTACAAATAATAAATTATTATTGTTAATAATTATTATAGGAAAGGGTGTCCCCACTATGACAGGGGACCCTCCAGTGTCAGTGCTTTAATTCTGCATGTAACAACTGTGGCTGTGCTGCTGCTGAGTCATCTCTTGGCTTTCTCCTTCCTTGCAGGAGGCTTCCATAAATTTCAGGCTGAATGGCCGCACCTCTGTGAGACCAACCTGGACACAGCCAGTGCCAGTAGCTCACCTGTGCCCCCGGCAGCTCCTGTGGTGGGACTGGGCGGCCTGAGCCTCAGCTCCGACTGCTCCGATGCAGAGTCGGGGCCCCTCAGCAGCGGGATGGAGTCGGAAGGGGCGAGCCCCCCCTCCTTCCCCGTGCAGATTCTACCCAACCTCTACCTGGGCAGCGCCCGTGACTCTGCCAACATGGACACCCTGGCCAAGCTGGGCATCCGCTACATCCTCAACGTCACCCCCAACCTGCCCAACCTCTTTGAGAAGAACGGCGACTTCCATTACAAGCAGATCCCTATCTCGGACCACTGGAGCCAGAACCTCTCTCAGTTCTTCCCTGAGGCCATTGAGTTCATTGGTGAGTGAAGGGAAAGGCAGGCAGAAAACCCCACCCTTGGCCTCCCGCTTGCGTTTTCCTGTGGCTGTTGTCTGCTGGCCATCGGAGGACCCATTCACATGACCCCTGCAAAGCATTTGAGGGAATATGGCTTGTGTCCCTGAGACAGTCCTCTGAGTCCATTGAGAGGCAACTGGCTCTCACTGCAGCTCACAGCTGACGTGACTCCTAGTTGGGCCCCGTCACTCACCTTTGTGTCTTCATGTTGGCGGGGGGGGGGCAGACTTATGGACCTTCGAGGTCCCTTCCAACTCTGCAATTCTGTGATTCATGATTGATTCATAAGGAGGCGGAGAACCTAGAAACACTGTGTCTACCGCAGTTTTTTGTAACATACCACTTGGGAACTTTCAGTACCCTGGGGCTTGCAAGTGAGTAAGGAGCTGGGACCAACACCCCAGAGATTGTCCCACTAGTGCAGGCATCCCCAAACTTGGCCCTCCAGATGTTTTTGGACTACAACTCCCATCATCCCTAGCTAACAGGACCAGTGGTCTGAGATGATGGGAATTGTAGTCCCAAAACATCTGGAGGGCCGAGTTTGGGGATGCCTGCACTAGTGCATCTAGTTTTGGGGGCCAGTGGGCAGGTAGATACACTTGAAAATGGGTGGTTTTCCAAGCCAGGGTCCCCATAGTGAGTTGCTGGTGGTTGAACTAAGGGCAGGTAGGACCAAGGAAGGGCAGGAGGCCTGGCTTCCAGTATTCATCCCTGGCTTGGGTGATCCAAAGGCCTCGCCCAAAGTCAGTGGGGCCAGAGCTTTGCCTCCTAGTTTCTTCCTGTGCATCACCTGTGGATGAACCTTTGCCCTCCACCCCCACCCACAAGATGTTGCTGCACTACAACTGCCATCATCCCTGGCCATTGGCTATGCTTGCTGGGACTGAGGGGAGTTGTAGTTTGGTGACATCTGGAGAAACAAAAGTTCCCCATACCTGCTGTACAGGAATAAGGCTCATGGGTCCTCAGGCAGCTTACTAGGCAAAGTCCTTAGAACTTGTGGGGCTCCCAGTTGATCTGCATCTTTAGTGATGAGGTACAGTAATTAAGCATCCCAGGGAGAAGGCAACACGATGGTGTGCCATTCCATTCTGGTTTGTCCTCATGACACTCTCAGCAGGCACAGTTTTCAAGCAGACCCATACTGATCTGTTTTGAATTTTGTGCTGCTGGAGAGTAGGAGTCCTTTACCTGCTGAGGGCATCAGGTTAGCCCTAGATGGTTGTGAGCAATGTGGATCACCCTTTGGATCACCCTTGCTCAGTGTATCTACTACATGGGCTGGGTTAACTGACCCCTCCAGCCATCCCATGTCTTTTAGGGACCTCACTCTTCCTTTGCGTTACAGACCTGCAATCTTCCCTGACGTTAAGTCTCCTACACTCCCAAACTGATTCTTTGCTGTTGGCCGGTCTCCCCCTTTTCTTTCTCATTGAGCAGCTTCAGTGTGTGCACACAGTGAGGTCTGTGGTCTGTGCATCCTCAGATTGGTTCTGTTCCTGCATCATCTGTAGAGTACCCTACAGAATATGATGCCTGGGTACCAACTAGGCCTGCAATGGTTCATTGATGAATTTGCCAGATTAATTATTTTAAAATATTTTGTTCGGGTGCCTCTGATTGATAAAACAGAGAATTCTTATTTAAAAAGTTTACAGTTTTAAACCAAACATTTCCAAAACTTGTGGCACGTAGACCGCATCTTCAAAGAGAGGCATTTTCCCTTCTCTCTCTGTTCAACAGAGTTAATGCATTCTCATAAACTGACTTATTTGCATTCCTCATTCTAATCACTTTGCTTGGCCACTCAAATTTTCACAAAGTGCTTCTTGCAAGCGGGGCCTTGCAACAAAATGTTGCAGTGTTGAGTGTTGCTGTTCAGGATTCCAGCAACTCCATTCCACTTCCCCTCCCTTCCAGTGGTTAGGAAGGGGGTGCCTGCCCCTCCCCCAAACTCCCTACCTTTGTCCCTTATCATGGGCCACAACTATTTTTTTAGCTTTCTCCCCTGATCCTCTAATGTCAGCTCGAATGCCCTTTTCCTCATTGTTTCATTCTCTCTTTTGCTGCCCACTTCCTTTTGCCCCCAAACTTCCAAATTCTTTGCAAGCCTTTCTGGAACTGGAGCCAGAAGAGAACAATTTGCACACTCTTTTCTAAACCTAGATTTTGTGTTTCTTTGGCACAGTTTGAAATATGCTGTTGCAGTGCACGCAATCATGGACATACAATTCTCAGACTTTTCCTTTGGAAAATTCAGCATAAAATCTTCCATTTAAAAAGGAATTAGAGTGATGGAAGAATAGTCTCTGGGACAGTTTAGGAGAGATGACGCCCACCAAGAACCTTTTGTCAAAGTTGTCTCCATCTGGATGTAAAGGGCTGTTGCCCTGCTGCGGTGGTCCTTAGGCAAGCCTGTCTGTGTGAAAAGTCAAAGCAAGATCACTTTTATTCGGGGGGGGGGGAGCAAAGCAATTCGGTGACATGTATAAATTATGTGACCAAGCATATCTACATCTTTCTTAGTTGCTTCATATAGTTGGAGGAACATGGCAGTATGTGGGGCACTTAAGTCCTATTGAATCACTGGGAGCTTTACTCAGCCCCACCTCTGGCTAGTGAAATCTCAACAGTCAGTGTCTATATACAGTCTGCCCTGAGGACTAGAAACTTGCTTGTTGATATATATATATATATATATATATATATATATATATATAGTTACTATAGGATCCTTAGGAAGCTGAGTTCTTCACTAGTGAAGTTGCAGGATATCCTCAGCGCTGCTCTTAACCTGAACATTCACACACACCCATGGGTTCTTCCCCACCTGCCTCCCTTGTCCTGCCACCCTTCCCTCATCCCCACTTTTTTCTCTGCCCCAGCCCTTACAGCCCCAGTTTTGTTGTTGTTTAGTCATGTCCGACTCTTCATGACCCCATGGACCAGAGCACGCCAGGCACTCCTGTCTTCCACTGCCTCCCGCAGTTTGGTCAGACTCATGCTGGTAGCTTTGAGAACACTGTCCCACCATCTCGTCCTCTGTCGTCCCCTTCTCCTTGTGCCCTCCATCTTTCCCAACATCAGGGTCTTTTCCAGGGAGTCTTCTCTTCTCATGAGGTGGCCAAAGTCTTGGAGCCTCAGCTTCAGGATCTGTCCTTCCAGTGAGCACTCAGGGCTGATTTCCTTAAGAATGGAGAGGTTTGATCTTCTTGCAGTCCATGGGACTCTCAAGAGTCTCCTCCAGCACCAGAATTCAAAAGCATCAATTCTTCCGCTATCAGCCTTCTTTATGGTCCAGCTCTCACTTCCATACATCACTACTGGGAAAACCAGAGCTTTAACTATACGGACCTTTGTTGGCAAGGTGGTGCCTCTGCTTTTTTTTTTTTCCAGTGCAGCCATATTCATGCGCCCGACCTGTTCTTTCCCTTTTCCCTTTCTCGTTCCCTCTCTGTCCCAGATGAGGCCCTGTCCCGGAACTGTGGCATTCTGGTGCACTGCTTGGCGGGGATCAGCCGCTCGGTGACCGTCACTGTAGCCTACCTCATGCAGAAGCTCAACCTGTCCCTCAACGACGCCTACGATCTGGTGAAGCGGAAGAAGTCCAACATCTCGCCCAACTTCAACTTCATGGGACAGCTGCTGGACTTTGAGAAGTCGCTGGGGCTCAGCAGGGCCAGCCGGCGCCCCCCCTCTGGCCAGAGCTGCTTCTTCACCTCGCCAACAGACGACAGCGTCTTTGAGCTGGATCCCACGTAGGGCCAAAACAGGGCGGTGGCCTCTCTTCTTGTCATCGTCGTTGGCCTCCTCCTCCTCCTCTTCAGTGTTACCTGCCTGCCCTGGTGGCAGGGTCCCTTTGGGGACCAACTGAATACCTCACGCCAGAGAGGAAGGCACCTCTTACAGCTGCCTTTGTTGCTGTGGATGCTGCACACCTTCCCAAACATGCAGCTCAGCTGATGGGGCCAGATCCATAACCAAAGACCCTCCCTGCCCCCACAACCCTTCCACCTGCCTCTCCATTCCCCAAGATCCCTGGACAAATGCTGAGTGTTTCCTCTGGACACACAGACCGTGTGGTCCAGACCAGCCTGTTAGATTTTAAAAGATTTGGAATGGGCCGTTTTCAGGGCTGGAACCTGCTGGTTGCTAAAATGCCCATCTTATATAGGACGTTTCCCATTCTACAGCCATAATCTAGAAACTGGTTAGGTTGCAGACCTTCGGCTCCCATGAGAATCCTCTCTCCCCAGGACTTCTGGTTCTAGAGCGACATCATTCAGTTTAAGGGGGGAAATGGGGGGGATATGAAAGAGAGAAACAAGTCTCCTGTGGCAGTTCTGTAATGAATAAAGGGATAATCCAGATTAGAAACCTCTATCTCAAAGGTGAAAGGTTCCCCAACTATCTATCTTGTTCTTGGTTCTAGAACCATGAACCACAGAATCCAAAACGGTGTCACAGCATGTATAGTCTGAGACTCTAGAATTGCCTTAAGGAGCCCCTGCCAGGAATGGTACAAGACACCAAACAAAAGAATCCACACCCTTTTAAGCCTTTGGCCTCCGGTTCTAGGAATTAATCCTATCATGCCTGATGCAAGAACTGCAGCTCTGGAACTGGGACAGTTAAGGAATCTCTGGGTCAAGAACCTACGAGCTTTGGATGCAGATTCAGAAGCCTGTATCATTCATCATACCTCAACCATCATCTGCCCCACAACTTCCCATCCCAAAAGCAGGCCGGCCAGCCACTCTGGAATTAATCCAGCTATTTCGGAAAAGCAGAAGGAAAATGTGTGGGGTCGAAGCTTTGGAGCAGATTTGCATCAGGGAGCCAGGAAGACCTAGATAGTAGGGGGCATGGTGATCAGTTCCTGCACAGAGGTGGAGAAAGTGGAGCAGCTTTGAATTTCATGTCTGTGTGTGTACAAATTTTGAATGTGTGTATGCCTTAATGCCTGCTTGTAAGCAGCCAGAGCTGTGTATGTGAGTACTAGACAGCGTCTGCTTAGCCTGCATGCAGGGCTTAATTTGTGGCCAGAACATACGGCTGAAACTTGCTTTCAGTGTCAGGTGCTCCGTCCAGGCACAAGTTAAGTAGTAACAAAGAAGAGAGCACCTCTGAGCATGGGCAGAAAAACAATCAAAGAAGTAGTAGGTAAATGGGCAGACTGCTGGCCACAGACTGCTCCCCTGCAATAGGCTACAGTTCTTGGGTAAAAGGATGTGACTTGTACTAAGTAGGCATGCACTCAGCACTTCCTTTAAAAAATGAATTAACTTAACCATTGCCTGTAAGTGGGTGTAGTCAGATAACAGATTGTGCCTGTATGTTCTAAACTATGTCCAGGGCATTCTGGTGCCCCCTGCTTAATGATAAGTTCCCTAGGTTTCTTCACTGTGGATCTGCTGCAATTCCATAAGTTGGTATTTTTGCAGGATTGGCTCTCTCCTGATCCCACCTTTCTTTCTTGATCTTTTTTTAAAGCAACTTTCTTAGCCCTTTTGGCTATGAAGATATGCTTAAAAGTGCTTGCAGGCAAAGCTTGCTGAAATAATCTCGAGCAGCTGCAGAATGAGGGGCTCCAGGGGTCAAAGTGGGTGGGCTTCAGGGTCCTGCATAGTGGACCTCCTTATGATTGGCAAAAGCAAGATAAAGGATGCAGAGTTGTAAGCAAAAATTTGCAGAGTAACAGTGCAATCTTACATGTGTCTGCATAGAATTAAGTCCTATGATGTCCAATGAGACTTATTCCTAGGTAAAGGTGTAGAGGACTGCAGCTTAGGTTGTGCAAAATACAAGCAATTACGCAAATTTGCTCATCTAGTACCATTCATGTGGGTTGCAGAATTCAGCTTTGGGCAGGGGGGAATTTGGACTGCCTGGACACAACCTTTAATTTTATTTGGCTGTAGACTTCAGTCCCGTGTACCTGTATGTGAAAAATGCAGGTCTGTCATTTTCTCTTTTCCTCTTTTCTTCATGGCAGCTAAGAGAACTGCCTTAGGATGGTCATTTTTTAATAATAATAATAATAATAATAGTTAATAATAATAATAATGGTTGACATCCTGGTCTCTTTGTTTTTCACATGAATGTATATGGCTCCGGAGCCAACTGCAGAGACAGGCAAGGACTGTCATTGCCATGGGCAACACAGTCACTTCAATAAAAACAGGCCTTTAAACAATACGAAGGAGTGTGGATTTGTTTGGTGTTGATGCTGATGAAAAGCAGCTGATGGTGAACCACTTCACATGCACAAGACCAATCCAAAGAAAGCCACTAACCCAGCTGTGAGGAACCTCTGGCCCTGGAGTTGTTTGCTGAACTACAACTCCCATCTTTCTTGGCTATTGGCCAAGCTTGCTGGGACTATTGGGAGCTGCAGTTCAGTAACATCTGGAGGGCAGAAGGTTCCCCACATCTGCCATAACCCTAATGACTACGATCACTGAGATCATCTGGATTTTTAAATAAAAAACAGAATGGTGTTTTATAGTGTACACCATCTTTATAATTTAAAATGTGGCTGTATAGACATACTCAGAAATAAATAAAAACCTCACTCATTCATGTTTTGAGTAGAAGACAACTTACTGTTTAACCTTCCCCTGACACTAAGTATGTGGGGAGAAGCAAAAGAGGTGGGTCTCTGCAGAATTTACCATTTATATTGTCATTTCTTAGATACAGAGAATCAGAATTAGTTGGAGGAGACCCTGAGGATCCTTCGTCCAACCCGCTGCAATGCAGGACTGTGTAGATGTCCCTTATGGGGAGAAATCCTGCAACCTTGGCATTTTCACCTCCATGCTCTAACCACCTGCACTATTCTCCACCAGTGGCCTTCACTGTGGCTGATCAGAAGTCAGAGCAAAAGCTGGTGGGTGATGGCAGGAACCAGAGAGTCAGTCTTGGGTCCCAGAATTTCAATGGACTGCAGCTCCCATCATCTCCAGGCTACTTAGCCAATGCTCAGGGGTGATGGGGTCCTAGTAGTCCAACAACATCTGGGGAACCAATGTAAGAAAACAAGAATGTCAGCAAACAGCTTCTCTTTCAGAGTAATCTGTGTTAAGTGACATTAAGTGTGTGCCTCTAGCCTGGATTAGGATGGGAGGGTTGGATGGGGCTGGGAGGGGGAATGGAGAGATTTGTGGTTTTGACTGCTGCTCAGGGAGGAGAGATATTCCCAGGAAGGGAGAAGAAGCCTGAGATGAGGTGATTTTAGGAGCTGTCTTACACAAAGTCAGACCACTTGCTCAGAATCCTCTACACCTGCAGCCCCTTAACCTCTACCTCCTTAGCTGCCAGGTTTCCTTGAATTCCTCGATTTTCCAGGCTTTTAAAATAGTTTCTTCCCTCTTGTGTAGGTTCTGGAAAATTGGTACAGTATTTTGCTTGATTCCGCCCCAACTCCCACTTTTATGCCTTGGAAAAATGAGTCCACCTGCCAGCTATCTGAGAATAATTAGGTAGGCATCTGCTCTCCGTGTGTGGCACTAAAATTGGGAGTTACTTTCACTTGCTTTGCAGAACAGCAGCTGTGTTGGTCTGCTGTACTACAGCACCAACAAAAAAAACCCTCCTCCTAATTAGGTGAGAGTAACCCCATCAAACCCAGTAGGTTTTACTTCTGAGAAGACCTGCACAGGATTGGCGTTCTAATCTGAGAAAGACTGAAGCATGAGGGTCTTTATTCTAGATGATTAATTCAGGACACTGTCTCTCACTTCACCCATCTTCAACTCTGTCTCTGCTCTCTGCTTCTGTTCTGTCCCCACAAATTACTCCTGAGTCAATGTGCCCCTACATAGGAGAAAAGGGTTGCCCATTCCTGGTCTGCACTGACCGTGACTGGATTTCCAGGGCTGCTGGCTGCTCTAGCTGGAGATGCCTGGGACAAAGCTATGGATGTAGGCAACATGTTTTCCCTGTATAACACACTTCTCTTTTCCTGCCCCCCTGCATCCCAAGATGATGATGTTTAGTCATTTAGTCGTGTCCGACTCTTCGTGACCCCCTGGACCAGAGCACGCCAGGCACTTCTGTCTTCCACTGTCTCCCACAGTTTGGTCAGACTCACGTTTGTAGCTTCGAGAACACTGTCCAACCATCTCATCCTCTGTCGTCCCCTTCTTCTTGTGCCCTCCATCTTTCCCAACATCAGGGTCTTTTCCAGGGAGCCTTGTCTTCTCATGAGGTGGCCAAAGTCTTGGAGCCTCAGCTTCAGGATCTGTCCTTCCAGTGAGCGCTCAGAGCTGATTTCCTTAAGAATGGATGCGTTTGATCTTCTTGCAGTCCATGGGACTCTCAAGAGTCTCCTCCAGCACCATAATTCAAAAGCATCAATTCTTCGGCGATCAGCCTTCTTGATGGTCCAGCTCTCACTTCCATACATCACTACTGGGAAAACCATAGCTTTAACTATACAGACCTTTGTTGGCATCCCAGGATGGTTGTGGTTAATTACTGACTATAAGAGGAGCAGAGGGTCTTTGATTAACAGCTACTCTTTCTTCCAGAGGATGTGTGTAAGTGAAAGCAGATCATAAGCAAAGAAAGATCTTCAGATCTGCAACACTTGCCAAATACAATGATGATAGGAACCAAATTGCTCTGCGAGTGGAAAGAACTGAGTTCTGGGAAGCACTAACAGAGACCTGAAGCCTAGAGTGGCAACCATTTCAAAACTAATTGTAACCGAAATTGCCTGGTGTTTCACAGTTTGTGATGATGGGCTATGGCAGAGGTGGGGAACCAACTCCTGTCAGCCCCAGCCAGTGTGGTCACTGGCCATGGATGATGGGAGTAGTCCAGCAACTTTTGGGAGGTTCCCATCCCTTTGGCTATGCTATTGACCAGTGAAGGAAGAGTTGGTAGGCCAGCCTGACAGTATTTAAACCAGACCTGGCAAATCCAGGAGTTTCATATTTTAGGCCACTTACAGCAGGTAAAAAAAAAAAGGTAAAGGACCCCTGGATGGTTAAGTCCAGTCAAAGGTGACTATGGGGTTGCATTGCTCATCTCCCTTTTAGGCCAAGGGAGCTGGCATTTGTCCACAGACAGCTTTCCGGGTCATGTGGCCAGCATGACTAAACCGCTTCTGGCACAACGGAACACCATGACAGAAACCAGAGCACACGGAAACACTGTTTACCTTCCCACCACAGTGATACCTATTTATCTACTAGCACTGGCCTGCTTATGAACTGCTAGGTAGGCAGGAGCTGGGACAGAGCAACAGGAGCTCATTCCATTGTGCAGATTCGAACCGCCAACCTTCTGATTGGCAAGCCCAAGAGGCTCAGTGGTTTAGACCACAGCGCCACCCACATCCTGCAACCACTTACAGCAGCCAAGTGTTGCATCACACACATTTCCTTTTATGCCCCGCAATGTATTTGGGGGCTGCACATGCAGAGTTCCAAAGACAGTTGCTATTGCTATTTATGATTGCCTTGCAAATATACCTATATACCTATAGTCTGCCTTTTAGGACAATGTCCTCCTAAGGTCACTTACCCCTCAAAGCATTTAAACCACATTTCATTCTAACCTTTTATGTGTGCTTGTTCCTCATCTCACTGTCCTCTTCCTTCTGTTTCTGGACTAAAATCCCTCTGTCATCCCTGGCCATATTTTACCAGGCTCGCCCAGATACTGCCACAACTCCAGCTATAACCCAACCATTACAGGATGACATTGGTCAATATTTTAGTGCAGTGCAGCTGAATGAAAAAGAGGTTCAGAATTCAGAAATGTAACACAGAAAACGAAGGCCAGCAGGCCAAAGGGGGAGAGTTGGATGTCACTCTGTGGGGCAGGAATCGCCACTCACAAGCAGATACATACCGGTAGTTTTCTGTAAGCTAGTTCTATAACTGGGTGAATTTCAGGCCAAAACAACCTGACCAGAAGCCTAGCTGCACTCCACAGCCTGGAAGGAAAATGCTAGTTTCTCAGTGGCATCCTCAACATTTGCTTCCTCACATGGCAGCCTCTTTCGGTCACATCCAAGATGGTCCTGGCTGCTCTAGGAAGTTTCTGCCACCTTGCTAAATTGGGAGAAAGGGCAAGGGTGCCCGTGTTGATGATGGGCAGCAAAGAACTCAGATGGAGATCTCCACACATCTAATGGTACTCCTTTTTTTCAGCTGACCCGCAAATCCGTGCCCTTTTGCACTGGGCTGCATGTTCCTGTTTCATGCTTCAAATATAATATGTGGTTCCCTTTTTCAGCATGGTGGCTGGTTCAGCTTTAGTACAAGATTCCTCCCTTGGCGCTCTCTGCACTCTTCCCATCTGTGTCTGTTTTGTGTCTTTTCATTTCGTTGTGTTTTTTAAAAACTCTTCTACTCAGTTGCCTGGTAACCAGCCTCTTTTCTGTTCTGAGAAGAGGGTGGAGTGGGAGGGAAACTAGCTGTAATCCTGGGGGATGCCCATATTGGACTTTCCCTTCCACCAGTTGGCTGTGTGTGTGGTGTGTGTGTGCATACAAACACACTTTCACTTCCCCAAGGGGCAGAGTGGCACACTGCAATGCATGCGTGGCCTGTGTCACTGGCATCCACAACATAAGAGGGTTCCTGGGAATGTCACACTGCTGACAGTCGCACCAGATTTTAGAGGGACAAATTTATCCCATTTTAAAAAAGAAAAGAGTGTGGGAGAAACCTGCCAATTAGACGTCACAAGCAGGCCCACCCTCAGGCAGGTATCATCCGAATGCCAGATTGAGCCGTGGGGAGGCCCAGACCTGCTATCATTTCTGGGCCTAAAGGACGGAGGCACCTGAGGACAAAAATAAATGGTTGCAACACGAGAAGACAGAAATATATACACATGTGACAAACTCTTTCTACCACTTTAATCCAGCTTTCATCTTCCCCACGCCACCCAATAGGCTGGGCCTTCAAAAGCTGCCCAAAGGCAGGCATTCAAGAAAGGAAAAATACTCCATTTAAAAGTCAGAGTAGGTAAGTGGACATGGATTGCATCCTGGTTTGGTCTTGAGGAGCGACTCATTTCTTTCTCAGCCTTGTTTACCTTAGAAGAGAATGGAGATGGAAGGGTTATAATGTTGGAGAGCTGGGTTCAAGCTCCCACTCAGATATGACATTCTCTCTTGCCAGCCATTCTCTCTCTTTCTCGGCCTAATCTACCTGAAAGAGTTGTTGTAGGGATGAAGGGTTGTGTGGAGAAAACCACGTGTGTGACTTTGCGCTTCTTGTATGGCTGGTCTGGGGAACCATTGGTTTGCCAGAGGTTGCTGAACTACATCTCCCATCAGCCCCAGCAATGGCCGGGAGTGATGGGAGTTATAGTTCAGCAGCATCAGGGGGACAGGCAAAGGTTCTCCACACCTTGTGGTGGAGCAAGAGGTTATTGCTAAATAAAAATGCTTTCTCCATGCCAGGAAACAGTTCTGTCATTGTGTTAAAGGGATGGGAGGGGGGATATGTCACAGTCCTATAGGGAGAACTGGCTGCCCCGGTGTGTCTTGGTCTCTCTTCCACAGGCGCAGTTTTGGTTCTCTGGTTGTGAGCTTCCGTTCCCACCACCACCCTTCCCCTGTTTGCAGCCATTTCCTGCAAGCTGTTTCCGAGGGATTATTTTCACCCAGTTTTCTTCCTGTCAGAGGACAGGAAGGGCAACTTCCTATGCAGAGGAGATTGCTGTCGCCTGAACAGTCATTCTTGTCCTCATTGTGTTGTGCTATGTGCTTTACAGTCCTTATTGTGTCCACACACAAAAAACGCCACAAGACAGGACGTTAAATGCTTTGTGGGTGGGAAAATGACAAGAGATAATCTGTGGCACCAGAACGATCAAATAACATATTGTGGCAAAAGTTTTTGTGGACTAGAGAGCCCACTTGGTCGAACCAAGGACCAAATCATATCCCACCCTCTTCCACCCTGCTCTTCCTCCAAGGAACAGAGGGTGGAATAAGATGCCTCTGCACTTTTTATCCTCACAACAACCTTGTGAAGTAGGTTGGGTGGGAATCCGGGCGGCAGCATAGTGTCTTTTATTGTCTTTGGTCTAAGGTCACCCAATGTGTCTCATGACTCAGAGAGAAACTGAAACCAGGGCAGCTCATTCATCCTGAATGGTTTGCATGAAGTTTGCGGGGACATTAAGTGACGTCAGTTGTTTCTTAGGCACTCATTCTGATTGGCTTGTGGGGAGGTTATACAACATCATCAAGCAAGTGCTATCCCACACTTTTCTATTGTAGCATCACTGGCATACCCACCAACATTTCCCCAATGAAAAAAGGGACATCCCATTCCATAAAGATAATTTTACTATTTATACCCCACACATCTGACTGGGCGGCTTCCAACATATATGAAACATATATGAAAACATAACAAAACATTAAATATTAAAAAACTTCCCTATACAGGATTACCTTCAGACTGCTCGGGGGTCGGGTAACTCCATACCTTCCAACATTTCTCCAATGAAAATTGAGACATCCTAAGGAAAAGCAGGACATCTCGGGATGAAATCAGAAACCAGGACAGCTTCTCTAAATCAGGGATGTCCCTGGAAAATAGGGACACTTGGAGGTTTTGCACTGGTCACATGCAGACCATACATTTCAAGCACTCTTACAACCACTTTAACAGTCACTGTTTCTCCCAAAGAATCCTGGGAACTGTAGTTTTTTTAGGTTACTAGGAACTGTAGCTCTGTGAGGTGTCTGCTAACAGCACTCCAACAAACTACAGTTCTCCAGGATTCTTTGGAAGAAACTATGATTATTCAATGGGTATAAGAATGTGCTAAATGCACAGTGTGGCTGAGGTCACTTTCCTTATCACAAAAGCTTTGATTTTGCTCATGTAGAGGAGCACTGGGCTGGGCCACGCTGGGGGTGCCAGCATGGAGATGCCTGGTTGGCACCCACCAAGTGCCACATCATCTGACCAGACTCCCCCCTGCAAGGGTGGGCAGGTGGCACAGCGCAGCCCTGCTTGGCTCTGGGGTGGGGTCGCTCCAGTGGGGTCAGCGGTGTGGGCTGCTTCACCCTCCATGCCCCACCTCCAGCACAAGCCTGCCCCGGGTGCTGTGAGCTTATGCAACACCGCTGCCCTGTGCTCAACCCTTGAAAGGAAAGGCATGCAGAGAGTAAACCAAAGCTTACCATACTTTTCATGTTGGTGACACACTTTTTAGACTTGCATCATTTTGCAACACAGTAATTTAGTTTCACTAGCAAACCAGAGGTTAAACTAACCCCTTTCCAGCCCTGAGAGGAGAGCAGGGAGTGTTCACGCGACACATCTACACACTGCAGCTGACACACTAACATGTCGCAACACACAGTTTAGAAAACTCTGGACTAAACCATAGCATAGTAAGGATGCTTTTCAGTGGCAGCACCATATAAAAAATTATGTGGAGGCAAAGTATATTTCTAGGTGGGCGAAAAAGAAAAATAACAGCATGTGTGAACGACAGAAGTTCAGAAATGGAGGGTGGGCTCCTCTCTCGGGGAGCACATAGCCCCATGCCCCCACCTCTGGTGCCACCTATTATCATCCTCAAAACAGGCCACTACTTGCACTGAAAATGCTGTTTCTGTTTTCATGATGGCTTTTGCCCCAGACCAACAGGCCTTCCTGCCAGCCTGATCTTGGAGCCAGATCTGGCTTCCTTCTTTGAGAGAAGGGGAAGTGCCGCTTCCGCTGAAGCGCTTGCCCTTCCTAAGAAAGAAAGCCATTCTCAGCTCTGGCAAAAAACAGGGTGGGGCAACATGAAACAGGATCATAGGAAAGTTCTGTTGGACAGGGTTTCATATTTATAAGGCAGGGTGGACTCCTACAAACACACACACACACACACACACACACACACACATACACACTTCATTGTTTACAAAGGTGCGTAATTTGAACCTTCAACATTTCAGAAATCACACAAAGGAGGAGAAAAATATATCTGACTAAAGTCAACCATCGCAATGTGACACCTTAAAAACTTGACCATTTTTACTGAGGCATGAGGTTCCATTGGCTACTTTACCAGGCACGTGCTTTGAGAGTCGGGAGGAAGGTTTTCATGTGTCAGAGTGCATAGGGCCTGTGCCACAGACTCTTGATAACAGGGACTTCAGCACGGGCAGTGTTGCCCACTTTATAACTCCTCCCCCCCAGTCCTTTCCTTTAATGGCCACTTTATCTGAAGGTGTGAACAGGTAGGATGGCCAGGTTCAAAGGAGGACAGGGCTACGTTGGCATAGAAAAGGAAACCACAGCAGAGGCAGCTTTTCATGCAAGGGAGAAAAGCACTCTGCCTGTTAAAGGCACAGGTGTCCCTCCAAACTTGGCCCTCCAGCTGTTTTGGAACTACAATCCCCATCATTCCTGACCACTGGTCCTGTTAACTAGGGGTGATGGGAGTTGTAGTCCCAAAACAGCTGGAGGGCCAAGTTTGGTCATGCCTGCTAGTGGCAGGTGATGGTGATGCTTCACCCTCCATGCTGTGGGCAGGGAAAGGCTTCACATGCTCATTGCTGCGCATCATGTTGCTGTTACAGGCACCAGAGCAGGCCTAGCTGTTTTGTCCCCGCCCCCATCCTGCTTAGCTGCCAACCCTGCCCCCAGATTTGCTCATGGCACCAGCTTCCCCTCCGCCATGCAAACGCTGCAGAGGGAGAGGAACAGTGGTGCAGCTACAGATACCAGTGGCCAGGAATCGCAGGTGGGGAGAACGCAATCACGTCAGGGTCCTGTTTGTGGCCTTCTCATTGGCACCCTGTGAGAACAGGATGCTAGGAGATTGGCCATGGGCCCGATCCAGAAGGACTCTCCTTATTTTCTTATGTGTGGTGAGCTAGACCTGCTCTGTGTTTGGGAGCCCTACTGCTCATTCGATCCCTGGAAATCTCCCCCCTCCCCAAACTGCAAGCCCTGTCCTGCTGGCAGCACTGGTGAAGAGGGAAGGAGCCATGGCAAGAGGCCCTGGATGGCTCCCGCTAAGTCTTCCTCCTCTTGCTCCTCCTTCCTGTGCTACATAATCCCTCTCAGTTCTCTCTGGGTTGCAGCAGCATCTCCAGGGGCAAGAACCCCCAATCCCCGCTCACACAGCACAAAAGGGCCACCGAGATCAGCTGTGCACTTGGATGAGGAGGAGGGCTCTGAGAGGCTGCGTTGATGTGTGTGGGGAGGTGTGATTCAGCCAGGAGGCAGGAGGGATTCGTCATTGGTGGTTGCATAATCCTGGCAGCAGCCTCAAAACACCCACCAAGTTCGCATGGGATGCCAAGAGGCGAACTGACTCTGAGGCGGGGTGTGCCTGCCATCTGCTGCGAGTCAAGGGAACTGCATGGGCAAAAGAGCCTCTTCTCCATCCTTGCATCTTGGGGTGGGGAACATTTTTCAGCCCAAGAGCCCCGCTCCCTTGTGGACAACCTTCCAGGAGCCACGCTCCAAGAGGGAAAAGGCACGGGCGGCACAAGGACGTGGCTTTTCTTTGCACAAAAGGCCACACGCAGAGCCCCCTTCTCGTGTATCTAGGCTCATCAAAGTCTAGTCAGGCAGAAGCAGCAGGAGGACGTGGAGTGGGAGCCGAGAGCATGTGGCCTGCAGAAGGTGCCAAGGGCCAGAGAGTAAGGCTCAGATGAGGGCAGGTGGCCCCTGGGCCTGACATACCCCAGCCTCCTTCAAGGAGCCAGGTTTTGCCATGTTGTCTCTCTAGAGAAGGGAAGGGTTTGCCCAGTATGTTTCCCTGGACGGACTGCAGGAATGTAAGAAGCAGGCAGGGATTTTTACCTTCTATGTAAAAATGCAGGAAGCGAGCTCTGGCGTTAGGAAGCAATAGGGCTCTTGCCGATTTAGTAGTGTAGAAGACAGAACTGAGGCAAGAGCAGCACATCATGCAGGGCTGAGGAAAAGCTGCATCTGCTAAAATTCCCTCTCATGCTCCCTATTGTCACACTTTGAAGCAAGGTGTAGCTGAATGAATATCCCATCTAGTTAAGAGTGACCACATTCCAAAAGGGACAAGACTCATGTTTAGTGGGGCTTCTGGTTCAGCGCTGCCTTAATGGAGGCAGCCCCCATGACAGCGGGAGATCGTAGGCGAAGGAAAAACAAGGATGATTGAGGGTAAGCCATCCTTGTAAATCCCCCCCCCCCCGGACAGTGGGAACTGGCTTCACTTGGTACCTGGCACTCACTCCTGTATGGAATGCGGGGGGCAAGGAGGCGCTGAGTGCAAAAGCCTTTGCCTGGCAAAAACACTCCAACGCTGCCATTAAGAAGCAGAGCTACTCCTGCTAATTAGAGCTTAATTGGACTAAAGTACAGGTGCATGTAGGGACGCGGGTGGCGCTGTGGGTTAAACCACAGAGCCTAGGACTTGCCGATCAGAAGGTCGGCGGTTCGAATCCCCACGACGGGGTGAGCTCCCGTTGCTCGGTCCCTGCTCCTGCCAACCTAGCAGTTCAAAAGCACGTCGAAGTGCAAGTAGATAAATAGGTACCACTCCAGCGGGAAGGTAAATGGCGTTTCCATGCGCTGCTCTGGTTCGGCAGAAACGGCTTAGTCATGCTGGCCACATGACCCGGAAGCTGTACGCCAGCTCCCTCAGCCAATAAAGCAAGAGGAGCGCTGCAACCCCAGAGTCGGTCACGACTGGACCTAATGGTCAGGGGTCCCTTTACCTTTACTTTACCTTACAGGTGCATGCTAGAAGAGATGAGTTCACAAACTGCAGAACAAACCAACTGCAGACTTTAAGGTTTGAATTTGAGATAAGACTTCATTCGGTGCAAAAGATGGGGGGAGGGGAGCCTACGATTTCTTTATTTAAAGTTTCCTTCTCTACAATTAGGATTTGGCAACCCTCCACTGAATGCTAGTTCAAATTATATTTGTACAAGTGAGGATGGAAGAAATTGGATTATAAATTTGGAATATAACATCAAACAGAACTGTGTGTGTAAAAATAAGGGAAAAGGGAGGGAAGCTATATTTTGCAAAAGGTTTACGATGGAAGAAGAAAAGAAGAAGAGCTTGGATTTGATATCCCGCTTTATCACTACCCTAAGGAATCTCAAAGCGGTTAACAATCTCCTTTCCCTTCCTCTCCCACAACAAACACTCTGTGAGGTGAGTGGGGCTGAGAGACTTCAGAGAAGTGTGACTGGTCCAAGGTCACCCAGCAGCTGCATGTGAAGGAGCGGGGAAGCGAACCCGGTTCACCAGATTACGAGTCTACCACTCTTAACCACTAAACCACACTGGCTCACTTAGAAACTTAGAAACTTTATTATCTATGAAATGAACTGAATAACGCTAAGAGGGCTTGGAATTTAATTTAATTGGAAGGATAACTGGCCATATATCTTCAGCTGGAAGGAAGGATAAAAGGAGTCTGTGAGCTGCCAAGGAATTGGTAAAGTTCTTTATTGAGTCATCTGCAATTCAACAGACCACTCTTCTTCCCAGGCTGAGAGGGGAAATGGTGAAAACAGTTTATTTACTGGGACAGAGCAACTTTTGCATTTGTTGTTAAAGCTCTTGGTGCAAAACAATGAAACATGAGCCAGAACAATGGAGAAATTTCTGGATATCAGCTCCATCCAAGGCATGATGAATAACAGCAACAACTGAGAGAAAGACATAACACCTTACAAGGACAGGAAGAAATACCATGGACAGAATAATTGCCACACACAGGATGAGAAAGAATATAGTTTGAGTTGAGGTCCAGCTCCCAGGGCCTTCTGGCGGTTCCCTCCCTGTGAGAAGTGAGGTTACAGGCAAAGGGCCTTCTCAGTAGTGGCGCCCGCCTTGTGGAACGCCCTCCCATCAGATGTCAAGGAAATAAACAACTACCTGACGTTTAGAAGACATCTGAAGGCAGCCCTGTTTAGGGAAGTTTTTAATGTTTGATGTTTTATCATGTTTTTAATATTCTATTGGGAGCCACCCAGAGTGGCTGGGGAGACCCGGCCAGATGGGTGGAGTATAAGTAATTATTTTTATTATTATTATTATTATTATTATTACTCACTTGAAGCTTTATAAATCATTCAATGTGTCAACACAAATAGAAGTTATTAATATTGTAGTTGTTGTATAAGAGATTATTATTATGAAACTAATAAGATTTTGGAAGACAGAATTAAAGATTATGAAATCATCAAACCTATTTAATTCAGTATTTGAATGATTAGTATTAATAATTGTATTATAAATTGGTATTGTTATACTGAGGCTATTATTGGTATTGTTATACTGGCCTATAACTGAAAACTAACAAAAATTTATTACATATAAAAAAGACTCACGTTCAGTGGGACAGTTGGGTAATTTTGCACTCTGGACTTAATGGTCTTACAGAACCTCCTATCCCCACCTCTTTAGTTGGTGATTTGTGCATTATTTCACTTGCTTCAAATTGTGGTAAGCTAACCCTGCTGCCTGGGGTGGCAGCGGTGGCTCATACCCATTTGTAGGAGGGAAGTTGCCTTCCACTGAGTCAGACCCATGGCCCATCTAGCTCAGTATTGTCCACACTGACTGGCAGCTGCTCTCCAGGATTTCAGGCAGGGGTCTCTCCCAGCCATACATGGATATGCCAGTGGGCCTTGAACCCAGGACCTTCTGCATGGAAAGCAGATGCTCTACCAATGAACTGTGGACCTTCCCTGTTCTGCCTAGTGGTGCCCCACACTTCTGCCTTGCGCTGGCAACACTATTGCTGAAGCTCCTTTCAAAATTCAGAGGAAACTCTATTGGTGCTGCACTTCCTGAATGCTGCCTAATGTTGGAGCTTTTAGAGAGACGAGAACCAGTTGCCAGCATTTAGAAATGATCACAACCCTTGTGCATTCAGAAGCAGCCCACCACGCACCAGTTTAGGAAGCGACGCTTTTCCTGGCATGAAGAAGTGATGATGGGGAAAGCATCGCCTTTTTGATTTCTTCTTGTCCTACCGTCATTGAAGACCACATTTGTGCAAGCAAATGTCAGTCTAAAAGTGGCATTCATTTGAAGTGCAGAGAGAACACAAATGGAAAGGGGTGGGTGTTTGCCAGGTCAATTTGCTATATGCTTTTAAAACGACCAACTAAATGAGCCATGGCTTCTCTTGCCTGTTCCTTCTCTCGTCCTTTTGCCCTCCATCCGTCTCCCCTTGGTCTAGCAAGCAAGGTACCAGGTGCACAGCACAGCAGGGAGGAGGGCACACAAGGGTGGAAGGAATGGCGTAGAGGCACAGAGAGACCCTCCAGGTTGCAACCTGGCAACCACATACTATAAAGGCAGAAGAACAGGTAGGGGGAAGAGCGCTTGCAGCAAGAGAGAGATAGAGAGAGACATCTACAGCTCTCAGCCAGCACAAACACAGCTTACATAACCAGCGAGCTCGTCCAAGCAGGAAGATGCATTTTCACACATGTGGTTTCAAGTAGCAAGGGCAGTAGTCCGCAAGGGGCCAGGAGTGCTCATTCAGATTACAAATGCCTCCCTTCAACTTTGCATTATATATTAACAACTGGGCATTTTCACATATAAGGTGTAGGGCTTAACTATTAAAGAGACAAAGGCTTGGCTGCATCTGGGCAGTATCACCTCATATTGCAGGTGGGAGCCTGTAGGATAAATCGCTCCTCCATTTTAGAAGGGAAGAAAACTCCATCCAGAAAACTAGGGTGGCATACACAGCATGCATTTCCCCACAAAGAATCCTGGAAACTGTAGTTTACCCCTCACAAAGCTACAATTCCCAGGACCCTTAAAATAGGATGTTGTAAACAAAATCTGCCCTTATTCCCTTATGGGGGACACAAGAGCCCTTATAGAGTCCTTTGTAGGTTCTCCATCGGTAGGAGAAAATAACAGAGGCCAACCAGAGAATATTGAGATGCAAAGCAGCTAGTAAGCCTGATCTTTATTGAACTGTTGCAACATGATGTTCCCCTCACACACAGGAGAGAGGAGGAAGACCCAGAACAAAGGTGTGCCTGCCCTTATACAGACATTTTAAATTCCCTGCCCTGGAGCTCAAGACCACCCCTCCATACATCATACCTACATCACAGAAAAGGCAGTCTACAACAGAAATTTGAAAGTTGTTGTTTTTCCTGTCTGCCAGGTTATCTGATAATGCCTTATCTGATTGCCTTTCCTGGTAGTCTGCCCATTCCTTTGAGATGGTGATTACCCAATTCCTGAGACAATGGGAAGGTTCCCTCACCCCCTCCCTCCTTGCAGAGAAAACATTTGGTCAGTTTGGGAGTCAAAATGGTTTCAGGGCGGTCTTCCTGTGCTGCTCCAGACATGTGGTCCACATATCTATGTACGTGTTTGGTTGGTACATCTATGAACATTTATTATATATATATAAGACCTTAAATTTTTTATTACAGGATTCTTTGGGAGAAGTCACATGCTTTAAATGCATGCTGTCTACACAGCCCAGGTGTCAGAAAAAAAATATGGTTCTAGCTTAGCCTTCTCCCCACCTTGCTCATTTTCTATGTGAGGGGTTTTGGTTTGCAAGGTCATGCGACCAAATGCTTACCTACCTGTGTCTGAAGTAGTACAACACAGAGGCAGGTCTACCACCTCTGCGAGGCATCAGCATCTCTGACAGGGAGGATCGGCAGCACTGAGTCTCTTTTAATGTAGAGTTTGGCTCTTGCTCAGTTTTTGCTCAAAAATCAGTTTGCAATGTACATTCAAAACTTGTATTCAGAATTTCTTCACTTCAGTTCTGCACAGGAACAGAAGTGTTTCCAGTGCCAGCTCCAACTGCTGCTTAGTGGGCAGGTGGAGGGGTGGTCTGAATTTTCTGCAATTCAGTGGTAGGAAGATGACACCATATAACTGTCTTGGTCTCCTGTACTCCGAAAGCAACCAAAGCTAAATTACTGTGCTGAAAGCAGAGAATCTGCTCGAAGTAAACCACAGGCTTCAGCTTTGCTTTTGGAGTCAATTATAAGATAAATATTCCCTCCAATAATATACACAGAATTTTTTTAAAAAACTTTGCTTTAAGCAGAAAGAATAGCACTTTTAGAAGAGTCACATGACTCCCAAATTTGTCACATATACCGTATTTTTCGCTCTATAACACGCACCCCACCATAGCACGCACGTAGTTTTTAGAGGAGGAAAATCCATAGGCATGCCACCCGTAGGCATTTCCTCCATAACACGCACAGACATTTCCCCTTACTTTCTAGGAGGAAAAAAATGAGTGTTATGGTGCAAAAAATACGGTATTTTGGTTCAATGTAGCCCCCTCTCCTGGTGAAGTTATTTCTGGTTTATGCAATAGGGTACTTGGCTTGCTGAGGTTTGCTGGGTCTTGAGTAGGGGGAGGGGAGAAGTTCGTCAGTTTTGCATTTAAAGGCAAACTTACAAAAATCACACTTTCCACAACAATGTGCAAATTGTTGACTGAGAGCCTTCTTTCCATAGTTGCTCTTCTTTGAATTTTGAAATGTAGTTATCTAGTTAAGCAATGTGTACAAAAATGCAATTGCTAGTGTTCCTAAAAATGCATATATTTAATGAAAATAACAAAAATGTGTGTTATACTAGGGATAATTACAAACAATGTGTGCATTAGGAGAAATTCACACTAAAATGCAGATTTTTTAAAAGGGCTTAACAAAAAATAATTGCAAACTGATGTGGAAATGTGGAGAACTGAATTTAAGAATGGAAAAACGAGAAACCAACATTGAGATTTGCCTATTCCTAGTCCTAAAGCAAGGGACTCGTTGGTCAGTGGCTTATTCCGAGGCTGCAGTCCTAAATCCCTTGCTAGTCAGCTCCATGGGCATAGCCAGGGGGGTGCAGCTGTCCCCCCTAAATTAAGTAAATAAATAAAAATACTTAACTGACCAATTGCATCATAGTTAACTCAGTTTTGCACCCCCACCAACATAAAGTCTGCCCCCCCCAAAAAAAATCCTGGCTACGCCCATGGTCAGCTCCACTGAAAACAGTGGGGCTTACTTCCATGTAAACATGCATAAGATTGGGCTGTGAATCATTCTTCTGCTCCTCTCTGACATCCTCCCTCTTCTTCTGGTTATGTAGGAGGAAGCTGCTGGAGTGTTAGGTAGGATTACTCACTGCTGCTAATTTGCAGGCATTCTTCAGCCATTCCTCCAAATGGTCTGCTCCTTAACAGGTTGCTGTATTATAGAGCTGATGTAACACGAGTGCCAAACAAAGCAAACAGAGAAGTCTCCACTTCATATCTCACCTGGGCCATGAACTTCCTGGATCAGCTGAGCCAAGCTGCTTTCCTTGTCTTAGCTTGTCCCTCATCTGTAACATGGAAGATGGCAACTCTGACCTTTCTTTCAGAGCTCTTGTAAAGACTTCTTGCATAACGCATTGCAAAATGTGCTACAGCAATGCAAAGTGTAGTGTGACTGCCTCCTCCAAGAAGAAGTTGAAGGACAGAACACCTGGGTTCTATCCACCAGCACAATGTGGATAGACTTTCTTTCTAAGGATTATCAAGTGGCAGGTGCAGGGCCAAATCCACTCCCACCATTTACCAGTGAAGAGGCAGAACTGTGGGTCTAGCTGGCAGTGACAGTGGGTGTGGACACAGGACTCATCAACAGCAGCCAGCAGGGCACGAGGAGGGGAACAGGGTTGACCCCCTCTCTGCTGTACCCTCAAAGTGACTGTCCAGCCCAGTAGAAGTAGTCCCTGACATGGGAAGCAGTAGCAGAAAGACGGGGGCTTCTAGCCTAACAATAATTCACAGGAGCACAAACTGGGAAGTGGGAGAGACAGCGTTCAGTTCGAATGTGTGGAAGAGAACTGTTCTCATTATTTGGTAGAAACAAGTCAGGAAAATAATATGTGAAGCAGTGCCACCGATTCTGTGGCAGGGCAACATTCTAGGTAGGCATCTCTGCTTGTTATAACCTGTGGATGGGGGAGAAGAGGCCCGGCTTCACACAGAAAGGACGACCATTCCCGTACGGTGTTACAGTTTTCATTTATTGACACGTGTGGGGAGGGGAAGCATGACGGAAACAACCCCCCACCAGTCCCCACAAGAACCACAAGAACAATCTCCAGCTCTGAGCAACACGGCAAAGCAAATGTTCAGTCTGACAGGAATACAAGGGCAGGTGGTAGGGGGTGTGGAATAGAGGAGGAGGGCAACTGACCTTGCTGACCCCCTTGCTTTCCCCACCAATATCTTTTGGGGAACATTAGGGGATAGCCCATCCCCCCGCCGTGTGGGGCATCCCTGAGCTGCACCCAAAGAAGCAACTTTATTTCGGACTGGGTGCTGCAACTGTCCTAGGGAGCCCAGTTCTTCCCTGGGGAGAGGGGCAAGTAGCGACAGATCTGTGAACATAAAGCAGAGCACCTGATGAATCCAGGAGGCCTTGGCTGCTCCTGGCTGGTCCCAGCTGACTCTCTCTTTCCCTAGAATCTACCAACACCTTGTCTAACTGGCCCAACTGAAAAACAAAACACTAATCAGCAAGAGGTAAAGACAGACGTAGCATTCTCAGAGCAGGCTCTTGCCCCACAGGGCAGCGCCAGCTTAGCAACTCATGCTGCAGACGTGCCAACAAGTCAAATGCTGGATTGGCCAGTGGCTTCCTACTGCAAGGCAATGTGTCAGCCCCACATCCTTGCCCCATGCCTTGTACATGAAGCAGACCTGTTTGCCTCTTACGGTTTTGTTACTTGTGGCAGCACTGCCCATGTGCTGAGGCTTAGATGTGTCCTTCCTTCATCTTAAAAAAAGGAAACACAACCTCAACGTTTGTTTGTTTTTAAATGGCTACAAAACTGCTTCGGAATGTGGAGGTGTAAGTTGGAGATATTCTGGGTACTTGCAAATTGGTGCTCATCACAGCTGACTTCTCCCTGGTTCAAACTGAACCATGCTAAGAAAAACCCTACAGAATCCCCACCCCAAAATGTGCACCCTGTGACAGAAAAGTATAAGTTAGTTTGGAGACAGTGAGGCTGCTACAAAACACCAGCATCCGTCTTTTAAATGTTACATCTGTCTTCACCGTCTGGAGCCCAACTCCCGAGGTCTCCCCAATGTCTATCAAATGGCACCTCCCTGTCTCAGGATTCCTGGCGGCTGCTTTTTTACGATTTCCCGTTCCACTATTCCCACACAGCTACTGTGTGGTCCTTCTGCTCCACTGGATCTTCTCTGCTTGGCAGCTACCATGTTGTTACTCTCACGGGGAGGAGAAAGAGTCTCAAATCCATCTTGGAATCCCCCCAATGGGTTATGGGGAAGGGTGTCTTTTTCAGCCCCTCCACCAACACAGCAACCTCTCCACCGCCCAAAGCCATCCAGGGCTCTCGCTGGGCTCTACAGCCAACATGGAAGGAAGTGTGGTGAGTAACACAGCAGGGTTGTGAGGGCTTCACCAGCCTTAAGGGCGAGGCGGGCTTTGGTCCCAGGCAGCAGGGCAACTTCAAACCCTGCTAAAAGCAGGCTGGACAGTGGCTGACTTGACGTGACTCCTGGGCCCCTCAGGGCAGAGATGTCCCCAGAAGGGGGAGCAGGAAATGAAAGGGCACGCCCACCTCTTGGGTGAGGGTACTGGCGCAGCGTCATGGCTGTGAAGCCGCATGCAGGAGGGTAGCTCATGCAAAGGGCAGCGGCCCAGGCTCTCCAGGCACCTGCGGGTGGCAAGAAATGGGTTAAAGACAGGCCATTTCTGTGATAAGAAGTCCCCGCCCTTCCAGGACTCCCAGGACAAAGCAGCCCCATCTTCTGGAGCCCTGGTCCTGGATAAGACCTTCTTGCACCCACTGAGACTTCCCCTCCTTCCCATTGCTATTTGCCCTGCAGCCTATTTCTGTATGCTGCCCATGCCTTAGTCCCGGCTACTAGGTTTCCTTGTGCACTGTGCTTGCAATAATGAAACATGGCAGCCAGGACTAGGCTGGGTTGCTAGCAGTGCCTAGGAGCAGTCACTCTCAGAGAGCAGCCCGTAGAGTGAACCAAATCACTCTCTCTCGCTCTCGCTCTCTGTGCACAATTCAGCTGAGTTAGCCGTGCCCTAGTGGATCCCTCCTGCGCATCACTGCCACGGCCATTCCCCCACCTCATTTCCCCCTCCCGGGCTCTAATCATGCCACAAAACCAATGAGCAGGAAGCAGAAAAATCTACCTATGGGGGCAATGTACCCCTTACAGTGGTTCTCAACCTTGGGTCCCCAGATGTTTCTGGTCTACAACTCCCATGATCCCTAGCTCACAGGACCAGGGGTCAGGGATGATGGGAGATGTAGGCCAAAAACATCTGGGGACCCAAGGTTGAGAAAGGCTGGAGTTTTTCACAGAATTGTAGAGTTGGGAGGGACCACGAGGGTCATCTAGTCCAAACCCCTGCAATGCAGGAATGGCAGCTAAAGAAGCCCTGACAGTTGGCCATCACGTTAAAAACCACCGAGGAAGGAGAGTCCACCCCATTCTGCATGATGCCCTTCGACTCATCCTCCCCTGACGCTCCGTTGCAAAACGCAGGCCAAGCGGGCAGAGAGCGGCAAGGGTGGTCTTGTGAGTATGGCTCTCAGGCTTAGTCCCTTCCCACAACTGCATAGCTTCTGATTACATTCCTGCCCCGGTGCTTTTAAAATAACACTGACAAGCAGAAATAAAAGGAAAGGCCTCACTTGCTTAGCTTCCATGCTAAGAGAAGCCGCCTTTGCTTAATTTCTGCATATCCAGCGACTGGTAAGGAGTACAGGGCAGTGAGCAGAAAGAAGTGAGAGTTCTGCTCTCCCAGCCCCCAGCAGCCCCCAGCTGGCAAAATGCTCTTCTATCACACACACCTCTCTGGTCACCATTTCCCATGATGCGCTCCAGAAGTGGCCTCTCCAATTTCCTCGCCCTCCGCACCAGGTCCGTGCTTGGTGATGTGGCGCAAGAAGGATGTGGCATTGAATGCTCGCTGTAAGAAGGGAAGTGTGAAAAAGGTTGCCAGCTTAACAGAAAACTGCCCGGCCTGAAGCAGCAGCTTGGTCTGCAGAAATTAGCAGGGGGAACTTTTCTGCAGTGGTGGGAAACTTGGTAGTGGGGCCCGCTCTGTGGAAAGCCCTCCCGTCAGATGCCAAGGAGATAAATAACTATACAACTTTTAGAAGACATCTGAAGGCAGCCCTGTATAGGGAAGTTTTTAATGTTTGAAGTTTTATTCTGTTATAAAAAATATTATTATTATTATTATTATTATTATTATTATTATTATTATTGCAGGTCATGCTTTTAATGAGGTCCGCAAGTTCATTCTGGCCATGTCACAAAAACCACATCCTACACCTGTTATCAGGTGTGGAGCAGAGGTTTGCAGGGACCCTAGAACCACTTCCTTTAAATTAAGCACTGCAGAAAGAGTGCAAACCCTTCTCCAAATTGGGTTAAAGTTAAACATTCCTCTTTACCTTCCATTGACTGCGAGCAAAGTTTTTCTGGATCTGCTCACACACAGAGCCATGAATATCTTTCTCCAAAGCCGTGTCCCCAGAGATCCTGAAATACATAACAGACAGGGTAATTATCTTTTGTTAGATTATTTTGCCTTGGTGTCATCAATGGTCTGGGACTGGTCTAGCTCAACTGATGCACAGCTCACTTTCTGGCCACTTCATATTCGCATGTGTGGAAATCTTGGTGCCCTGGTGTCTATGGTTTAACGTGGTAGTGTACACATATAAACTGTGAAAGAGATGGAGCAGAGCAGAAAAGTAGGATTTATCGTGAGGCAACAGGCGCCGGTGAGCCTCCTCTGCCACGTGATGTCATATATGCGCCCGGCCCCCAAAAGTTGGGCAGAACCCGGCAGAAGTGTGATCTATTGTTTTCCTTCCTGTTACAATCAAATTGATCTAGTGGAGCCTCACCACTGTTTTGAAGAAAAGCAAAGCTTGGTAAGAAACATTCTGAGTGGACGAGGAAGTGCTTAACCTTCTTCCCGCTGCTCTTCACTTCATATTCCCTTACCAGCTGGCCCCTCCCCAGCCCAAAATGCATTTTTAGTCCATTGGCAGAAAAGCCACGAGAACGGAGAATTTAGGGAGAAGAAAGAGCAATCATGGAAGGGTTAGAGTCCCCCCTCCTCACTGCTGCTCTCCACACCATCTTTCGCTTTCCCAAAGGGTGTGTGTGTGTGTGTGTGTGTGTGTGTGAGAGAGAGAGAGAGAGAGAGAGAGAGAGAGAGTGTTACACAAACACAACACACTAAAGGGCCATTGCTGATAATATGGGAACACCAAAAATGGGGGCAGCTTGGCTCATGAAACAAAACACCGTATTGTTCTAATGCAGTATTATGTATGTATCTTTGTCTTATCTCCCAAACTCTTCTTCACCACACAATGTTCTGGGACCAACAGAAATGCCAGCAGTGGGCAAAATTATTTCCTTCCCCTTCCCACCAAGACCTTTGCAGACCCCCCCTCAGGTGGGACTTACCAGGGGTGCTGCAGGGCCTGTTCACAGGTGAATCGCTTCTCAGTGTCCCGTTCTAGAAGGTGTCGGATAAAATCTTTGGCTGTGTGGAAACAAAGGGGCAAGCCTCACGATTCAATCAAAAGCTTATTGCCTGAAGTGTCGCCCTGGCAACCCAAGGGGCACATGCCCTTGGCATGGCTGCACTCGCTTTCTTGGTTGCTGAACCACCATTTTGTCGGTTAATGTGGTAGGCTGAGGAAAAGTGCAGGGAGCAAGAGTGATGCTGTTCCCTTTTGTTGTTGGCAATGGACAACAATTGCCAGTTATCTGAAAAGCCTACTGTTAAGATGGAGCCCTGGTTCTCCGTGACATAGTAGCTCTGCATCTGCATTTTTACCACCTCAGACAGTTATTGTAATACTCTTCCATACAAACCTCTCACTCCACACAGAAATCCACCACTTAAGGAAGAAAGATTCCACCCACGTCTTTTTCTCCAACAAGTTATTTTACTGTAATTGGGGGGGGGGGGTTCAGTGTTTCATTTGTTTACAATATTTCTATTTTTATTTGTTCTAACCATATACAGTGGTACCTCGGGTTAAGTACTTAATTCGTTCCGGAGGGCCATACTTAACCTGAAACTGTTCTTAACCTGAAGTACCACTTTAGCTAATGGGGCCTCCTGCTGCCGCCGCGCCACCAGAGCACGATTTCTGTTCTCATCCTGAAGCAAAGTTCTTAACCTGAAGCACTATTTCTGGGTTAGCAGAGTCTGTAACCTGAAGCGTATGTAACCTGAAGCGTATGTAATCCGAGGTACCACTGTAATAAACTTCAATTTAGGCTTCTGGCCAACATTACCTCCACTTTTGAAAACTTAATCAATTTCTTAAGCATTTTGATTATGAATTGTTTTTGTTTACTATTTGGGGCATACAGTGAGGCAAATGTATACTGTTTCCTATCCAATGTCTCTCTAATCAACAAAATTCTTCCATTTGGGGTCTCCTAATAAGTTTCTAACAAAATAAACTCGCTGAAGTAAAAATTATCACGCTCCCTAAACTGGATGCAGAGGAAGGCTGGCCAAAGTAAGATGGTTTTCACGGTCTACGATCTTGCCTGAAGTGGAAAGCCTTCCTCTAAAAGAGTTATCCACTGAGACATTTACTTTATGTAGATCACTATTCTATAGACACCTCCAGCTGCCCTTTTTATTGTGTATTCATGATCACCTGTGCTCATAAGGCTACGGGCAGGTAGGGTCACAGTAAATCCCGCTTTCAAAACCACGTGCAGCTGCAAATGTTTGGGGTGCTCAGACTACTTCACTCACAGTCAGTACATCCCCTGTGACTTTCTGCTGAGAGCAATTATTTCAAGCTCAGCTTAAAGTATTTTCATACTGCTCCACTCCCTTCTCACGCTTTTATTTTTCCTTCATAATTATTTCATTCCTGCCTTCGGTTTTCCATGTTTCTCAACAGTTCCATGTGGCATCTGGCAGCTGTCCACTGGTCCTGCCTAGTTGTCACACCACGGCCAGGGTCTGCCAGCCACCACTGCCTTGCAATGAACTCAAAATCCACGGCGAGGCTTTGCTTTTTTGCTTGGCATGGAAACCCCTTCACCAATGCAATGCTATCTTCCTCCTCCTCATTTTCTTACTGCCCTCTTTGAAGCCTCCTGGGGGTTCCAAGTTTAATAGCAATAGATTTATGCTGCTGCTTTTTGACTAGCTGCTGTGTTCTCATAATATATAAATAGTCTGGACTGAAACACCCACAGGACTCTTGCAGCTTTGAAGTAACAGCTCAGATACATCTCCGTGGTGTCTCCATAGAGAGATCCTACAAGATGGCCCTCTGTCTGTCTTGTATCTAATTTCCCATAAAGACTGAAGTTAAAACATGAGGGACTGATTTATTTTGGTAAACCTCACAACAATATAAGATGAGTTATTAACATCTGGTTTCGGGCAATACCTTCCTGGACTGAGCAGGTTGGCTCTGTTGTGTTTCTATGTAAGTTATGCTAATTATTTTTCAGTTTTCATAAATGAGTGTTTGTCCTCTTTTTGGAGGATGTATTTTCTCTCTTTTTTTGCTTACATATTAGTAGTGACTCTATTGGTGGCCCTCCCTATGCCCCCCCGCCCTCCTCCCGCTTCCACTCACCTGACTCAGAGATATCATCCCAGTATGGAGAATCAAACTCATACTCAGCTTTCAGGATCTGGTTGAAAAGCTCAGAGTCGTTCTCATCATAGAAAGGGGGATAACCGCAGAGCCTGCAGGGAGCAGCAAAAGGCACTGAATCAAAGGCCTGCTCAGAGGCCACTACCCGTGGTAACATGCAAGAGGTTGTCCAGGGGAGAAGGCAGAGAAAGATACGCACAAGATGTAGGAGATGACACCAAGCGCCCAGGAGTCCACGGCTTTTCCGTACGGTTTCTGCTCCAGGATTTCAGGGGCTGTAGAGGACACAATGGGCAAGAGTGAGGGCAGGGCATGGTGCTTTGATGTGTGCCCCATCTTAAGTTCCACCTCTTTTAGCAGGGGGGCACAACCTGCAGCCCTCCAGACGTTTCTGGACTACAACTGTCTTCAGCCCCAGCCAGCATAGCCAGTGATCAGGGATGATGGGAGGTGTAGTCCAACAACATCTGGAGGGATGCAGGTTGTGCATCCCTGCCTGATAGTGTAGCAGCACACACAGGGCCCACCCTCCCACAAAATGTTTCTTGAAAGGTGCTGTTGTTCTTGCAGCCCCCGCTTCCTCTAACTTAGTAGAACCCTCCCATTTGTGACTACGCTCCCTCTTTTGTACAAATAATGTTACCCCTGAGTGCATACAGAATTATTTTCTCTGAGCAAATACAACCTGACCTCCACACAGTTAGAATTAAGGGGCAGAGCTTCCTTCCGTGACAGACAGCAGGGCTCTCCCTGCCACCCCACCCAGATCTGAGCCCAGGCATCTCTCCGGAAATTCAGAGCAGCTTTTCACCCTGTCGGCAATATCCAAGAACATTGCCTGCCTGCTGCCAAGTGTCATACTGGGCCTCTGTTGTCGACTGTACCTGTTCACAATTCACCCCTGTGTGCTCATGTAGCACTGTGACCCTGCACAATTAAGGGCGAGCGGCCTTAGCTAGGTCACCCCCAACCCACCCACTTCTGAATCACTCCAGTTGGGAGAATCTGAGGGATTACAAAACAGGGTTGTGTGTATGCTGACATTCTGTAGGGGCACAGAAACACCTCCAAATTTGCCACCTGGAAACCTCAGCTTTTGTCTGGTAATTAATTAAAAGGCAGCAGCATGAATACTTATGAAAAACATGCATGGAAGTGTAAACCTAATGACTGGCAAAGATTCAAAAGCCATGGGTGTAAGATTGCCGGGGCAGTGGCGTAGCACTGTTTGCCAGCGCCTAGGGTGGGTGCGTGCGCACGCGTGGCAGACAAGTGTAGGACCAGGGCATGGAGGGTGAAGGCACCTTGGCCCCCACTGCCTCTGGGCAGGCACTCATGTGCCAGGCAGGGACGGGGCATGGGGGGGGTATGACAGGGATCTCTGCGAAAGGGAGCCTTGTTCATGTCCCCACCCGATTGTGTGGCTGGGGCAACAGCACCCCTGGCACCCCACACACTACACTAGCCAGGGGTCATGGGTACAGCCTCCGTGCCCTGTAATTGTTGCTTGCAATATCCTCAGTGAATAGTAGCAGCAGAAAAAAGGTTACATGATTTTATATAGATTGTAGAATTCAGGTTATCATGGCATTTTTTTTTCTTTTTAGCATAGAGAATTCTTCACCTCAAGATTATGTCTATACACATGGGCAGTATTTTTGGAAGCTCTGCCAATGGAACAGTGTTTTGCTTATGTATACTTTGTTACCTCAATCCCTCCACAAACCCCACAACATCCATACTTCAGGCATCCATCTGTATATTATCTGCCCTAGAAAGAGCAGCCAACCAGACCATTTTTGCAGTTTGCCATAATTACATGAAGAAAGGCTAAAAGCAGATGAATTTCCCCTTTTAGTTGCAGAGGCACCCTCCATCTTACTGCTCCCACTCAGCTTACAATGCCCACCTCCCCCGTGCCACACTCACCCACGTAGCCAGGGGTACCGCAAGCTGTGGACATGATCCCATCAGCCTCAATCTTGGACAGCCCAAAGTCTGTAATCATAATCTTGGCATCTTCAAACGGAGTAGCATAGAGAAGGTTTTCAGGCTGTTTGGGGTGTAGCACAAAATTGGGTTACCTGCATATTAGTTCCGTTTCTCCTTTCCCTTAAGCAACCCAACTGATGCGACTGGCAGACACACCTTCCTTTCAAAGGGGCCCAGGGCAACAAACAAAATAGTAAAACATGGCTGACTGTCCATCCCACTGGCCTACTTTGGCCTGAGCCCTTTCCCCCCAAACCATGGCCAGCGGCTGGCTGCACACCAGGCATAACATCTGATGCCAGGTGAGGGTCAACTGGAGACATGGCTCCCAGTGCACAGCTGGGAGCCTTAAAGTGCACTTCCAATTGTACATTGAGTAGAGAGGCTTCTTGTGACCACCAGTCAGCTGGTGAGAGCAAACCAGCTGGGATCAGTTTCACTACAAAGTTCCCTAGCCAGCCCCAACCCAGAAAAGAAAACCATAGCTTGAAGTCAGTGCCCATCATCAGCTGACAGGCACTTCCTTCAAGCTCACTGGGCTGCACTGCATTATTGAATCCCCCATGAACTCTGTAGCCAGCCAGTCCCTGAAGGGGCTCTTTGCCTGCTCCTCCTGAAGGAGCGTCTCCACCCCCATTGTTCTGCCCGGATGCTGAGGTCCAGCGCCGAGGGCCTTCTGGCGGTTCCCTCATTGCGAGAAGCAAAGCTACAGGGAACCAGACAGAGAGCCTTCTCGGTAGTGGCGACCGCCCTGTGGAACAACTCCCTGACATTTAGAAGACTTCTGAAGGCAGCCCTGTTTAGGGAAGTTTTTAATGTGTGATATTTTAATGTATTTTTAATCTTTGTTGAAAGCCGCCCAGAGTGACTGGGGAAACCCAGCCAGATGGGTGGGGTACAAATTATTATTATTATTATTATTATTATTATTATTATTATTATTATCTGCAAGCTTCTTTCTCCTGCTCCAGAGGGTAGGATGCAAACCAATGGATTCAAGTTACAGGAAAGGAGATTCCAGGAAGAACTTTCTGATGGCAAAAGTTCTTTGACAGTGGAACAGAAGCTTGCGGGCTCTCCTTCCTTGGAGGTTTTCAAGCAGAGGTTGGATGGCCATCTGTCATGGATGCTTTAGTTGAGATTCCTGCATTGCAGGAGGTTGGACTAGATGACCCTCGGGATCCCTTCCAACTCTACAATTCTATCTACAAATATTAGATTCCTCAAGCAAAAACATGAGGCAGTTGTACCAAGAGTTCAGCCAGTGGGCTTCATGGGTGAGGAGGGATTTGAACCTCCCCCATCAAAGTCTGGTTTTTGCCACTAAACCCAACTAGCATGTGAACCAAGGACTGTCCCCACGCAACTTCTTTCTCCATCAGCTTGAGAAATAACAGAGGCCCCTCGCACCACCTGCTACTCTAACCCACCAAATGCACAACTTGCGCAGGCCTATCAAGCCGAGTGCAGTCCATCCAAGCTCTCCAATGAACCTCCCATTTTTGCAGTTCACCCGCAGGTGCAGAAAATGGTGGGGAGGAATGTGACCTGGCCGGCAGGCCTATGTAGCTCATGTGCTGCATTCGGCTTGGTGGCTCACAAGTTCTGAAGGCCCCCCAGGAGTGAAAATGAATTCCTATGGAAGTGTGAGCAGCGACTGTAGCCTTTCCTCCCTCCCTGCTTTATTCATTTATTAGTAGCACTTGAATTCCACCCAACAGCCAAGCTCTCTGGGCTGGTTGCAAACAATAACACTTCAAAACACAGCAAAAGGACAGAAAACAAATCAGCAGCAGAGAATAAAACAACACAGAAAATACACGTCACTAGCTATACACAACAGGTTTAAAACTAAGTGGATTAAAAAAATTCAGTTTCAAAGCCTGAGAAGATTAAAATGTCTTCGTCTGGCACCCAAGAGACCACATGCTCACCTACCCCACACCTGACATCATGCATAGCACCCCCACTCCTGCCCCAGACCATCCCAGGGCCCTCTGTGCTCTCACCTTGAGATCCCGATGAACAATGCCCAGATCGTGCAGGTAGTTCACTGCCTCCAGCACCTGCCGGATGAGCTGGCTGGCATCCTTTTCGGTGTAGTAGCCCCGCTCAATGATGCGGTCAAAGAGCTCTCCTCCTGTCACGCTGCAAACCAGAGACAAGTGGCTTACCTCCAGGCCCCATCTACATTTCAAGCAGGAGGCCCCTGTTCCCCTCACAAAGCTGCAATTCCCTGAGTTTCTTGGGAAGAGGGATTGATTGTTAAGCCATATTGGGAATGATAGCTCTGTGTGGGAGGTGGGGGCCTCCTAAAGACACTTGGCACCCTTAACAAACTACCGTTCCCATAATTCTTTGGGGGAAGCCATGACTGCTCAAAGTAGCAATGTGGCTTTAAATGTGCAGTGCAGATGGTGCCCAGATATTATACTGCAGGTCCAGTTAACTCCCGTACATGAAATGCACGAATTGGGAGGGAGATACCGTAAGTGGTCTTGTCTTTTATATAAGGCAACAGAATGTCTTGGGCCAGCCCTGATCCTGGTGTTCTATCATCTAATTCCCCCTACAAAAATTACCTTCTGCAATAGTTTCTTTTGCAGATTTTGCCTGCCCCTCCCCAAAAACAAGAGTCAAAGCTGGTATATTCTGAGACACTTAAGCCAGGGGTGCCCAAACTTTTTTCAAAGAGGGCCAGATTTGATGAAGTGAACATGCATGAGGGCCGACCAATGTTGTTGAGCTTTTTTAAGGATTTTACCCCAAAGTTTTTTAGCTATTTTTTGCATTACTGCTATGGGGGCCAGATTAAATTGACCAGCAGGGCGGATTAGGCCCCTGAAATGGACTTTGGACATGCCTGGCTTAAGCGTTCCTAATGGGCCGAGATCCTCCAACACTGCACTTCCTCTCTCCCGTCGTCAGGTCTCTCTTCAAAGGCCGGCTTCTGCATTCAGCCCTGGCCGTAGCCCCTTAGCTCTCATCTGCAGCAGTACTAAATACCTGTAGCTGCATGTTCTCCATCAGCCCTTGAACTACCTAACCCAGTGTCACACCTGCCACTCCCAGCCAATTCAGAAAGGACTAGCCATCTCCAAGACACTCTGGGGACACCCCCGACCCAGACCCAAATGAATAGCACAAGGGACTTCTACTCACAGCTGCATGGTCAGGTACAGGTGAGTGGGGCTCTCATAAATGTCCTCCAGAGCCACAATGTTCTCATGCTGAATCCTGCAGTGCCAGTGAGATTAAACAGAAACTAAGAGATGGAGGAGTAGGCATGAGTCAGAAAACCCTGGCTTCTCCCCTGGCTGTGAGACAGGCTTGTGTCTAGAACATAATACAGTCAAGTGTCTACATGCAAGGCTTGAGAGTGCCGTGGTGAGACCAGCTGGACTTGGACTGGGGAGACCCAAATTCAAATTAGGGTGGCTCAGATGCCAAAGAGGAAAGGGCTCCCCTGAATCTTTAACATGGCTGTAGAAAAGGGAATTTCAACAGATTTAGCTTGCATGACAAGCTAGACCCTAATTCAAATCCCCACTCGGCCACAAAGTGAGCGAGGTGACCTTGGCCAGTCACTGCCTCTCAGCCTAACCCACCTGGGATGGAGGGGGAAAAGAACCTGAGCTCCTTGGAGGAAAGTTAAGAAATAAATGCAATTTATAAACAATATTGCAAGATGTTGAACCTGTGGTCAGTTGCTCAAAAACCAAGAGACCCAGTGCATAGGAAATGCTGGGGGTGGTGGTGGTTAAAAGTCTAACTGAAAGCCACATTCTCTGACCCAAAAGTGGGGGATCCTAGATCCCCAATCCCAGATCTGTAGGGACTAGATTTTAGTCACTCAGGGAAAGGTTCTCTGTACATGTTTTGAGGCACATAATAAAACTAACATTATCACCATTGGTTGAACAGAGTTGAACCCCAGTAATGAAAGCAGATTCTGAGGATGCATTTTATATTCCAGAAGGAACATGAATATATCTAGGTATCTATCTCCACACACACACACACACACACACACACAGTTACTTACTTTTTGAGAACAGCGATTTCATTCTCCACTGCTGCTTCCTTGCCCCGCAGAGCTTTCTTGGGAATACATTTGAGAGCTACAAGGCGTTGGGATCCATGCTCCTGTGCCAAGACCACCTCTGAAAAGGCCCCTCTGTCAGAAAAGGGCAGCAGGAGGATCAGAGAGAGGCAGAATAAACCCACCTGTCTGCACACACACACACACGTGCACCTCCCTCAATGCCACAGAGCTGTTTTCCCATGTGGCACACTTTACCCTAAAAAGGTGTTCCTCATAAAAACGTAAAATCCAGAGTCTAAATTTACCTAACTGCACCACTGGCTATAATATTTTCAGTAAAGATGCAGGCAGCCATTATGGTCTGGCCAGGGATGGTGGGAAAATCAAAACAGCTGCAGTAGCCCTTGACAACACAATCCTATATGCATGTTTACCCAGAAGTGAGTTTCACTGAGTTGGCTCAGTGAGACTTATTCCCAGGAAAGTGGTTACAGGATTCCAGCCTAAAAGATGCAAAATAGCGAATCAGCTTTTAAATGTCACAGATTGTCTCTCTCACTTTCTCACAGGAAGCCCTTAGCATTCGCTTGTTCCCAGTCCAAAAAAACCCCTCAGCTTGCATCGTACTGGTGCTGGAAACAACAGCAAAAACAGTTAATAATTTCACTAGTAAGTTAAATCAGATGTGGGTTCCTTTTAGTAGGGCAAATGACCCAAGTGTTACCAAAATGCACAAGGGGAATAACTTTTTGAGAGTTACTGCAAGTGCTCACAGCGGGATCCTGCTTCTTCATCACATGGGGAACAGATTTGCACAGCTCTGTTTACTGCTTGACATTTCATGATCTGATGGTCCTTAGATAAATGTGTGAGCTGCCTCCAGCGAAAGGGTTTCTAAACCGACATCTAGCAACATGCCAGTTCCCTCGCAATCACTGGATGCTACAGCGAAAACAGCTGGCGAGTATGCCTGTGTGGACCCAGGCCTGCGGCTTCCCCTGCTCAGGCAGAATAAGTGGTTTTCTGTGGAGTGGTGGGCAGGGGGTGAGTTGAGTCCTGTTCCAGATTACATGCCTCTCCTGAAATGGCACCTATTTCTACCCCATTCTACTCCACATTCTACTGCACTGAAAACCCCAAAAGTGGGGAGGGAGAGAGATTTGTACACTCAGCTAGGGAAGAGTTAACTTTGTGGCTGTTCTCACTCCCCCACTTCTGATTCCCTGGACTCTTGGTCTATTATTGTCCCATACACGTCAGACATGTGTGAGAGCCCCCCCCCCCCGTTCAGCCAATAGGATGACAGCATGCAAATGAAGTGCATCAGGCTGCGCCATTCCTGGGGTGTCTCTGCAGAAAGAGACACCCTGCAGTGGGGAACAGGTGCCCAACTGCTGGAGCAGTAGAGGAGATGGGGCAGGACCAGGGGGCTAAGAGAAGGGCAGGTTGAGAGTGGCAGATTGAGGGAGGCATCATTTTGGGCTTGGAACTAGGAAGGTAAGGTGTGAGCTGCTAGCATAGCACACAGCCACCCCTATCACCTTCCCTGCCCAGTGGTGCCATCAGGACAGGATTTTGGGGCAGCCCTACAAGGCTCTGCTCAGCAGAATGACAGGAGGGAGCCCAAACACAGCAGAGCTGCCTTTAAAAATTCCTTACCCATCCTAATAGCTCCACCCTTAAGACCATGAGGTCTGAAATCTAAAATTACCTAAGGGCACCACTACCCATGGGAAAGGCTAATTTTGCTTATGTTGACAACGTTTAAAATGAGTACTGATTTGTCAACTGAAGTTAAGGAGAAGGGCTTTGAGGAATGGCAGAGCAAAACCAAAGTTTATCCCCATGAGAGAAGCCCTGTAGGTTCAGATCAGTTGGCCAGGGATTGGGCTGGGAGCAGAGGGAGAAAATGATGTTAAGGTGGGTGGGAGGAAGAGAGGATGTTACTTTGCCATCTGGGGCTGATGGAATTTGTGGTCCAAAAGTTCTGGAGGGCACCAGGTTAAGGAAGTCTGCTGTGGCAGCAGAGAAGGGGCAGCTCAGAATATGGGAAGCAAAAGGAGGCTTTAAAATCAAGGAATGACGAGTGCCAGGAAGCCTCAGTTCCCAACTGGGTGTGGTTGGCAGGACCCACATGGCACAGAGTGCCCCCCACAGGTCTTCCATTAGCCGTTGTCGGTTCACTCACGTGCCCAGCTTCTCTTTGATGTCGTAGACGCTGGTGATGTCCTCGACCTTTTTCTTCCAGCCTTTCCCGAGCGGCATTGCGGACGGCTGCAGACGGGCAGCGCAGGAATAGCTAGGCCCAGAGATGTCGGAAGGAACACACACACAAAACAGATCACTGAAATGGGGTCAGCTCATTCCCACGGCTTCTTCGGCCGGAAACTTCAGAGATCATTCCTCTGTCATGAGATATAAAACATTTGTCGAATGTAGGGCCCAGTGCAGAGCCAGGTCAAGACACTTTGATGCCTGTGGCAGAAATTCCAAAGAGCTCCCCTGCTCCGCATACAGATGTATTAATTTGGCTATGATCCACTCAGAAGTTCTCTGTTCAAGCTTTTCTGAAATGAACGAGATGGGAGGTCTCCCAGGCGACATTGGGCACTTGGGATCCATGGAAGAGAACCAGCTGCCTCCCACTCTGCCATCCTGAATGGTCCCCAAAATCTGCTGCTGGCCCTACCATTAGACAAAGCAAAGCAGCCATCTCAAGCAGCTGGTTTGGGGTATCATGAAAGGGCAGCAAATTGTTATTTTGTTCTAATTAATTTAATTGATTCGCGTATTTCTACTGTCGAGGGAAGAAACAGGCACCTGTGAGATTTTCTCCCTCAGGTGCAAAAATAGTTTGCCTTGGGTCCAGGGGTGTAGGAAGGGGGGCGGTGGGGGCAGTATGCCCCGGGTGTCACCCCAGGCTGTGTGTGACAAAATCCCCCCTGGGCGGATCACCCCGCCCCCAGGTGCATGGCATATGCCCCACTCTAGGTGCCTGAGCGGCTAGCTCCGCCACTGCTTGGGTCCTATATGCATCTTGGCTTATGGGTGGGTGTGTGCCATTTGCTGCTTTGCCTCATTCAGCAAAAGGTTTTGGTCCGACCTGATTAGCAGCAGTTTCTGGGTCCTGTCATGCCTAGCCCTGACCTGGTGCCAGGCATGGAATCCACGGGGGAATCATAGAACTGTAGAGTTGGAAGGGATCCCGAGGGTCATTTAGTCTAACCCCCTTGAGGGGCCCTCTAGGTTGATACATAGGGAAGAATTTCTGGAAATGTCAGAAGAGGAGTCTCTCTCTCTCTCTCTCTCTCTCTCTCTCACACACACACACACACACACACACACCACTCCTCAAGAGTGCAAGCAGTTTTGGGTCCAAGCGGAAGAGCAACAGCACAGTATGCATCTATGGGGTAAGTAAGGGGTCTGCATAAGTAATCCCTGATATTCCTTCACTCCTGACATTTGGGGTTAGGGCTGGTTTAGGAGGCCAGAGTATATAGATAGGGGACTCATGTGTCCTACTTTACAGAAGACCATCCCCTATTTGAAAAGCTTTCGGAGAACATGCCTCTGTATTTGGAGGTGTCCTCCACTTGAACAGCTTTCTGGTCTGAGTGGGTTAAAGATAAAGAGCCCTTAGAAGAGAGAGTAGGGAGAGGGCCTTGAGGTTGTCCATCTGCAGCACCTGGAAAGCAGACGGAGCAGGCCCACAAGTCTTCCCCACTATGGGGAGATTTATTATATTTTCATTTCTATTGTCATCATTATTTCCAAATTTGCACATACGTATATAAATTAGTGGTCTAAACCACAGAGCCTAGGGCTTGCCCATCAGAAGGTCGGCGGTTCAAATCCCCGCGATGGGGTGAGCTCCCGTTGCTCGGTCCCTGCTCCTGCCAACCTAGCAGTTTGAAAGCACAAAGATAAATAGGTACCCCTCCGGCGGGAAGGTAAACGGAGTTTCACCAGAAGCGGCTTAGTCATGCTGGCCACATGACCTGGGAGCTGTATGCCGGCTCCCTCGGCCAATAAAGCGAGATGAGCGCCGCAACCCCAGAGTTATTCGCGACTGGACCTAACGGTCAGGGGTCCCTTTGCCTTTTATATAAATTAGGATATGCACATTTTTATGCAAAGTTCTTTCTTTCTTTCTTTCTTTTGTAATGAGTAGCTGTCCAATACAAAAAGAATGCTGATTGTGTTTGGGATTCATCTCCTGACTATTTAGGAGGCCATTCAACCGCTGTTATGGTCACATAAGCAAAAGTGGGGGGGACAGAGAATAGCCATTTCATCCTGAAGAGTTTATAGTCTTTTCTCCCCCATCACTGTGTAGCAACAGGCCACATAAAGCCAGGGTTGTCAACTTCTTTATTTGCCCTGCACCTGTGCTATTAGTTCCTGCAGATATCAACAAGTAATATGCTGTGAAAAGCATTGCTTGCTTATTTCTGCAGCTCTCATGACTGCTAAATTGCAGAGGAGCAAGACCAGGCTGCTGGGCGTTGTGTCTTCCAGGGGCCAGCTGGAAACCCTAGGCTAAAGACCTGAACAAAGAAAAACCAAGTATTTTGTAAATATAGGACCATTGCTTCCCCCTCCTCTAATAAATATGAAAGGTTATGCAGAAGTTGAAAATGAGAAATTAATGCCATACGTTATAGCAGCATCTAGTTGCAGTATGTGGCAGCAACAGCAAAAGATAATTGACAATAAAATAAAAGCGATGCAAAAAGATGAAGACAGATTATGTACAGGAAATGGCAGACAAAAATTATGTACAGTAAGTATTTGGAAAGATGGTTTCCTTTTATTAATTTCCAGAAGGAGAGAAGTTGAGTTTGGGTCAAATATTGGTGGGTGCTTTAAAATCCAACTCCCCATTGAAATGAATAGGAGCTGTGCCACAGCCAGCTAAAAGGTTCGCCGACTAAAAATAAATAAATCCAGGTGTGTGGTTTGCCTGTAGTTTCAAGAAGTAATTTTTGCTTAAGTGATAAGAGACAGAGAAAATGTTACTACATGAACAAAGTTCCATCTCCACACTTGCAGACCACTGCTCACTTTTAGGACTCTGCATGTTATACACGTGTGTGTGTATGTGTGTGATGCTCTGCTGGAGCGCACGCCCTCCTTAACTGTGAAACAGTTGCTGCTAGAGGGTGTCAACTTTGTTACAGAATCTGGCCACTTTTATGGGGACAGATTGGCAAAATACACTTCCAGCACCCAGACCCCTGTCTAAGGAACAGAAGAGCTATCAAGAAGAAAGAATTTGGTCAAAGTGGTTAACAGTAATGTATAAAATATACATCCAGGATATCTCTTTTTTTATTTTTAAAAAGTGTCATCTCTGCTAGGCCTCAGGATGCTTTCTAATTTGTGTAGTCTGTCCCAATGCCTGGGAACAGAAAGGATATGGGGCATAGATGTGGTTAAAAACACTGAAAAATCCCAAGAAGAATATGTGGGTTGCCGCTTTCCTCTGCCAAAGACAATCACTGCACATTTTGGAGGCACATGGTCAGGGCCAACCCAACACACCTGGGGTGTTCGAAGACGGCAACTGAAAAGACAGCCCCCACCCTCCCCTTAATTTGCAATCCAGCAGGAAGTTTGCCTGTGCAAGTTGCACTGAGATGAAGAGGCCCATGGATCCGAGCTGCCTGTCTCTCACTCCGCCAACCTCAATTCCTCCAAACATCCAACTGCCTATGGTGGCTGCTTGGTGGTAGGACAGGCTTGGGGTGGGAGTGTAACTGTGCCTACACTTCCTTCCTGACTGAACCAACAAACATCCAAACTGGAGTTGCAGATGGCAGAGAGTAGCATCAACTTCCCCAGCAGTCCATATGAACCTGCTCAAGCCTTAAGATAAGCCTCAGAGGCCCCACTTCCCAGCCTACAGACAGGGCCTTTTCCGTGGTGGCCCCATATCTCTGAAACTATCTCTCAGAGGAAGCATTTGTTAACTTTTATTTTTATTTTTTAATTAAATGTTTTATTTAGGCATACTTACAAACAAACAAACAAACAAACAAACAAAACAATAAGATACACACACTTAACCACAAAATAAACCAAAGAAGTAAGAAGAAAAAGTAAGACAAAAGGAACATAAAATACCACACCCGTGTGACTTTTAAATATCCTTTAAAAATGATCTGTTTCCATCTTGAGTTTTACAAAAGGTGTTTTGCTGGCCTTTCAGTTTTTTAACTGGATTATTATTGTTGTTGTTGTTGTTATTGTTACTGTCATTATTAAACTAATATTATTTTAGGTATGCTTATAAGCCACTTTGAGAGAGTGTTGCTCTGAGTGGTGGCAGAAAAATTTACTGAAGAAATAAAAAACGTAGGAGTGTGGAGGCTGACATTGCAATTGGGGCTTAAAAAAAGCCAACCCCAGACCTGGCATTGTCTTGACCAAAAAACAGAACCAATTAGATGGGCTAAGGCAATGAAGGGTAAGCTTGATTCTCAAGGCCAGCACAGATGTTTTCTTTATTAATAGGCAGAGATTGTTCGGGGTTTTAAATAGCAGTTCTGCAAGTGGGGATAAAAATCAGACTGGGGCTATCACACCACAAGGGTGCCCGGATGTGTTTTATTGCGGGGGGGGGGGCAAATTGTAGCTGCAGATATGGCAATTTCAATAAGGAAATCTAAGTTTAAGGCATTTTCAATAAGGAAATCTGATGGGATTTGGGCAGTGCCTGTAGCGATCACAAATCTGCTGCTATTTCATCTACTTTAGTCCTCCATGGCTGGAGTCACTAAGAGGCAAGGAACACTCAACATCCCCAAGTATACCACTGATAGAAGTGAGGGGAAGTGTCACACTTGGGGGGGGGGCAAAGCTAGCCTTCCACCCGTAACCATGGGTATCCTGGTTCATTCACAGAACCTAATGCTGACCAGGGAGGGGGTGGAGGTGGCCTGCAAGGTAGCCTGTGGCACAAAGACCTCAGGCCACTGCTCCCCCTGCCAGAGGTCTTTGTGGCACAGAAGTCCCTCACCCCTCCACAACCCCTCACCTATCACCAGCCAGAATGGACAGAGTATTCTGAACTATTATTTTAAAAATCTGCTGCTGCTGCCACCAAATCCTCATGGGTGCCTTTCATTAAAACCATATATATATATATATATATATATATATATATATATATATACACACACATACACACACACACACACAATATATATATTGTGGGGGGCAGAATTACCTCAGGTGCCATGTGCATACACACCAATTATGCTGAAGTGTGTGTACAGAAGAGAATGTTTAAATCAGGGACTGCGTTGCCAACCAGGGTGTTTAAGGAGGCAGGTGTGTCTGCCCATATGTGTGTGTTAGCAAACTGTTCTTATTTAACTGTCACATTTGTATCTTCCTTCAAGGATCTTAGGGCAGCATAGCTGGGATCGTTACCCCCTTTTATCTGCACAACAAGCCTGTGAGGATTAACTTTCAGTAAATGCTGAAAATAAATTGCGCAAGGCATTGAGATTAACAGCAGGTCTTTCCACTCCATCTGATATTCTGTCCATAATTATACCACATTCTCCCCTTGTTTACCTGAGTATTGTGGTCGTTATAAAACACTCAGTTACATCTTGGTTATATAGCTGTCTGGGACTGAATGTGCATTGGATCTACATGTGAGGACCAATGTGTCTGATTGTGATGGGGGATGACTGTGTATTCAACTGCTCTTGTTTTTTTAATGAATGATGGAGGTATATGCTGGGGGAGTGTGATGTTTGGCATGCAATGAATGTTGCCAACATACTGGGAAATTTGAGTGGAAAGCATAATGTTTGCATAAATCGTGCATCATATTACGATCACAGTGAGCTAGCAACGTGCGTGTGAAGTCCCAAATGATGTGTGTGGAACTGGGGGCTGCAGTGCTTTATTTCTTTAAAAAAAATGTTTAGGAGGTACTCTCATTTCCCTACTCATATTGAAATACTGCCCCTCAATGAGGCCAAACTTAGATTCACAAAATGTTTAGGGCTATGCGTACCCCTGCGGCCCCCCAGGAAAAAGCACTGGGGGGCTGTATGTGAAGACTGCAACACAAGGGAGATGCAGAAGCATTATCAAACACTGCATGAATATGATTGCATGTATGTATGCCAGTACACGAGATTTTGAAAATCTGCATGTACGTACATTGGAGGTACACTTGAATCTGTGGTGTAAATAACATGTGTTTGCATGCAACTGAAATGTGGATGTGCATGTGTACCATCTCATTTTGTGGCAGTCAGACCTGAGGCTGCATAGATGGATATGAAGTGATATAAATAGGCATGAATGGATAAGGATGGAGGCATGGGAGGGGAGTGTGTGCAAAGGGTGGATCTGGATGTGGTGCATAGATGTGAATGGAGGGATGAGAGTTGGTACACAATATTGATGAAGACTGAAAATGATGAAGCATTAGCTGAAGAGGAAAGGCATTTTTATGGAGGCAGCGCTTGAGCATGCCATGGGAAGGGGAGCATATGGGGGCTGAAAGAATCCAGAAAATGGCTGGACAAACTGATGGATGGATAAAAAGGGTTCAGACGAGGGGTGGGGAGACAGAAAAGAACCTGTTGGTGGACTAATACAAGCTTGGACGACTAGCCAGCTTGGTGCAGCAAGCAGAGAAACAGCATAGCAGGAGCTCTACTACAGAAGCACAACAGGCAAGTCTCGCATGTGTTCAGCAACAACAAAAACAGCTCAGTGAAACCTTACATATTCACAGACACACAAACAATTCAGCAAATGGTGGATCCTCCTGTTTGGGGACAGAGCAAAGAAGAACGATTTGGGGAGCTTCACCCGACCAAAACAGACCCGACAAATTCGATATCCCTCGACTGCCTGCAGCAAATTTAAGATGCCCATCATTTGCCCGTCGAGAGCCAGACTTCTAGGTTAGATCCGATGCCTACATAGGTGCATAAAACTTTCTTGGCTGGCGCTCTCCTTGTGCCCACCTAGGCAGATCCCTGTCCCTTGCGCACCCGCCCCGCCGCCCGGGGCTTCCTGGACCCCCACCGCCCCCTCCCCACCCGCAGGACCCGGACTGGGCTCCCGCCTCGCCGCGAGAGAGCGCCCTGCCGGCAAGCCGCAGGGCTGTGCGCACAACCCCCCGCCTGCCCCCGCGAGCCCTGCGCGGCTTCCCGCCGCCCTGCCCTACCTCTCCGCCTTTCACTCCCGCGCCCGATCCTCCGCTGCCAGAACCACCAGCAGCGCGCGCGCTTCTCCCGCCGCAATCCGCCGTCGTTTGCATTCCTTCGGCGTCCGCGTCCTGCGCGCTTCCCAGACTGGCGCTGCGTGCGCCTCGCGGGGGCGGCGGGAGTGGGATGCGCGCGCGCGCACAAGCAGCCCCCCCAGCCCACTCCCGCGCGCGCAATCCCACTCCCTCCCCAGCCCCGCTTCGCCCTGCCCTGCCCTCCGCCAAGCCTGCCCCCCCCCCCGGGATGGCTGCCCTCCATCCTACCTGCTGGCAGCCAGGCGGGAGCGCCGTGCGGAGTCAGCCCATGCCCGAGCCCGGCAGCCCCTTCCCGGCCCACGGAGCCAGCCAGCCACGCAGAGCGGCCCGCCTCCCGCCTCCACGCCTGGCGCGCCGGCTCCTCCACCCGCCTCCTCGCCCGTCTCCCTTAAAGCAGCGCTCGGGCCCGGCCTTGTAAGGAAATAACTGGCCGGCGCCGTGGTCTCTCCGGAGAGGCTGGAAATCGCCGGAGGGGGACACGAGTGGTCACTCCAGAGCCGCTACTGCCTGAGAAGGAGGGAGCATCAGAGGACATACGATCGGTCCAGGGTGTCGGGCAGAGCCTCCACGTGCGGCGGCAGTGTATCTCTTGGCAGAGGGAGCTGAAGTCCTCTCTTGGAAGATCGCGTCTGACACGAAGGGACTAAGTCCCCCTGCGCTGCAGCGCTACCCTCCCACCCCCACCCCCCAACTGCAATTCAGAGATATCATAGAACAATTCTAATTAACCTTGCGGGATGGTTGTCAAAAGGACCAGATCATACACGTGAAACACTCTGAATACAGGCTTGTTCGCGTGGCACCTTGTATTGAGCACAGCTACAGTATGTCTCTACACAGGGCCACGTGTGTGTACACTCCGTGATTTGCACATTCAGTTACTGCGTATGCAGACTGAACCCTCTTAAAATGTTACGTGTGAATGACCCTGGAAGCCTGTGGCTCAGTTATTTGTTGACACATGTAAGCAGATTGTTCGCCTCTCTAACATCCTCCTAACAGCATCTGGTGGTGGTTCTTATTATTACAGATTCTGGGGCAAAGAGCAAGGCAGGGCTGTTCCTGTGTTGCCCTGCTTGTAAGCCACTCCACAAGCACATGCAAAGCCACTGGTGTTCAGAGCATCCCGTGCCAAATGACAGGGCCGGCCCGCCCAGGAGACAAGGTGTGGTGACAGACCCAGCCTCCAAGGGAGGCATTGCCCGCTTCCAACGCTGCTGCTACTGTGGTGGCAGCAATAGCTTTGGTGCGGTTCCCAGAGGCTGGATCTGCCGCCTCCTTGGCAGCCTCCCCCGCCAGCAACCTCTTGGCAAATTTCTAACACATTTTTTCCTAACATAGTTTTTTGAAAATAGTATTTTATGACCACAAATCCATTTTCAACATGGGAATAATAATGCTACTCTACTTAGAGGGATACTCCGAGGATTACTGAGATAATGTATGTGAAGTTCTGCAGACTTGCAACTAGCACTATCCCAGCCTGTTCACAGGTCCTTATATGATCAGTGAAAACAGTTGGTCCTGGCAAGTTTTAACCGCTCTCAATCTTAACCTGATAGCTGCCATTTGTCCAGATTTTTATTTGTCTGAATTAATTTTAAGATGTATTTTAATTAATTGATGGCTGCTTTTATGTATACTGTGTTATTTATATGATGTTAGCCGCTCTGAGGCCAGCTCCAGCTGGGGAAGGCGGGGTACAAATAAAAATTATTATTATTGTTGTTATTATTATTATTATTAAATGGGATATGCTGCTGGTCTCCTCCCACCCTTGTCCCTGATGTTGATCTCCCCCACCCCCCTTGTTCCAGATGCAGATGTTCACTCACCCCTTCTTCCTCAGCAAGAAGGAAGGCACTATTTTGTGGTTCGCTTCAGGTGCCAAAATGTCTTGAGCCTGCCCTGCTAGATTGACCCAAATTCTGACGCAGCAAGGCTCTTATAGATGACACAGATAGAAGAACTGAATCACAGTTCAGCAGTGCCGACTTGGACCCCAGACTGTGGGTGCCCAGCACGCATGCAGCGCCATTGTAACATTGTGTGGCATGACCTCATGACGCCATGTGATGTTGTGACAGCATGGCGTGGGGTGCACACACTCTGGTGCCACAGTGGTGACTGGGCCGGAGCCTGTGCCTCTGGTCGCAGCAGGCCCATGGCGTGTAGGTGCAGGCTCCATCTAAGTCGCCCCCATGGCGCTGGAGTAGCAGAGGTAAGGTGGCGACTGGCAGGGGAGGGGAGGGGTAGAGGCCAGGCACCCACAGCAAAAAAATTGTGGGTGCCCAGGCAGCCCAGGCCCCCTGAAGCTGGCACCACTGCAAGTGTTAATCTTGCCCAGTCCTGATCATAGCTGCTGTAGGCCTCTGGTTGGCCCCTTTGAGAACCAGGTGCTGGAGTAGGTGCACCTTTGGCCTGATCCAGCAGCGCTCTTCTTCTGTCATAGAATCATAGAATCATAGAATCCTAGAGTTGGAAGAGACCACAAGGGCCATCGAGTCCAACCCCCTGCCAAGCAGGAAACACCATCAGAGCACTCCTGACATATGGTTGTCAAGCCTCTGCTTAAAGACCTCCAAAGAAGGAGACTCCACCACACTCTCACTGTCGAACAGCTCTTACTGTCAGGAAGTTCTTCCTAATGTTTAGGTGGAATCTTCTTTCTTGTAGTTTGGATCCATTGCTCCGTGTCCGCTTCTCTGGAGCAGCAGAAAACAACCTTTCTCCCTCCTCTGTGTGACATCCTTTTATATATTTGAACATGGCTATCATATCACCCCTTAACCTCCTTTTCTCCAGGCTAAACATGCCCAGCTCCCTTAGCCGTTCCTCATAAGGCATCATTTCCAGGCCTTTGACCATTTCGGTTGCCCTCCTCTGGACACGTTCCAGTTTGTCAGTGTCCTTCTTGAACTGTGGTGCCCAGAACTGGACACAGTACTCCAGGTGAGGTCTGACCAGAGCAGAATACAGTGGCACTATTACTTCCCTTGATCTAGATGCTATATTCCTATTGATGAGGCCCAGAATTGCATTGGCTTTTTTAGCTGCCGCGTCACACTGTTGGCTCATGTCAAGTTTGTGGTCAACCAAGACTCCTAGATCCTTTTCACATGTACTGCTCTCAAGCCAGGTGTCACCCATCTTGTATTTGTGCCTCTCATGTTTTTTGCCCAAGTGCAATACTTTACATTTCTCCCTGTTAAAATTCATCTTGTTTGTTTTGGCTCAGTTCTCTAATCTGTCAAGGTCATTTTGAAGTGTGATCCTGTCCTCTGGGGTGTTAGCCACCCCTCCCAGTTTGGTGTCATCTGCAAATTTGATCAGGATGCCCTTGAGTCCATCATCCAAGTCGTTGATAAAGATGTTGAATAAGACCGGGCCCAAGACAGAACCCTGTGGCACCCCACTAGTCACTCTTCTCCAGGATGAAGAGGAACCATTGATGAGTACCCTTTGGGTTCGGTCAGTCAGCCAGTTACTTAATCTGTGGCCCTTGCAGACACTGATGGACTACAGCACCCCTTGGCCCTGAGCACTGGCAATACAAGCTGTTGGGAGTCGGGAGTACAATGAGATCCAGAGGTCCACTGGTTTCCGATTCCTGATCTATGGCAAAAGATGCTGACACAGTCAACAGGGAAAGTGCAAAAGCAATGCTCCTCAGCACCCATCAATTGCACATGTTCCATCTAGACTATTCCCTTCTCTCCCCACACCAACTGTCTTGTGGGAAGGATTCTGGTGCATATGTGTGTGTGTATTTTAATGTGGTTTGATGTTTCTAGTGAGCTGTCTTGGAAGGATTTGTATGCTGAAAGGCGGGATAAAAATCACGGAAAGAAATAACCTGCCTTAATTAGAGGCTCCGCTTGCCTTGCCACGGCCAATGTCTATTGATAGACAAGATATTTTGCTGCCTGGGGCAAATGGCACCCACAATTCTAACAAAGCACTCAGATTATTTTGGCCCCCAAGGCAGAAAGTTCCAGGCACATGTGTCTCTGCCCCTCTATGACAGTAAAAAAATATAACAATAATAAATTCAAGTAACTAAAAATGGGCTGCCCTTCCATCCACCTCACATCGCTGAATGGTAGGGCTGGCCTGGGATAGGCCTATCCTCTCATGTCCACAATGGTCTAGAAGGGGAGGGAGTGGGGGACTGGCAACCTAGGAGAGGAGGGCAACTGATAACTTCTAGGCACAAGTTATGGACCATCCTCCTTTCCAAAGGCGGTTAGGGAAAGATCAGTGTTGGCATTCGTGCAGATAAATGAGCTGTTTTGCAACACATGGACACTAGATGGCATGTTTGCTTCAGTAAGGCAACAACACACTCAAGCATGTGGTTGTGGGCAGTACACATGTATGTTGAAAAGCATTGTGTTTGAGGCAAGAGACAATTTAAGCCAGACTTTCCCAACCTCGGGCCCCAAAAAGTTATTGGACTACAATTCCCACCATCCCTGAACCATGATGGCTGGTGCTGATGGAAGTTGCAGTCCAACACCAGCCTTGGGAAAGGCTGATATGGATGGGTTTTTTGCGTGTGTGAATGGGAGACCATCCAGATTCCATGATCATATTTTTTCAGTTGTGGCCCCGATCTGGTGGAACGCTCTGTCACAAGAGACTAGGGCCCTGCGGGACTTGACATCTTTCTGCAGGGCCTGCAAGACAGAGCTGTTCCACCAGGCCTTTGGCCAAGGCACAGTCTGACCCCCTCGTTTGGTAATCCTCACAGAACTCTAGCCCAATGGTTGCCATAAATTTGATTTTGAACTGATTTTAGAATGAATTGATTTTAGAATGCTGTGTTTCTTTTATTGTTAGCCACTCTGAGCCCGGCTTCGACTGGGGAGGGCAGGATATAAATAATTTTTTTATTATTTTTATGACGATGATGATGATGATGTACCCCTGGAGTTGTGGTAAAGAGGCACAGGCCAACCTCCACTGAGGTAGAGGATCGCATATTTGAATGCTAAAAGGACTACGCACACGCACATACACACAGCTGGAGGAGAAACATTCAGCCTTTCCTTATCCCTAAGAAGTTTTATTTTGTAATGGGGTCATTCCAACACATAGCCTCAAACTGGCAGCCTGAAGTGGTAGAATCCAGGAAAAGCTTTATCAGTTGATCTGTTATGTACTGAGCTGAATCCTAGATCAATAGGATCCAGAATGCAGCAGTCTGATTGGTCCGCAGGAGCCACCCAATCCAGCTCCAGGTGGAAGTGAATCAGCGATCTGATTGGCTTGCAGCAGCAGCCAATCAGGCTTCTGGAGGAGGTGAATCCACAACCTGATTGGCCTACAGGAGCAGCCCGGAATTAGCCAATCACACAGGGCCCATTGTGTGAATAATGTATATATAGCTAGACGTTTTTGGTTGAAGTTTCATTCATTGCTACTATGAGCTGAATAAAGAGCATGAAATTCACTCTCGACTCCAAGTATATTTCATGATCCCACCAAATGTACAAATGGGTCATAAGCAGCTAACTAGGACAGCTCACTTCAGGGTGGATCACCAGTTAATGGGTATTGGAAAAGATCCTGGCGAGCCCCTGGCAGTCAATGTAGCCATCACTAAACTAGGCAGGCAAATGATCTGACCTGTTGTGTGGTCTGTTGCAACAGCGCAGCGTGGAGGTGCTGTGGGTGCTGTGGCCTCAGGCACATTTCTTTTAGGGGGCACAACCAGGCGCCCCCACAGCAGGCTCCCTCATTGGAGCCTAACTCTGGCATGTGCGGGGGCTGTAGAGACAGCTTCCTTGTGTGACCCAACGCCACCAGCCGCAGCTCCACTTCCAGGTCAAGCCTGACCGAGGGGTGGAGGGAGACTGCATTGTGTGAGGCACCTGGCCACAACAGGTCTCACCTCTGTTGGGGGTGTGCCCCAGGCGCCCACCCAGAGCACCTTTAGATTATGCTCCACCACTGGTCTGTTGGTTGGCAAAGAAGAATTAGTTCTAAAAAGGAGAATTTCCTGGATGCCAGGATCCAGGTTTGGGGCAAGTGCTTTTTGGTGGGAGAACCCCAGCAGAGATTTAAAACCACAAAACATGCAGCAAAGCAAAGCATGGAAATATAGGCTGTTAGACCTTTAAAACATGTCCTTCTAAGTCCCTTCCAAAATTTCTCACTCCCCCTAGAGTAGAAAATGACCACACATTTGGTAAGCTAAAAATGGTTTATTTACAAACTCTCCAAAGATCAGATTCATGTGCTTTTGCATAACCTAGCATTCAGAAAACACAGGCAGTAAAACTTAGGTTAGTTCCAAAGTGATGGAAGTTCCTAGATTATTGTTATAGGAACATAAGGATGGCTTGTAGAAATGCCATCATGAGAACAAGTAATCATGAATGTATAATAAAAAGGATGTCTGGAGATACCACCCAAGTCTCCAGTTCTGAGCAGCCCTAAGGCCATTTATGGAACATTCATGAAATTCCACCTGGTTACAGTAGGGGGCTCCATGTCCATTCCACATGTAGGCAGCAGTGCTTTCTCAGCCAGAACTTACTTGACTTTAAAGACCATCATAAAGACAAATCGCGTTGCCACAGGATGGCAATGGAAATATTTGCAGGGCAGAACCTGAGAAACTCAGGACAAAATCAGAACTAGAATTAGTTAAAGATGCAATTCAATACCGATTTGGTTTAAAAAAATATGCAACCTTCCCAGTAATACTTTTATACTGTAAAGCACCATGTGAAGGGCAGTAGATAAATATAATATGAATGAATGAATGGAACTGAACTCCTCTGGAAGCAATGTTATCAACTTCTGTTGATGCACAAGAAATACCAAGACTGCTATTAATGGGCATTGCTCCAAAAGATGTTGCTCCTTATCCCCTGTTCTCCTCCTTATTGGGGGAGGAGAATTGACGCTCACTGAAACATTTGACAACTTCCAGGTATTGCAAAAAAGCTTTGAATTTAGATGATAGAATAGAGCAAGGAAGCAAATGGGGGAAGCAATAGGTTTTATTAAATTACGCTGTAGGCTGCAACTTGATCAGAAATACATTGCACTACACCAGTGACTCACAGGATTAAAACCTCATGCAAGGTGGCAAAGTCCCGAGAGATCAAGTGACATGCCCAAGGTCATGTGAGGTATATATAACGGCAGAGTTGGAGTGTCTGCCTTTACCTTTCTTACCCCCCACAATTCCTCCCATTCATTTCCTTTACTGAAAAGCCCTGGAGTGTTTCTGTGCTGCTCTGTATAAGAATCAGCTGGTCTGTGGGTCATTGCCAGATTTCCATGCCAAACCCAGATGGTCTGTGGGCCAAAGCCAAACCCCAGAAGGCTTTGTGTGTGAATTGCAGTGGAAATCTCATCACCTTCTGGGGCAACACGGAAATCCCCTCTTCCCTCATCACCCACCTTTTGCAAAATTGCTCATCCCATTTAATTTCAGCAGAAGAAACGAGACTCACCATCTGGTGACTTTTCCTCCATCTGGGAAAGGTGACAAGGAATGTGTCAGCTGAAAAACACATGTCTTCACACACACACATTTTCAGAAAGGCCATGACTTTCCTCCCATAATGTAAAGGGAACCAATATGGAATGGGATATGAGGCCTGGAAGAGGCAGGGACATTAAGAGTTTCAGGTGAAGGCCTGAGGGCAGGAGGCTTTTGGGTTTTTTTGTCTCAGTGGGACAAGAAATGGGGTCATATTGGACTTCTCCCTTTTAAGGAGTGGCCTGATTATTATTTATTTATACAATACAATTGAAGCACGGCGCGCCTCTATGGGATTGCATTAGGAGCTCAGCAGGTTCCTCTCTGGCAATTTAATGTGGATAATGCAGGGGAGAACAGAGGGAGTGGTGAGGAGGAGGAGGCAAGCAAATGTAGAAAAGAATCCTATTATTAGATAAGAACCTAAGAAGAACCTTGCTGGATCAGACCCATGGCCATCTAGCCTAGCATCCTCCCTCACAGTGGCCAGCTAGAGGCCCCCAAGGGAAGCCCACAAACAGGACCTGAGTGTGTGTTTGTGTATGGGAAAGAGAGGGGGGTGGGGAGAGGGGGTAGGACACTGTATTCTTGACTTGATTTGAAGCTGCTGAGCACCAGCCCTGTGACAGATGACATCCTCTCTGAGGAAGGGGCTTCTCCTCTGCTCAGGGCAGGAGGCAACACACGTCCAGGTGGTAAGATCTGTCAGGGTTTCTAATCCTGACTTCTCTTTCACGCTATATGAGCCTTCAGGTGGGAGCTCTTGGCATAGGCTTTGCTGCAGCCAGCACAGGTGTGCATGGCAGTCCATTTGCAGGGCCAGGAGCAGCAGCCCCTCTTGGGCTTGGCTTCCAGCAGAGAGAAGCTCATTGGAGTGGAGCACTGGCACAAAGGGGCTGCCCCATGCCCTGTTCCACCCCCAAAGTGCTGCCCCTAAAGGGATGACACCTTTCGGTGTTACCCCTTCAGTGGGGGGCCCGCCCCGAAGGCAGCATCAATGACAAAGGGTTTATACAGCACCATGTATATAGAATTGTGCTTTACAAAATTCACGTTTTGTAATATTGTAGATGTAAGGTAAAGGGACCCCTGACCATTAGGTCCAGTTGTGGCCCACTCTGGGGTTGCGGTGCTCATCTCGCTTTATTGGCCGAGGGAGCCGGCGTACAGCTTCCATGTCATGTGGCCAGCATGACTAAGCCGCTTCTGGTGAAACCAGAGCAGCGCACGGAAACACTGTTTACCTTCCCGCCAGAGCGGTATCTATTTATCTACTTGCACTTTGAGGTGCTTTCGAACTGCTAGGTTGGCAGGAGCAGGGACTGAGCAACAGGAGCTCACCCCATCACGGGGATTTGAACCGCCGACCTTCTGATCGGCAAGTCCAAGGCTCTGTGGTTTAACCCACTGTGCCACCCACATCCCATATTGTAGATGTAGATATGAACAATAAAAAAGGATGCGAACTATTGAATTCACAGAGGCAGATCTTTCTGGAGCAGGGCTGGCCCACACATGAGGCAAAAATGAGGCTACTGCCTCAGGCAGCAAGTTCCCCAGGGGCGGCAGATCCCCATGCTGATCTTGCTCCACCACCTCTTGTTCCTGATGTTGAGCTTCCCCCACCCCTTCTTCCCTGGTGGGAAGGAGAGGTGCCTCATTTTGGGGTTCACCTCAGGTGCCAAAATGTCTCAGGCTGGCCATGCTCTGGGGAGGAGGTGGAGCCCAGAAAGGTGCCAAGGGTATTTTTATTCTGTAAATTTGGGGACAGAGCCCAGTTGGGGTTTTTTCAGGGGGGCTGGGGGCAGAGTCCAGCACAAAACCTGTCTGTTTAAGATGATGTACAACTTTAGCCTTCCTCCTGTTTTTCTGGCAACCAAAGGCAAAGCAAACAAACCACCAAGCTATGTGTGCTGGAGTTTTTTAAACCCAGCCGGTACATGAATAGTCTGTCCTGTTCCCCGGTGGGTAGGAGGTGAGGAGGTGGGAAAGACACCTCCCCCCCCCCCCCGCCATGAAGGAGAAGCTTCCCCACCCTAGGAAGAGACAGGAAGGGACAGATCTTGCCAGGCTGGCAACCTTCCCTGGCATCATGTGCCTTGAGCTTGGATTCTTTTTTTAAAGCGATCTCTCCCAGGCAGCGTTAAGAGGCAAATCCTGTTTATTTCAGGAGGTTGGTGGCTTATGCAGCATGCTGGGGACGCAAAGTGATTAGAGACATAAATTATCTTATGCTGAAGAGGGCCAGGAGTGCCAGGCAAGGGAGCAGAGGAACCATCTATGCCTGGGTCTCGTTCTCACACAAGAGACCTAACACTCCATCATTTAGCCCACCTTTTCAACAGATGCAACATTATGAGGGGACAAAAATGACAGTGATCAATATGACTTTGCATGGATTTAGCCACCTCTGAATACTAGTTAGAACAGCAAAGTTTTTCAGCTTTCCTCCCCATTCCACTCCCCGCTCTCGCCCCCTGAACACACACTTGGAGGTAGGGATCAGGATTCACAGAATTATGTCATAAACATGCATACCAAATTTCACTGAAATACCTCACGCTCAAGGGAGAGTATGGTTTACATATTTCCTGGCTCCTCTGAAAATGAGTAAGGCGTTAAGCTGGCTGTAGTTCAAACTTTAAATGGGGGGGGGTGTTTCCTGAGCGCCTGCTTTCAGTGCAATGTCTCATTCTTCCAAGTATTTATCACTCTGTGGTGGGTTCTAAATCTTTCCTGGCACCTTTGGAAACAGCTGCAGCAAACTTCAGTTCTGCAACAGGGTCCCGAATGTTCGCACTGGTTCAGAGCTTCCACAGAAATTAAGTCTCATTTTGTCCAATGGGGCTTACACACTAAAAAGTGCATTTAGGATTGCTGCCTGAATCTTTCTGGTATATAGCACAGTGCATGATATTCAATATGTTCTGCCTCCCTTTTGAGGAAAAAAGACAGGCTCTGAGGTGGCATTTGAACCTGAAGCACAGAATTGTGTTCTGAGCACATATACTAAATTCCGTTCAGATATCTCAATGATCAAAAGCTTTCTCATGTTACGAACAAATGAAATGCTGAATGGGCTATTTAAACCAAAGGCCTCCCATTGCATGAAGTACAGAAGAGGGCAGCCAAAGTGACCAGGAGAGACTGGAGCACCTTCTTCAAGGAAAGCCTGAAGCATCAGACATTTTTTAGTTTAGAATGGGAGGGATGCATGATTGAGGTTTGTAAAAACATGAATGCTGTTGGGGGTGAGGAGTGCTAGATTTATCTCCCTCTCTCAGGTTCACCAAATGAGAGGAAGGGGCAATTAGAATCTTAGAAGGGAACTTTGGGGTCATTGGGTCTTCTTAACCCCTGCTCAATGCCGGCTCTGCAACAACAGCATCCCTGGCAAGATGTAGCGCAGACCCTCCAGGTGTCCCTATTTTCCAGGGACATCCCTGATTTAGAGAAGCTATCCTGGTTTCTGATTTCATCCTGAGATGTCCTGCTTTTCCTTAGGATGTTCCTATTTTCATTGGAGAAACACTGGACAGTATGGACTTATCCAAACCCCAAGCCATCTGAAGGCAATCCTTTATAGGGAAGTTTTTTTAAAATGTTTAATGTTTTATGGTGTTTTTATATATGTTGGAAGCCACCCAGAGTGGCTGGGACAACCCAGTCAGATGGGTGGGGTATAAATAGTAAAATTATCATTATGGAATGTGACGTCCCTATTTTAATCAGAGAAATGTTGGAGGTTATGGTAGTGTGCTGACCTCTAATTTAGATAGCTTAACAAAAAGATTAGACACATTCAACAGATTTGCCAATCAGGAATATAGAAACATAGGAAGTTATCTTCTACTGACTCAGGCTCTTAGTCCATCAAAGATAAGTAATCAAATCAGTAATTGTGAATTTGTGTATGTGGCAAAATGCACATGCACACAATGCCATTCCATTTTGCACCAGGAAATGGAGGCAGAGAGAACAGGAATCCTGACTGCTGGCTTCTTCTGCTCTTACTTAGGTTGCCAGCTTTCGATTCCCTACTACATTCTGGTACATGGAAGGC